TTAGTGACGCCATTCCAAAATTATTGTTTTGAGATTATTATCGTTAATTAAATCTGATTTTAAAATTACGAGTATATCATAGCATAAACAGCTTGTCTTTACCATTTAAGTTTGTTGCAACGAACTTGATAAAGTCAATACAGTATTTCCACAAAATATATTTCCTTTCCGAATAATAATGAGGCAAAAAATCTAAGTGTAAATCACAGTTTATTTTTGGCAAACGAAGTAATCATTCATTCCGACAAGTAATTTCTTCAGAGAATACATTTGGTGGAGGCGCCGATGATATAACAATCTATTTTTACGTATTGCTCCATACTCAAAGGAATTCTATGAAATTCAAATGTCAAGGTCCGTAGATTCTAATCATAAGAAATTACACTTTTTGCAAAAAAATCAACCTCTAATTACAATGCTTATAAAAGAGTTTATTATCTTGAAACGATCGAAGGCATGCAAATCCTCTGGTGTTAAAATGAGCGTAATGAAAAGAGGAAAATAAAACAATTTATATTACCTTTGCACATTCGAGCTTTTTCTTAGTATTATTGATAATTTTCAAGATAAAAGCGCTGACAACATCAAGTGTAACTAACTGTCTTATTATTATTTTATTTATAACCGTGTACTCATAACGTCAACGACTGCTTTAGTACTATAAAGATGACTTCTTTTACATCAAATCAACCTTTATTAAATAAAGTAAAAATGTGCTGTGTTTATATTTCCGCTTTGAATAGTTTGTACTTTTTTATTATTTTTCACAGATAATAAGTGGGCAACATGTAGATAAAACTTTTAGATAATCATTTTTAAATTAAAAAAGAAAATGCGAAACAAAATATTATACTTTAGTTAGTCGTTCAATAATTTCAAGATACTTCACAGTACTCAGTTGTATTCCTCATGAATCCCTGTATCTCTGTATTTTCGTACGTCTATGATAATAATCTATTTATGGTATTCCCATAAATAGATTATCAGTTCTAACAACCTTCTACTGAGAAAAGACTTTGCTTTACATCGATCGGACCAATTATTGTTCAGAATTATTTGTACCCCAAAATGATTTCTTACTCCTAAAGTCAATTTCTTCAAATTAGAGCACTTCACTTTAAATGTGAACTATCAGTCATTTTAATTAGAAAACGTAATTTCCACAAACCCAACCGCTGCATTTTTCATGACCTTTATTCTGTCACGGTGCATTTCCTGTGTATATAAATAGCATAGACATGTTATTTCAAGCCCGACACGGTTTATTTCTTATCCAGGTGACCTGAATTGATAAGATGTGATATAGTTAAAGATCGCGTTATTGTAATTATTGCGTGCTCGATGGTCAAACGCTGTGATTCGATTAACATATTTTCATAATTTACAACCAACAGTCTATCGAAGTAAGGCCACGCTGCTGGAATTATACCCCGGAGGAATAATTGGAACGATATATCATGCATATAGCGAGATATAGATATGTGTTAACAATAACTAGGTACAGGACCTATTTATTCGACAACCTCTGCGCTACAACCTTAAGAAAGTAGTTTACTTTTCATATTTGTGTGTGATATGCAAATACTTAAGGTTTTACATATTTTAATAAGCTGCTTAGAATGTTAATGAAAGTTTTCAGCTTATAAATTTCTGTTGTCTAAGCGATCTAAAATGACGTCACTGCGGTCAGTTCTATCAAGGTTACAGTGATTGATTTTCTTTCTTGTGTCAATTAGATGTTAATCCGATGTATTAAATTAAAATAATTAGAAAAGCATATGTTTCGGGATTTTTGTGTTTTAGTCGGTCTTGACGTTTTGATTTCTAAATGATATATATCTTCTTGGTTGGTTTTCATACAAATTTACTAAAATAGGTCAACATTTTAGAGTAAATTTAACGCCGATGTGTGAAATAAATTGCGCAAGAGACTATATCGATCGAAATTTCTTAGAAAATGTGTTATCTGAATAAACTTATGAATAACCTTTTACTTTCTGTAGTACTTTAATTTAACATTACGAGAATCTTTTTTTTTGGTGTCTGTCACATGTCTGCCCTCTATTTGTCGTTTGTGTCGATTGTTATTAAGCAGATAAACTCCGGAACTACAGGACCAATTGTTGTCACATATTTTATGTTATGTATATATTTTAGAAATATCGTGTAGATGATAAAACGTCGACCAAAATTTTTAATCATCCTCACCAACTCCAGTGTGATAATGTCACCTCAAAATTTTAGTAATTTTTTTTTTACATTTTATAAAATAACATACTGCTACACTTGTGGTTTATGAATTCGTTCTTGATTTTTATCCTAGATATCCAAATTTTTTTGAAAAAAATATTGGCGAGTTTACACCTACTTGTGGTTTATCAATGCATTCACATTTTTTACAATGCTTAAACAGAGTGACTGAAAAAAATTAATGAATGAAGCGATATAATTTATTGATCAAGTCAAGAACAGCTCACCCCATTTTCCTCCCACCTGCCACTGCCTCTATCCAAACTGATACACGTCCCTTTGCTAAAATGTTGATGATGTTATCAGTCACTAATGGAAACATTCACTTGAAACATACAGGCTTCTTTACTTTAGTTCAACAATAGACACATATCTTTTAACTTGTAGAGATTATTAAAAAATTTAAAATAGCAAAATCAAATTTTAGAGTCTTTCGAAAAAGTTGGATATGATTCTATTGTACTTCAAAGACGAGGAAACTTCTGCTTAAATAACCTTGAAATGACTATTCTTTGTTATTTCTTCGTTTTAGTTTCACCATTGTTTATGTTTTTGTTCAGTGATCCCAGCTGATTTTGTGCTTCTGTTTTTTCGTTAATATAATTACTACTTTTCTTCTTTATTTTAAAATTCCTCATAAGTTTCTTTTTTACATTTTGTGGAGTTTGTATTTGTCTTCAGATATTTTAAGTTTGTGAGTGTCTAATTTTACATGAGCTTGGCATTTTATCAATCGAAGTATAGAAAAATATCGGTACAACTTCCGTCCTGTGACGGTTTTATCAAACGGATAATTACTGAAGGTACAGAATCCGTTTACTCAAATTTTAGTTTTAAAATTAATTAATAATTATTAATAATTATTATTAATTAATTAAATTATTGTACAATTAATTATCTGTTTCTGTCGAAATACTGATGACGTAATGCAAAATTATTGTTAAGTGAATCTAATAAGTATGTAGCACAATATACGTCTTTACCGTTAGCTGGGTTATGTTAGAGTAGTTAAAAGTTAGTTAAAAAATAAGTTTTCGCTATCAACTTTTGTAGTATATTTTAAATATTACGCAACTCTAAATTTCGACTAGACCATAACATTGACTAAGTTTAAATTTACACATTCATCCCGACTAAAAAATTGATGACACCATAACAGAAAAATTATTAAATTTAATAAGTCGAAAAATGTACCTGTATCGCTTAGATATCACGAAATCATTAGTATAAAATAGTTTGGACATCATCATCAGTAGATTTATGTTATTTTTGTTACATTATTGTTATTTAAAAAATCGCCACTATAAGTAGAGGCAATTCATCTAATTTCCTTGAAATTCTGAAACAAATATAAAAATAATTTAATTTATTGAAAAATATGTATGTATATGTCAATATGTAGAGTTGAAGTTTAGAACCTTAAATACTGAAATAAAGGAAGAGTGATCTTGGGCCATATTATAGAATTTGATGCTAACCTGGCGCATCCACCATTTTTAAACATGGTTTAAAAATTCAAATATTAACATAAATCAACTACAATCGTGGCAAAAAATCTTGGACGTCAATGTCATTCAGTGTCCCAAAATGTAAAACATCCTTTAAGTATTGTAGTCTTACTTTTTAGTTTCAGTTTTGTCATTTTTGACATTGCGGACATACTGACACTGGATGCAAAGTGATAATTCATTTAAATTTTAAACGTCAAAGTGACAATAAGGCATCGACTACATCAACGTTTTCAGAATGAAAATAAAAATGTAGACTAATAAATTTTTATCATATGCACATAGTTTACAAAATAAACGTGACAACACAATAGAAACCGAGTAATTTAAATTTTATTATGGAACATCTAAAAAACTTACGGTTATTATGTAAAGTTTTTCGAATTTTTGTAAACAGAATTTTCACACTTCATTGCTTTTTTAGCAAGTTGTTAAGCAAAATTACAATCAAAATTACCTAACCCAAATTTAAGTCTTGATCGACGACGTAAAACTGTAACTAGGTATGACAAAAATTTTATGTTTCAGACGTCGGTAGTAGCTTCTGAAATTTGATTATTAAATTTTTATGATATAATTAAATTGCCAACAAAACTGTACATCAAATATGCATCAAAAGAAATTTAAGAAAAATCTGAAAGAGCGTCACATTTTAAGGTATAAAATATATTTCACTCTCAGTAACTTAACAAACGTTGTTTGTAGAAGTATATTTCCGTGGCAGTGTTTTTAGTGGTTAAGCAAATTAAAGTAAACGTTCACAAAAAATACACATATGCAAGAAAAAAAAGTCTACATTTAATTTGTCAGTTTTGTTTTTTTCATATGTATTAAATTAAATCTTACAATTATTTCTATGCTTATTATTAATTTTACTTTTTGAATTAAACTAATTGTCTATGGAACAGAGACTAATTTAACAAATCAACTCAACTTCTAGTTATGTCTAAAACTATATATAACGAAATAACCAAATAAACTTGTCAGCACTAGCATGTCTGCTCCACCGCCGATTATACCCCCTCTTATTAAATTACAAAACCGAAACCTCCAAACCAATTTAGAAGTTCTCCAACAAACACATCTATTTCCTTATCTCCTGTCTCTTTAACCTGAAACTCAATTATTACATGTTGATAAAACGCAAATTGCAACATAAAGCACAAAACGTGAAAAAATGATTACTACTGTCACGCCACACACTTTTCTTCAGACATTCTAACCTACTTTGCTCATTTACAGTTTGCGGCGAAACTGCAGCCTTGAGGGCCGTATTAGCAGCAGGAGCCCCGGTTTCCACCCCCGACGTTCACGGAGGATATCCTCTTCACTACGCCGCTCAAATGTGCGGAGGTGTAAGTAAAATTAAGTCGAAAAGTACAACGAACTTCGAAAGTCGTTGCTTCGTCAAACTTTTATAGAGCTTTGATGGAAAATCAATTTCGATTTCATTTCCACTGAAAACAGAGTCTATTAATGCGGTGTTATTGTTAGACCAAAAATGACAAGGATTGATGTTAATAACCTCATTAGTTCTTACTAGTTAATAATAATGATTTATGTTTTAAAGGAAAAGGATTCCAGCCTTGGCCTTCAAGTTCTTCAGACTCTGTTGACTCATAGTGATATCGTGGTGTCTGTGGAGGATGGGGATGGTCGGCAACCTCTTCTGTGGGGTGCTAGTGCGGGTTCTGCTAAAGCTGTGCTAGCTCTGATTAGGGCTGGGGCTACAGTTGAGGCATCTGATAAAGATGGGTTAACGGCGCTTCATTGTGCTGCTTCGAGGGGTCATACTGATTGTATCGACAGTCTTTTGACACTTTGTGGAGCTTCACCAGATGTCATTGATAGCAATGGTTGTACGGCACTTCATTACGCTGTTACGTTAGGTAAGGATTTTATAGTTTTTTCTGAATTTTTGTAACTCTTCGAGGAAGTTGCATTACTTTGTTACTGGAATAGTTAGCACTCAAAATTATAATTATATTGCCTGTAAACCCACCCCAAGAACTTAATTTGTTATTCGTCTGTTCAGAAATGCTCACCATTTCTCAAAAAATGTAGCTATTTTCATAATGATTTCATTTACTGTTTGTCTAAGAAAGCAATCTTTATTAACCGAGAAAATTTATGGTATCATTATTCGTTATCGAAATCAACTAAAGTGATGACAACATTAGAGAATATTCAATAATGATTGATCAATATCGGTCTACCAAGCCTAAAATATTCAAACTAGAAGATAAATAAAGGAACGATGACGATGGATTTCTAATTATAAAAATATTCTTGTCACAATCTGTAATTAAACAATTCCTTGTAGATAGAAGTAATTCTAATCTGGCGACAACAATCATTCAGTAAAATGATGATGAAAGTGAAACTAACAGCTCCCAATTGTTCAAGATTTCGATAGTTCCTCATCAGATCAATTTATTTACAACCAAAGAGACCAGTTTACTTTTTCTTTTAATCATCAAAGTTTCAGAATATTTAAATTTTGTGTTATTTCCAATTTTACGAAATTTTGTAACATATCTTAAGTTCATCTGACTATTAATTTAGCTGGAATTTTTTTATGTCCATACCACATAAACATGTTAATGTAATGAATGACCTTAACCTAAAAATATGTTAATAGTACTGTATGACATTTATGTTTATTAACAGAATTGCCATCTGAAGTTCTAAAAACACAGTCAGCTCTAATTCTGCTTCTATGTAGTAACATAATCGATATCCTTATTGTCTGACTGACAGTTTGTATTAACTGACGCAAGTGCATTACAAACAAGATGAAGGATAGTCCAATACTGAACAGTTGATGAACAATTAAATTTACTGTCTTATCTTGAAACCAGTTAGTTAATCTTCTTCGTATTGGAATACGCGAATTTATACCGGAATTTTCAAGTATAAGACACTTGATAGAAAAATGTAATCTACTTTGAAACTGAAAATTCTAAAGCTTTGTGATGTTAAACTTAAGTAGAAATTGTAGTGTTAGTAGATCTCTCAAACGTAAACATATTTTGCCATAATGTTTCACTTTTCAAAAATTCCTCTTATTATATTTTTCTTCGCGACTAGAGGAATACGACGTAAGTAAGCATAAATTCGCAACCCTGAAAACATTTCCAACAATACTGACGCATTCTAAAAACAATGCCTTTTCGAGCCGATTTAACTAATTTGATTTTGTTTAAGTACATGCAAAACAATTCTCCGTTATTCGAAATCATACGACAAAAGTAAGCACAAATTCGTGAAATTTTCGATAAAACTAATTATTTTCAAACCGATGGGTCCAATTTTTATTATTATCGGTCTAAGGTTATTTCAGTAGAACTTCCCTGCCTCCTGAAGTACAATCGAACAGATCCCTCTTCTTTAACAAATTACAAAATTTAATTTTGCGACATTTTATTAGTGATAACCTTTATACACAAAAATTACATAGATAATAATAGCACTAACAGTTAAGAGAAAAAAAAAAGGCCATGAGGGGGAGTTTTCGCACTGTAAGTTCGAGGTCGGAGACCATTTTACCATCTACACGGACAGACGGCAGACAAACAGACGACCGAACAGACAACCGTCAGAAGGAAACGGGGACCTATTTTTTCATACTTTAGGTGTCAAGAAACGTCAAGAGAACATGAAAGTCCATTCGCCGAATAGACCCTATACGATACTTCTTTAGCTTACGTTCGTGAATTAAAAATTACAGGGGCGTCTGGAAAAAAGTTAAAAATACGTATTTCCAGAATTTTTACGCCATTTCAAGGTGAAATAACATACTTTAAAAGATATTATCCATTTATTCAAAAGTATCTTGATTTTTGATGAAGATAGCAAAACAAATACAGATCTAAGCCAGAATAAAAATTTCTTTTCGAACCGATTTAACTAAGCTTAAATTTTTTTTTAAACAAATTTTTCTTCGTTATTCGACGTGATAGACGAAAGAAAACAAAGCATAAATTCGTAATTTTAAGAATACTTCCGATAAAGCTTGGTAGAACCAATGGTAAAAATTTCATTTTTATACAGTAGGACATTTTTTTAATCCCGAACAAACACCATAAAACAAAAAAATACAGACCTAATGTTGTAGAACAAAAAATTGTAGTTGGAAAGAAGTTAACTGACACTGGCTTTTCTTCTAGTTAGCATAAGATGTTTAACTTCTTTTCTTCAATTAAAATTTTAACCATTGGTTCTACCTAGCTTTATCGGAAGTATTCTCAAAACTACGAATTTATGCTTTGTTTCCTTCCGTCAATCACTTCGAATAACGAAGAAAACATATTTTTGTTCTATGTCTTCAGCATCTAGTATTGTTTACATTTCTGTACAATATTATACAAAAATTCAAACAAACTGACATTTAGTTTTTTTTTAATGAACCTTATCGTAACATTGGTGGCATATTTCGAATGCATTGATGTTTTTTTTTAATTTCATAGATTCAGACCATCTCCATTCAGAGTTAAAAAATGTCCCGTTAAAACAATGGTGGTGGCGCTGGAAAAGACATTTTAAGAATTGTTTTCGGCATTTTTTTATTACCCGTTTATGCAAAAATGTCTTGATTTTGGATCAAAATATCGATCAAAATTTAGATCAGAAATGACTTGAGTCTGTTGACAGTACTTTTTTATCAAAAATGTATAAAACTTTTCTTGTTTTTATGTTGTCAAAACTCAACTAATTATGTGACAGATATGTCAATCGTGACATGGGAAAAATTTAAGTTAAATTTTGGATGCATTGTCAAACTAAGAATGTCAACAATCTGTCAAACTTGACAAATGACAACCAGAAATTATAAAAAACATCATGATACAACTCAAAAACCGGGATTACCAACAAACTCAGGCATTTCTAATCAAGCGGTAGCAAACAAACACAGACTTCTTTTTCTTTTGGAACCGCTGTAACCAACTTTATTTTTTTGAAAAACACGAAATTTTTCTTCGTTATTTGAAATCATATCGTGAAAATAAACATAAATTTTGGCTGACCTATTTTCGGACAGATTTATTCAACTTGAAATTTTTATGTACTATGAGGGACATGGAATTCTGGGCAGTCTATTCTTGTCATTTCAAAAAATGTCAATGTAAATGCACCTCTAGCGTCAATATGATTGATATTTTCGAAAAAACTGTCAAATTAACTTTGAAGTATATCAATTGGTTCGAAATGCCAGCTGTATCAATTTTTAACAAATCTCGGGCAGTAGCTGCATGTTAATATAATTGAAACAAATTTAATAAAACGTCGACTTTGTCAGTGTCAAAATGAGAAACACGCCAAACATTAAAAGCGTGGTTATGAATAGCTAAGGTAGGGTTTAGAAATTTTGTGTGACACCTCTGCCCAGTTTTCCGTGTCCCCGATGGTCAAAAATTGTGAGGCACCGAAATAATGAAAAAAATTGGTCTAAAGAGTTTAGGCAGTACACAGTACTTCCCTCGCTGTCGGAAACGTGACGACTGCATGCCTATTATGTTTTTTTCGCATTAGATTTCAAAATATTCGGTTTTGTAGTTCTTGATTAAATCAATAAAATAAATTTGCGCAGTCATTAAAATTTTTTGAGTCACCCTGTATATGTAAATCCAAAAAGTATGAATGGAATGATAAATTAGAAGAAGAGAGTCATCATATTTTGTACATTTTAGATAGGATTTATTCAGCAAAATTTTGGGGTGGCGTCATCCATTTTTAGGGAGGATGAGCAAATATATTTTGATCAATTATTTTGATTTGTAGATGTGTATGTGTATCTATTGTTCTTATTTATTATTACTATTTTGTTTTTTAAATCTCTAAATTGACGTATGTAAAACACTGTAGTGTTGTTAACATGAATAAAGAATTGAATTGAATTGAATTGAATTGAATTGAATCAAAAATTTACCATGCTTATGATAAATTTAAACCATTTCCAAGATTTCAAAGCATTCGGTTTTGTAGTTCCTGATTAAATCAATAAAATAAATATGCGGATTCATTAAATTTTTTGAGTCACCCTGTATATGCAAATCCAAAAAATATGAATGGAATGATAAATTAGAAGAAGAGACTCATCATATTTTGTACATTTTAGATAGGATTAATTCAGCAAAATTTTGGGGTGACGTCATCAATTCTTTGGAGAGGATAACTAAATATATTGTGATTAAAATTTTACCATGCTTATCATAACTGTAAACCATCTGCAAAATTTCAAAGCATTCGGTTTTGCAAATTCAAAATTAAATGGCAAAATGTTGTTTCATAATTTTGATTTTTTTTTTTTTGAAAAATCTGGACGTTTCGGGTACACACTCAATTCGGAGTCATAAACTACATGTGTAAGACTATGTTATTTCATACAATTTAAAACCCAATTACTATGTACAATTTTGAAGTGACGTCATCACATTACTAGTGGGGATGACAAATTTTGGTTAGCGTTTTACCATCTACATGATATTCCTAATATAAATACAAAATTTCACAACAATCGATCCAGTACTTTCGGAGATTATCTGTCTAATAAAAATCCGGGACGGTAGACAGACGGACAGACGGAAACGGGAGACCTACTTCTTCGCCTTCTAGGGGTCATGAAAGATCGAGAAAATGTAAAAGTAGAAAGTCGGCTGACGGACTCGATTACAATACTTCCTTTGCTTACGCCGGGGAAGTAAAAAAAATAAAATTTTCAGAATTCTTTTAAACTTCAAGGTGAATTACCATGTTTAAAAAAATATTCATTTGTGCAAAAACAATATCTTGAATTCTGAATAAAACAGAATAAAAGTTCAGATTTTCACTAAAATAAAAAATTTAATTTCAGATCAATTTAACTAACTTTACTTTTTACATAAAAAAGAATTTTTCTTTGTTATTCGAAGTCATACCGCAAAAGTAAGCACAAATTGGTAATTTTGAGAAAATTTTTGAATAAAACTAACCCTTTTTAGAACCACTTTGTTCAACTTAAATGTTCATATTACGAGTAAAATAGTGGAGGCGCCGGGATAATAATATTACTTTTAAATATTTATTTTTAGCATTTTTAAGTACAAAAAGACCTATTTCTACAAAAATATCTTGATTTCTGATGAAGTTAGCAAAACAAGGACGGGTCTGGTCTACAACAAAAATATTTTCGAACCCATCAAAATAACTTTATTGTTTTCACATTAAAATTATATTTTCTGCGCTGTTTGAAGCCGTACGGCGTGATCGTAAAAAATTCTCATAAAGGTGGCCGATTTTATAATCGATTTGTTCGATTTTAAATAATTATGTCTAAGAATGGTGAGTGCGCCGGGATAATAAAAAATTAAAACTAACAAACAAATTAAGTGTGAAAATTAAATAAAATTGTAATTTACATTAAATTGGATGTAAATAATTCAAATAAAATTTATGAGATAACCGTGAACTAAAATATTAACATTTTCTTTATTAACTTTTAGTATTATGTGAACAACTCTCCATACAAATCAAATTTTAAAGTATGTTGTAAATACAGCTTTAAGGTAAATTAGATGAACAAAGTAAGCTCTACATTTCGCCATAGTCCCATATTTAGACTATTTAAAACATACAGATCTGTTGAATTCCCCATATAGAATATTTTCCCTCATTCTAATAAGTTCCTTATCGAATAAGATAACATAACAAATGACAGAGTTATGAAAAATAGAAAGTTCCGGAAACTACAATGAAGGTAACTACAGGTATAGCACTCTCCACTCTCTATTTCTACACTATTCAACTCTGGAGTTTTATTGAGCACCTAGAATTAACTACCAAGAAAGCTATTGCTTGGGTAGTAAAATCTAAAGTGCGCCTCCTAGATCCAACATACTAAATTTAGTAAAAATTTCAACCACTCCTTTCTTGGTTTTCCAGGTCATGCAGACGCCACCGCGCTCCTCCTCGCCCACGGCGCCGATCCAAACCGCCAAGACCGCAAAGGCAGAACCCCAGCACACTGCGGCTGTGCCAAAGGGCAGTTCGAAACTGTCAAAATGATAGGAGCCCACGGTGCTAACCTGTGGCTACGAAATGCAAGAGGCGATCTTCCATTACACGAGGCTGCAGCCTCTGGCCGAAGAGATCTGGTCAGGTGGCTGCTGGACATGCGACCCAGCCAAGTCAACGCGAGGAATAACGACGGCAGATGTCCTTTGCATTTGGCAGCTCTTAACGACAACGCCGACATGTGTAAGGTATTGACAACTTTTGAATTATTCGTGATGTTTATGCGAACATCCGTATTCCGTGCGCGTTTGAAGAGTTCAAGGTTGGATTTAGTGGAAGGTTTCGACCTTTGTGTTTTCGTTGAAGCACGTAATGGACATTTTATTAGGCTCATCTGATTGATTTTGTCGTAGTCAGGCTCGGATTCGTTCTGTAATTGGTTTTGATTGTTGTTTGTTTGCATTAAAGTTTTTTTTAGAAGTGTAGTGCATTTTCGCTTTTGGGTTTTTGTTTTTTGAATAGAAAGAACATCGGGTAGGGCATAACTAAAGAATAAAATCAGGGAAAATATTTCTAAGGTAAAAACGTTTCGTTAAATATCAATATACCTTAAAATTGCAAAACAGTTTGATCCTAGAATTTACAGGCATACATGCCTTTTAAGAAATGTAGATATGATCATTTAGAAGTAAGAAAAAAATTCAAAAAATTTAAGAAAAGGTAAGCAAATACAAGAATAGAGTTAAAAAATGCAACTTTACCCTCTCGCTGTACTTGTGGTTTATGAATCCACTTTGAATTTTTGTCCTAGGCATTCAAAATTTCCCCCCAAAAAATCCAAATTAAATAATAACAATTTATACCAGTATAAGAGCCAATACTAAAGCTCTGAGTTTTCAAAATGTATATCAAATTGGCTTATTATACTACTTTAATTTAACTTAAAACGTTTCAAAATCTTCTTGTCAAAACCATTTAATGTTGTAGATCTTGCTGGACGCCGGCGCCCAAATCAACCCCATCCTCCGTACTTCCAAAAACACCTTTATGACCCCCCTTGACTGCGCACTCCAGCGAGGTTTCCGCTCCACAGCCAAATATCTTCAGCTGCACGGAGGCGTCCCGGCGAACCGACTCGGCGACCTCCGCCACAGTCAAATCAAACCCGGCGTCAACCTCCAAATCAAAGAAGACGTGACCTTTTGGAGCGACACCAGTTCGGACAGCGAGCGCGAAAATGGCGAAGTCACCAGATACAGCAAACGAATCCAAAGAAAAAAACTTTCGCACAAATACGAAAAAAAGAGAGCTTCGATATCGGGAAGCGATGTCGAAAACAATAAATTGGTGGGTGGGAAATTGGATGGTGGGAGACGGCGGAGATTCGGTGAGAAAAACAAGAGGGCCAGAACAGGTGGCAGAAGTGATAGCGCGGCCAGTAGCGACATGCCCAAACATGGAAGAAAAGCGTCATCAACAAGGATTGACTATACCAATGAGATCGTGATTAATGGAAAAACTGAAATTAATTTCCATAATACGAAGGACATCGAGGTTGAAGGTGGAGACGTAGTAACAACGAAACTTCCTAGTAAACTGTCGACTGAAATCGCTGAAAAAGTGTTGAGTGAAGTGGCTGTTGAAAAAGAGAAGAGGCCGAAAAGCGCGAAGAATGTGAAAGCGAGAGACAAATCTGCTAAATCGTCGGGGAAAGAAGACAGCGTTAAGAAAAAAGGGAAAGTTGAAAGACCAAATTCAAAACACAAACAGGGTAATAGTGAACAATCAAAGCAGAAAGAAGTAATCGAGGAAAAAGTAGTAGCAACGGTAGTGGACGTAGAAAATAAAAGCGAAAAAAGTGATAGCTTAGGGTCCAAAGAAGGAAAACATATAGTAAGTGTTGAGGAAAGTTATAACACGCAGCAGAAGCTCGTAGATCAACAATCATTATTGTCTAACACGAGTGAAGATGTAGAAGAACATAAAAGTCTTGTAGTTGAGGCGGCAATCCACGAACCACCGAAAACATCAGAAACAGTGGAAGTTGTCGAAGAGAAAACTGATATCTTACAAGCTACTGAAAATGAAGAAAATGTAGAACAACCAAAACAACAAGAAGAACCTGAAAAAGATGGTACAAACGGAGAATTAAAGAAAGACGTAGATTCCAAGCAAAATCTAGACAAAACAGAAAATCAGGATCACAATTTAGAAAGTATTGCTCCCAGTGCTGATTTAGCTGGTGACAAAGAAGAAGAGAGTACAAATGAAAAAATTGCCCCAACTGGGGATCTCGCACAAGACAAACAAACTGAAACTAAGATAGAAACCGAAGATGTAGACAATACAAAAGATGTAGTGCAAGAAGAAACAGAAGCAAATGATAAAGCATCTGAAGCAGAAAATGTAGAAGTGGAGGAAAACACTACAGTTGTTGTAGAAACAAATGGTATTACTGATGGTGATTTATCAACAACAGTTGAAAAAGTTGAAGCAGAAGCAGAAGTCCAAAAATCAGAAAATGGTGTTGCTGAAGAAAATATTCAGAAGGAAACGGAAGAAAATAAAGAAGAACCTGTTGCCGCGACAGATAAAGCAAATGAGACAACAGTGGAAGAAACGCCTGAAACCGAAACAACCAACATCGAAACTACTGCAGAAGTGATTAAGAACGAAGTTACAGAAGAAGTAAAAATTGAACCAAGTACAACTCCATCAAATGGAAAAGAAGAAGATTTACACACTGAACCAGAAAAAGATACAGAAATTGCTCCTGTAGTAAAAGACGAAGAAAAACAAAACGACGTAGAAACTGCTGTTGAAGAAAAAAACGAAACTATAAATGAAGAAGCCGCAAATGGAAAAAAAGCCAAAAAAGAGAAACACAAGAAGAAAACTCACCGAAAAAAACGACAGTCTACCGAAGATCAAGCTTATGAGATAATTTACAAAACTCTAGGTGCCGAAGAAAACGATGACGAAATCGCAGAACGTGCAGACGACAAAGAAGAAAAACTCAGACGAGAAAAATTAAAACCACAGAAGACCATTTCTGAAACAAAATCATCTGAGGATGAGTATTCTACAGATCTCGAAAGTGGGTCTAGCACATCTACCAGTGCAACAGTAAAGGAGCACAAGAGCTTTCGAATTCTAGACGAACAAGAAGCAGAAGAACTAGAAAGCAGAAACACAAAAACTAAAAAAGTTCCTCGTAAACGAAGTCCTCCAAAAAAACAACGTTCCCGTTCCGAAGAAAGCAAAAAATTTAAAACCAAAATGAAAGAGAGCGACAGGACAAAAAGAAGCAAAGTACCAGCTTCTTTAACAAAAACGCACTTATCCAAAAGTGATAAGTACTTGAATGTCCCGGACAGAAAAACTAAATCTAGTATGGAATCTCGTGTGCCTTCTTTACCTAATATTAACGAGAGTAAAGACAGGATTAAAGAACCTCCACGTTCTGATTCTAACCTGTCGGCTCCTTTACTAGCTTCTGCTTACAGTGACGAGGAAATCACCGCTTCCGACGTAGAAGAAGAAGAAGAAGAACAAGAAAGAAGTAGTGCCACCAGACGAAAAAAACTGAAGCGAAAATCAAAAACCCGAGAGGCAAAAAGTGCAGGAAGTGATTATGAAAGCAGTAATGTGATAGATTCTGGTTTCGAACCAAGCCCACGAAGCAGCCGAATACCAAAATGGAAAAATATGAGTGAAAGAGGTGTGAACATGACTTCAGTTACACAGTCAATACAATCCAACATTAGAAGGTAATCAAAAAACAATATACTTGTTGCTTATATTTCGCAAAATTTTGTTTTAGGTATCATCTCGAAAGAAAAATTTTCCAGCACCTTCTCGATTTGAAGCGGTTGCAGATTAGAGCAGGTCAACATAACGAAGCCATTTTGGTTAAGCGTGCTATAGACACGTATCATCAGTCTTGCGCTTCAACGGTCGGAGCAGGGCGATATGTTCCAGAAGACTACACTTTTAGAAGTTTTGAGAAGTTCTTGTATTTGTCGTTGCGAAAATTGCAAAGGAATGGTGCTGACCACTTGAAAGGACTTCCAGAATCGTCTGCAAATCCGTTGTTGTGCACTCAGAGTACACATAGATGTATGCATGCTACTCATGCATATACAGGAATACCCTGTGCGGCTTATTGTAAGTGTGAAGGGGGGATATAAACGTGATTGAGTATGAAGATGAAATTTTTGTTAAAAAGTAGGTTCCCATTTTAATAACGGATATTGGTAAATTTATATCTGATTTAAAACGTCAAAGGCCCGAATTAGGCTAGTATTTAGGGATCCTATATCAAGTAATTATTATGGTTTGAACTAGCAGAACGTCACTTCATGAAAAGTGTAGATATTTACTGAAAATTTTGTATTCTATATTTTGGCTATACGTAATTAATTATACTATCGGAAATGTATATCTCGACCAAATTTTAAAAGCCTTATGGGTAATACATCTTTTCTACGATTAACAGTACTATAAATAGTAATACTTTTAACAGTTGGCCTCTTTGCATAAATTATTTGCAACCTTCAGATGTACAGACTGTTTGTAAATAATTGTATTAATTTATGTCTGGATTTATAAAAAAAAATCCAAATTTGATGGTCAACGTCCACTTTGATATAACAACTTTAATAAACATTATGAGTCATTATCGTTGGTTAGTTGTAGCTTAACTGTTAAGTTAAGATTGAACATTTCTTATTTAAAACTATAAGAACAAAAAGTAATATATTGAATACGACGTATATTGACCATTATGATTACAACAATACCTCATTATTGTTCAACACTATCACAAATCAAGAAAACTAATTTAAGGTGACGTTAGCGTGACGGAAAAATTCAAGGACAGATCCGCATATTACTAACTCGCAATTGAGAAAGACTGTTGTACAACCGTCGATAAAATTTCGAAACAAGTTACGAAAACAAATGTTTTTCTGGAATCAATACATTTTGTATCATTATAATATAATTCTTGATTGTATCAAAGAGCAGTAATATAACCTTCAAAAGCAGTATCACCTTAAAAATTATATTAGTACACAATATTTCATACAAAAATTAGTTAAATAAATTTAATATTAGCTAATTTGTACCCACTAATCTTTCCTTTATCTCTGAAACACAACCAATCGCGTCTACTTTTACCGGTGGTGTTTAATTTAAAAAAATAATTATGCAGTTACACACACTATAACTCAATAAATATGAAAAAGTTACCATTAGATCTAGTTTTTACTACAATCATATCGATGTCTCGATTCCTAAGGAAGTTATTTTAATGTCTTAAAAAATCTAAAATAACCGATATTTTGAAACTAATTATAAATTATCTACTTTTTCATTTTTTTTTTAAGATATCGGCAGTTTCTTCCAAGAAATATATTTTTTATGTAGGGTTCCTTGGTACAAAACGAATTTAATAAAAAAATCACAAAAAAAAAACAAAAATTCTTATATTTTTCAAACTTTTCTCTTTAGAGCTACGTTTTAGTTAGAAATTTGAAATTTCATAGTCGATGCCTTTAAATTTAGATCGATATTATATACAGGGTGATTTTTTTAACCTGAAACTTTCAAATATCTCGAAAAATAAGCACTCTATAAAAAAAGTATAGATTCAAAATTTAATCACTCCATGGGGAAAATACTTTACTATAAAAAAACTAGTCCCACTCCTCTCTTCTTGTAGGTGGAGCGAGAGGTAATTTTGAAATCATAAATAGGAATCCTGAAATTTTATTATATGTAGATTAGGATTCTGCGGCTAAAAGTACGTAGGGTTTGTCTGAAACGTTTTTTTAGATTTATGGCAGATGACGCTGCAACAAACGAAATTCAATTTTTTCAATTTCTCCTAATGAAAACCAATGCATACAATTCTGCAATACGTTTACACTAAAAAATACCACATTTTCGTTTTAAATAATCAAAAATGAGTAGCCACATTATTGAATGGTGAAATGTACCGAGACATTTTGGAAAATGAATTATCAACATTACTTGAAAACTTGAGGTTAGAAGTGCTACAGAACATGTTGTTTCAACATGATGGTTGTCCGGAACACTATTATTCGATTGGCCTGCCAGATTGCCAGATCTTAATTCGTCAGATTTCTTTTTGTGGGGCTATCTCAAAGACAAAGTTGACAAACAAGAACCAACAATCCGTGAGAATATGATTGAGCGAATCCGAAATTCAGTCCAAATTCAAACCGACACATTTCTCTGTGTACATTCCACATGTATTGAATTCGAAGATCATCGCTTTGAGCACTTACTTTAATTGAAAGATGATGAAGCGAGGAGACTCACATAAATCAAGCAGCCTGAGAGCTGAGAAGCGAGGGAACCTACTAAATCAAGCACCCTGAGAGGCAAGGGGACTCACGTTAATCAACTACCCCGAAGGGAACAGAAGACTGCTGTGTCCACATCGTTGTTCGTGGCTTACCCTAAAAGTAGTTTATTCGTCAACCATTTACATTTCTATAGGTAACAATTTCCAAGTTATTCGAAATTTCCAACATGAATAAACTTTTTTGGCGACGAATTACGAGTATTAACATAAAACGTGGTGTTTTTTATTGCCAACGAATCGAAGAATCGTAGGTTCTCAGTAGGAGAAATCGAAAAAATTTGAATTTCGTCGATTCAGCGCTATCACGAATCAAAAAAAAATGTTTCAGACAAATCATAGGTACTTTTAGCTGTAGACTCCAAATCTGCAATAAAAATAGCAGTTCCCATTTAAGGTTTTAAAGTTAACCCTTGCCCCACCTACAAGGAGAGGGGAAGGCGGGTAATTTTAGCACTAAAGTATTTCCCCCGAGCATGATTAAATTATTATGCTTATTTTTCGAGATATTTGAAAGTTTCAGATTAAAAAAATCACCTGTATAAAATAAAAGGTGATTATTAATAATCACACATCAAATTTCCGTGAAGAAGGTTACAAAATTTATCAAATCTGTCTGCCAACCAGGTTACAACCAAACTAAAAAAGTTAGGCTATAATAACTGAAATTTATGGCAAGCGAAAAGAAGTTGAATTTCCAATCAGTACGAGGCGGCAAAATTCAAAACATTTAAAGCCAACTTGATCCTTTGTACGATCCTTTATAATCACCTTGGAAATAAATACAGACTAAAAACCAAAAGAATTTAAAAATTGTTCACCCAAGTACATTTAACTAATCGATTTTAATTGTTTGTATAATAAAGTGGTAGTACTTTATTATACAAATTTTACAATTTTTTTTATATTCATCAATTTTATTTATCTTTTATCAACTGAAAGTAAAATAAAAACCTAAGGGTGTTACATCATTGTAATTGTAATTTAATGGTCTATCAAAATCCGTTGAAAGATATATTTTTCAAACTAAAAACAATAGCGTGTGCAGAATTTCAACATCTCTATCCGTTTCCAAGATATGAGGCCGCGATGTATTATCTGGGCCACTTGGTAAAATGTCACCTTCACATAATATACAAACAAACTAATTTTAAAGAATCCAGTGACATGACCTTGACTATCAACTCATTTTATTTCAAAACAAATAAAATAAATTTAGACATTTTTTATCGATGATGTTCATTTTTAAATATTGACGGATAACAAACAAATCGTTTGAAATAAAGTTTAGAAGCCTTGAAAGTTCTACCACAATTAATCATAGTCTGTTAAATAAGTAAATAAATCAAGATTAATTTTTAAGTAGCTATTTTATGTAACAACCGCCCACACGAACAAAACCCCATACTCCACCACATAACGCAGCTCTATCCCGGCGCCTCCACCAAATCTCACCCATAAATTTCTATTTTCAGTACCAAAAATGGATCACCACACCATTCCGAAGATCGGTTTTACGTCAACACAGTGCAAACCTGGCACAGGCTTTCTACCTACCATAAATCCAAAAAAAGCAGTAACTTTAGAACTATGCCATGGTAACGACAAACAAGTTATATCACTGCCGGCCGATCGCCTGGATCAAAATAAACGTTACTACGTCACTTTCACGGTAAAGGGGAGCGAAGGCACACCACCCAACGAAGAAGTGTCCTCGGGACACAGACATTCCAAAAGTGATTAAAACATGTGCAATCAAAGTGCAATATGTTGTTAGATATTTATTGTTTGATATGAGAAATTTGTACAAGTCGTTGATGTATAGTTTAAATTTTAATAAAAAAGTTTGATACGACGCCGCTCGTTAATTTCATTTACAATTGAAGTGTTTTAATCGATGGTTGCGTGAATAGTCCAATCGATGGGAATAATAAGGTGAGTATTGTTTCGTGTGTTATGCGTTTAGTTTTGCATGAAGTTGTGACGAAAAATATAGATTTTCGTCGAGATAGGCCATAAATTGTTGTCAATCGAGTCGTCAATACCACCATGCAATTACATAATGGGCATGAAAAAAGTCACGAGTGATTATATTTCCAATATGGAGTATTCACCATGGTAACAAAACATAAACATTGGAGCGTAGCCAGCAGTACTTGACAAGACGAGGAACCCATCGGATGGAGAAATGGTTTAATGGAAGTAAATTTTGGTTGCTCGGAAACCAACTTCAACTTCTGCACAAAAGGTAATTTGACCAACTGTTATTTTAAAATTGCACTTTTTTTTATTTTGTGTACAATGATAAATCAATATTTACATAATTGCGAGTGACCAGAAACTTATTTTGTATGTAGTGGTCTACTGATCTAATCAATTCATTTTGCTTCCAAATTATCGGCTTGACCTTCAAAATTTCATGAATAAATATCATCATTGATTTATAGGGTAATTACCGACTGTAAATAATGAATTTTGTATCGTTTTTGACGAAAAGTTTTGTTACATATCTGCGTATAAATAAAAAAAATATTATGTATTGTGCTCTGCGCCAATTGTTTTGGTAACCTTTCGTTTAAATTACTTTGACCTTTTGTGTCAGACTCTAATTACATACTGTTTCTGAAATGGAATGCAATTGAAGCTTTATTACAGTTTTTAGTTGATCGTATCAAATTGTTACCTATTTTCCCATCTATATACTTAGTGTACATTTTTATTAACACTTTTTATCAACTGTGAATAAATAATTTCTTTATTTAAATAGGGGAAAACTGTTTTAGCTTCATTTAAAATTCTAAAGGGGAACATCTCTTCACCAGCAGATACGCTTTCTTCAGTAACGGCATAAAGATAACTTTTGCGTCAGAACTGAGACACTAAAACAATTCATTTACATTTAAACTAGCGTCTCCAAATGTAAGTAAAGCCAATTCAGAGTAAAGCAGAAACATAGTCTTCATTAGTTTTGTTTTTATGCACTCATTAACATAGAAACATAGCATTTGCATCGCTTGCTTATTTACTAGTTCAAATAAATTTGAAATATGCTTTTCATACGTTTTTGACTATAGGCGAAACCAGTAATAGAATCCAGTGTTAAATCTTAAAGTCGTAGCAAACTGCTGAATCGTAGAAATTAATTCAAATACAGTGTTGTTGAAAAAACCCATTTACCTACTTTAACAAGAAAGAATTTTCCCGAAGATTCCATACCACTACATTGAAACTAAATTTGTAGTATGTAAATTAAAATTATCAAACCCTTATAAAAATTTTGGAACAGTCAATTATCTTCGTTACTTGAGAAGCGATTTTTTTTTAATGGAAAAAGTTGAAACCTTACAAAATTCAGTTTATGACAAATTACTTCATACCCAGCATTGTTATAACTATATGAACATATATTTAATAAATATTCGAAAAAACATTTTTTCTACCGCGCACGTTTTTTGGTTTTCTAATAGAGCTATTAAAAAGCACGCAAATGACGTCACAGCAGTTCGTTAATAGCGGAAAGGCGTTTTTTAATAGATCTGGTGTAATTTAGATCGGTAAGATTGGTAGCCATGGCGAGAAATGTCAGGTGAATGTCAGTGGCAACTGTCAAATTAAAATTTCCCGTATTTCCGGAGGCGTAAGGACTTCACTAACTTCTCCACAAGACATTTTGACCAATTTTAACTTACAAAAACTCGAATTACAATTGTTGTTGTGAAAATTCGAACCTCAAATATTTCGTGATTAGTGTCAGACCAACCCATCACCAACCACGACAAAATTCCCCAGATTTAAAAAAATGCAAATTTCAATTAAATTTTGCGAGAAAACGTGCGCGGTAGAAAAAATAGTATAAATAATAACTCGTTCATAAGGTCATTGTGGCACTCATCCTTTATATAACTCGCGGCTTCGCCGCTCATTCTATAAACTTGGGTTCGTGCCTCTATATTTGCCTTATGAAACTCGTTCTTTAATATACTACTAAAATGAGCTTTTGTGTCTATTTGACGTCTAAATAAATATCTTCATTCAACCTGTTTTATAATAAAACATTGTCATCCATGGAAACATCGATGTAAGTTGTAAGAATAAAAAAACATCATTAATCCCAAAACATGAATAACAACGCAGCGTCGACCTACCATATCACGTAAATTTCCTATGTTTCCATCGAAAACATGTTTTAAACACTTTCCTGATATTTACATTTAGATCAACATCTTCAGTTTGTTTTTGCCCTTAGTTTTCAGTCAATGACCCGTTGTTCAGCAAAAAATTGTCCTTAATTATGCCCTTATTAATTTACAACTGTTTCTGCAATTATGTTGTTAGACACATTGCCACCATTATTAAATTTATCGCATAAGCCGGGTAAATGGGACGTGGTAAAGTATCGATAAAAACATTGAAATGAGGCTACGTATTTCATACTTATTACTTTTATTAAAAAATACATACCGTTTTTTAATTGATTGCCTGTTTTAATTTAACGTGTTCTTTACCCATCTAAAGGATTTTGCTGGAGATGTTTTAACTGCCTCTTGCTCACCACTGTTAATAAAAAAGTGCTTTACAATCGTAAGTAAAATCAGCACTGTGCCAACACTGAAAGATAAATGAAAACTGAAATCAGATAATTTTTAACTGCAAATCCCTTGGATTCGTTTATTTTCATACTAAAATCGGTTACGCTTAATTTCAAGAACGGATTTGCTTAAACCCCACGAATGTTAATCTTGAATACTAATTGTACTATTCGCGGCTTACCCATGCATAATTCAAAATAAAAACAAAAAATAGCATGTTCCAATATCGTGTAAATTACTGCTATTTTTTAAAGAGCTAAATTTGAATCTGGCCTTGGGGCTCAAAAATACACACGAAAAAAATAAATGGCTTGTCAAACGCAAATACAAGAAACTAAGTAAATTCCGGAAGAAAGCACGCGAATAATGCAAATGTGTTTTGCTCGAGCCGTGGAATATACTAGCCGAGTAAAAAACAAAAATGTTTTAAAGTTATCGAAGCTCTGTACAGAGATAAATTTGTTATCCTTTGTTGCGACCGGAAAAATAAAAATAACTCAAAAGTCAGCTTTTATTTTGGGTTGATTTAAATTCAACACTTGTAATTTTTAAAGCTATAATTTACTTTGAAAATAATTTCAGAGCGTTATAAAGCTTGAAGGAAAGCATTAACTGAATAATAAATTTCTGAAAGGGATATATTTATCGCTGAGTAACAAATTGTGGCAGATGCTACAACACTACTAAATAACGATTTTATCTAAACTTTAAATCAGAATCGATATATTCAACAAGCGGTGCATTTTCATCATTTCGTTTTATTTTGTTATTTCAGGTGTTAGGTACCGATCTGCGAAGTTATTCATATTTCCACGTTTCGATTTGTTGCTCTAAATTTCTCTAACACGGGTTCAACATTCTCTAATAACTATTCATGAAATACCAAGTTATCCAAATTCAAACATCTAATCGTAAATCTCACTCAACATTAAAAGTAGTGCAAACAGGAAAATTATTGTCAATTTTTCGGGTCTTGTTCCTCACGCAATTCTTAAGAAACCAAAAATAGTTACTGTCTATCTGAAGTCGAAACAAAGAAAAAAATTTTATACGAGTAATAAATAAGATATGTCGAAATCAACTGGTTGTTGAAAAATAACGCTTACACATTTTTTAATTCAATTCATTTTTATACCATTCAGAAATTATTCATTGATAACCTGAACATGTTACTTGACAAATGCTTGAAATTTTATAAAGTAACATACTCCTGCACTTGTGGTTTATGAATTCGCCTTCAGTTTTTACCCTAGGCATCCAGATTTTTACCGCAAAAAAAAATCCAAATTATATAATAACATTTTATACCACTATAAGAGCAAGCCAAAATGGTTGAACGGTGTATCGACCTTAGATCATATAATAAATAGATACCAATACTCAAACTGAAAGGTGTGACTAGACATGAAGCTATCTGTTGTCGTTTTCTACGTCCAGGGGAGTAGTATAATGCTATCCTTGTGTGATCACCACATCTTCATCTTTGTTATATGCATTTCATCTGTATATGTCTATTTCACTTCGATCCTTGTACCGCACCAGCGCAACAAATCGCTTTTGACAGATGTTTCTTCTAACCTCTCTTTCGAGTTGTTGTACAAAAAACAATTTTAGAATTTAGAACAAAGATCCTATTTTAAGTGATGTAGTCATAAAGGATCACAATTGCTGCCCAATAATTTACTATTGCTTTCGTTATCTACTGTGAATTATTTATAAAATCAAGCTGTCAACATCTTTCTTCCGAAGTTGGTTCAGACATACTTCCTAAAATTTAGGCGCGCAAAATTCAAATAGTGATCAGGCAAAGGATAGCTTCATTGTAATCCCTCCATGCACGAGAGAGATGTGTGACAGGAGGATGTCGTCACAGGCTGTCCTAGGGAAAGAACACGGCATGGTGGTATCTATTTATTATATGATCTAAGGTATCGACCAACGATTCGAACTAAAACCGCAAAACACGCGAAGATCGCCGATTCGATTTCCTCATTGACGACTTTTTTTTTCTTAAACTGTGACTGATATTATCTTATTTTTTAACATATAGAAGTTATCATAAAGTAAATAAAATTTCATAAATCAAATTTTACAATTTTTCCATTGGGTTTTGTTGGATTCTAGGGGCTAGGGAAGTTCTGTCGAAATAACCTTAGACTAAGTTTTTTGTCGATGTCATATTTAACTTGAGTGCTGTGAAAATGTAACACATTGAAAACATACCACTTAAAATCATAAAGTTTATGTCATTGATAATATAGATATTTTCAATCGGCTGACAAATCCAAATTTCAAATATCTATCTATCAGTTACCAGAAATATGAGTGTAAAACAAGTAAACAGGATTCTTACCATTTAAAAACGTTTTTAAAGTATTAAACCAAATGGAAACACTTAAAAATATTCTATTTAAGGCGCTTGAAACATATACTCCTATTATATTTGAAAAGAAAAAGCTGAGTCATTTCTGAAAAAAATTCATTTTATAGATTTCTTTATGTTAATTAACTACTTTAAATTTCAAACTTCTGTCTTTTCAAATGACGTTTTTCGAGACATTAAAGTGAAGCAAGTAAACTGGGGCATCCGATATATTTTAAGTCCAAAATTTAATAACAATTTATTTCAATAAATCGGTCGTTTTGTACAAATTAAAAACTTTTCCTACCAAAATTCAATTGTTCCAGTGTTATAATAAAAAATGTAGAACAAAAGTTAAAAATATTCTGAACATTCAGTGTATAATTAACTCAAACATACACACAACAGCTCAGTGTTAATAGCATATCTGGATAAAACTGACATTCTAGTAAAATATTTTTTTTTACAATATAAGTGAGCCAGTCCTTTCAGAACATGAAAAATAAGGTACTTATTTTTTTCTTAATAACTAAACTAAATATCTGCGTCTTTTGCATTCTTGACTTCATTCTTCTTATCAAGAATTTGACCAGTCTCACATTTAGAAAAAATTTCCTTGCTTTTAAAAAATTCCTTAATGTTTCTTTTCTTTTTCATATTTAAGTGGCGCTTTACAGCTGTTACATCACTTCCTTGATCGACAAATAATATGGAAGCCGATGATAGGCACATATGTATTCATTAAAATTTTCCACATTATACCAACGAGATGTACAGTGTATTTTCCCAATTACCGTTATTAGCGAAGATTATATATCGCTAATGTTATTTGTTTATTTGTCAATTCAACTCCAAGAGGGGAGACAGTAATACCAAAAATCATTACAACAAAAAAAATTGGTCTAAAGAGTTTAGACAGTACTTCCCTCTGTCGGAAACGTAACGACGGCATGCCTATTATGTTTTTTTTTCTCATTACATTTTTGTAGCGGAGCATTTTAAAAAATTTTTGCGATGACGTCATCAACATTGTTGTAAGGACACGTATATCAGTTTGGATAGATGTAGTGTAATACTAAAAAAATAGGGCTAGGCGGTTGAAATTTACCCGCTGCGTATGGGCAACGCCAGACCTGTGGCTCGCAACCGATGTTAGGCATGGCGAAGAAAATTATGAGAAAACTAACGTTAACTGAACGTTTTTTTAAAATCCATATCCACGACATAATAATAATAATATTTTTAATAATTTTCAAGTGTCGATCTCGCTGAAAATAAAACTATTTCAGTACATTATTAAAAATGATGCACAATTGGAAAGCCAGAAGCGAGTAAGGCAAGGATGCATGCTTACAATAACTTCAAAACGTCAAGATTTCAAAGTATTCAGTTTTGCAATTCTTGATTTAATCAATAAAATAACAGTCATTAATTTTTTTCACACACCCTGTATAAGCAAATCTGAAAAATATTTATGCAGTGATAAATCACAATTATAGACTCATGATACTTTGCACAATGCACATTTATGCAATGCATTTTTTCGGAAAAAATTTGGGGTGGCGTGATCAATTTTTTAGGGGGGGACGAGCAAATATATTTTGATCAAAAATTTACCATGCCTATGATAACTTTAAAACATCTCCAAGATTTCAAAGCATTTGGTTTTGCAGATTCCAAATTAAATGTCAAAATGTTGTTTTCTAATTTTGATTTTTTTCCAAAAAGCTGGACGTTTCGGATAAAATCTCAATTCGGAGTCATAAACTACACGTGTAAGACTATGTTATTTGATACAATTTAAAACCCATTGACTATGTACAATTTTGAAGTGAAGTCATCACATTAGTGGTGGGGATGATTAGACAAATTTTGGTTAGCGTTTTACCATCTACATGATATACTTAGTATAAATGCAAAATTTGACAACAATCGGCCCAGTACAGATCTCCGAAATTATCTGTCTAATAAAAATCCGGGACGGCAGACAGGCAGACAGACGGAACCTATTTCTTCATCCTCTAGGGGTCATGATAGGTCGAGAAAACGTAAAAGTAGAAAGTCGGCCGACGGATTCGATTACAAAAATAAAATAAATCACAAAAATAATAAATACTCGCTCCTGAAGAACAATGAAACATATCCAGCATTTTCGAATTGAGTTTTTTCTTTACACAATTTTGTGTTGACGTCATCAACTAGTTACGTCGATGTTCGTGTTGCCACATAACATTTATTTTACAGCTAACATTGAATAATCGCTCCATAATATGGAAGATTTCACTTATTCGCTTTTGACAGTAAGACAACTCTTTTACTGTCTTCTTTGCGTGCTTTTTATACGACGAGTCTGAAAATTTCTAGTAGAACCTTTCATATCTTTCCTTAGACTTAGTAAGTACTAAATTTTAAAATGTATTTTGCACTTCAACAATTATATCAAATGAAACACTGTTGCTGGAATATACTTCGTATATTATAATCCCTTCTCATAATGTCCAAATATGTATCTGATACCTACGTCTCTTCATAAGCCAAATACATATATTAAAAATGTCAAAACGAGCTAGTTTATAGACCTTAAAAAGACGCCACAAGGGAAAACATTCTGTCACGCTCGAGACGCATATTCTCACATTTGCGTGAATTCAACATTATTATTTCACGTTCGTGTTTGAATCACTCGTGTTCTGAACTTGTTAGGAAAATATCTATTGTTTGCCGTTCAAAAGACATGAAATGTTTGAATCTATCCTGGGCGAGGTTTATAGCCAATGATATGACTACATCTTTAAGATCTGTAAAATCCTCTGTTAAAACAATTTTTTAATCTTTAGAAATCCCTATTGCCAACATATAATCTAGTTACAAATAGCTGGCTGCAACTATTAGGAATAGCTTTCAACTATTTTTTTTTTTTTTACCTGAATATTAGATACTATTATTTACTGGTCGGCACGTTAATTACAGACCAATAGTTAACGGTTAATCGACTTTTAATCTAACTTGTATCGAAAGAGCAATAAAAAGACGATCACCGACAACCATCGATTTTTGAAAGTTTGTCTCTGATCGTTGCATTTTCAACTCTAATTTTCAAGTTGAACATAATCTGACATAAAAATTCTATGAAAGACAAATCTTCCAAAATCCATGGGTAACTTTGATCGTATTTTCTATTGCTCTCTCAGTACAAGCGGTTATGAATCACTGTTTTCCCTGTATAAAGGAAGGTAAAACGAAAACTCAAAACATATTCAATTTCAGTGTAGCAAAGACGGTATATATAATTAAATCCAACACGTTTTGATGGTAATTATGATTACGATACATTTCATGCAACGGAGTGTATTTTTGAATGTCAGTCCTTGGTATGGACAGGTAGAAAAGTGTAGTAGGTAGTCAAAAGTCAACTAACGCTTTTAATGGCATCATTAACGCAGATATTAAACAGCATGGGATCTAAGCCGAGCCCTACGAAACTCCTGACGATGCCATAAATTTTAACCTACATTACAAAAAATATTAAATAATATAAAAATCAACATTTCGTCCTTCAATGTGTTTTTTTTTTTAATTCCTCGGCTTTTTAACATTTTCAAAATGTTCGAATTCTATTGTATTCTTAAACGGTACACAAAATCAGTTAAGTGAATTAAATTTTAAAAGGAACCCCACAATTTTTGCTCATACAAACTGAGAACGGGAAAAAATTAAATCTATTCGACGGTCTTTTCGTATGCCCGTAGCTGCTACAATCACCCTCGTCCCTCGTCATTCTGTCCAAATCATAGTCATTTTTTTCATTAGGGAACCCAGAAATCGCCTCACAAATAACTGAACAACAAAAAACTCGGTTGCTTGCCAACCTTGACACTCCGCTGTCTGTGACAGCTTATAGTATTAAAATTACTCGCGCCTCGTGTTTGTTTTTCATCTAAAATTCCAACAGTCGTCGGAAATGCCGTAACCGTTTTCGAAAATCATGAGGGATGCGGGGCGGGTTCCGTACAGTTGCCCACTCTTATAAAATAAAATTTTCGTGAACTTCGCACAATGTGAATACTCATGATGGCTCTAACCACGTTACCTACTAACTTAGTTGACTGCACGCATCAGGAAAAAGTCGAGGGAGTTTGGATTCATACGCACGCACCTTATTGGTAATCAATCAATTAAATGAGCCAACCATTTCCCACCAAACGTCTCCTTCATTATATAAACACGAGCTTTATTTTTTCAGGACACGCACCCCATCGAAGGTCATGGAACGATACGAGAAGATCGCGAAATTGGGCGAAGGAAGTTATGGAATTGTGTATAAGTGTAGGAATAGGGACACTGGGGAAATTGTAGCTATTAAAAAATTTGCAGAGAGCGAGGACGATCCGTTGATTAGGAAAATTGCTTTACGAGAAATAAGACTTCTTAAAGTAAGAGCAGTCGAAGTCTGTTAAATTATTCCGGAGGAAATGACTCTTTTAGAGCTTCGTTAAGAGGTTTCCAATACATGCTATACTTTAGAAACATACCAATTTCAAAAACTCGTATTCATATTTTAAAGTCCATTTTTTACTAATTGTATGAAATTTAAAATCTAGAAGTTTTAACACTCCCCTTAACACTGAAGATCATTCCCTTTAATAATGAAACAGCAAATGGACCATAATGTGTTTCTTTATTTATTTATTTTTCTCGTCTTTTAGAATTTGAAACACCCAAATCTTGTGAATTTGCTGGAGGTATTCAGGCGGAAGCGCCGTCTGCATTTGGTTTTCGAATTTTGCGAAAGAACAGTATTAAACGAGCTGGAGAGATATCCGCGGGGATGTCCGCACTTGCTGACTCAGCAAATAATTTGGCAAACGCTTCAGGCTGTGGGTTATTGTCACCATCACGGGTGTATTCATCGGGATATCAAACCGGAAAATATTCTTCTGACAGCTAATGGCGTCGTGAAGCTATGCGATTTTGGATTTGCGCGCATGCTAAGTAAGATTTTTTTTACGTATATAATTTATCTGTGTTGCACTGTTATGCACTAACATCTTGCTATATAATACATTATTTTAGTAATTTTCGAATTTATAATAAAAATTATTAAATGAGTCACTTCAGAAATGCCTTTCGTTGCTTTTGTAAAATTATATCAACTGACAATATTTTTTCTTTTCTTGACACCATAAATGTAAAGTTCGTGGAAACAGGAACTTTGTTCATATGTTCATTCCTAATTGAGCTGAAATACTTCTGAGTAAACAAAAACTGACGATAATACAGAAATTGTTATTACACGTAATTAAAGAGGGTAAACAGTTCACACAATCAAATATCTGTAAAATAACTGATATTATTCTTGTGTTCCTTCGTTTAGAAAGGTATCTATCTAACTGAAGAAAATGAAAGTGATATTTCTAATTTTGTTAGTTCGCAGCAGTGCTTTTGAAACAAACATCTTCATATTCAGATATATTTAAATTTTAAATGTACATTTATTGTAAATTAAACAAAAAAAATGTTTATTTTGATGGAACTGAATTTAATATCCCTGTCTACAAAGTGTATTTAATTTTGGCTTCATAAAACATTTCAGAGACAACTGACTCTAATAAAACTAAGTATCGCAGCAAAACTTGTTACCTCTAATTCACTATGAAATTTCACCTCATGCTTCTTCTTAATGAAACTACCCATCTTTGGCACTTTATTTAAAATCTCTCAGTATGAATTACATTATAATGTTTTTAACAAAATTTTAATGTTAATTTGTTCTGAGTAGTACTAAAGAATAATAAATTAAACAAAAAAGCTTAAAAGAAGCAAACAAGATAGAAAGTTGCCAAAAATAATACAAATTATGTTAACAGCGGTAATAAAAGAATAATTGAAATGACAACCATCATCCAAAAAAATCTTTCTAATAACTAAGTTTATGTTTGCAAAACTTCCTACTTATTTTTAAAGATAAAATCGAATCATTATTTAAATTATTAATTTTAATACATATTTTAATTTAATGTTAAAAAATAAGCTGATAAGGGATAAGAGTATGTTACAAATATTTGCCGTTTGACTTTGTCATATACATATAAGTTAGAACGAAGAAGCATATAAACGAATACTTTTGACAATGTATGACCAATTTCTTGTAGCGAAATCGCTATTTAAAAAATTAAATGTTTAAATGTAGATACAGATTATGAATTTGTCTAGAACGGCTATCGAACGTTTTGCAGTCTTAAACTATAATTTACCCTCCACGCTTTACTAGGGAGCAATTTATTGTATGAAATTACCACCTACTGATTCCTTATTTCCAGGCCCCGGGGAAAATTATACGGACTATGTTGCAACCCGTTGGTATAGGGCACCTGAATTACTAGTCGGCGATACCCAATACGGTCCCCCTGTAGATGTGTGGGCGATAGGTTTGTACAATAAATCGTTCTAACACTCCCATGAATATTTAATTATCTAGGTTGCGTTTTGGCTGAACTCATTAAAGGGGAAGCTCTTTGGCCTGGAAAATCTGATGTGGATCAACTTTACCTTATCAGATCGACGGTTGGTGACCTTTTGCAACGACACATGCTAGCATTCAAGAATAACGATTTTTTCCAAGGAGTTATATTGCCTGTACCGCAACAAATGGTTCCTTTGGAAACTAAATTACCTATGTGTAACCAAACGACTCTAGACTTTTTAAAAGTGACTATTAAATTTAAAACATTTTTTTTTATTTAACGCAATGTTTCAGAAATGTCTTGACAAAGACCCTTTAAAAAGATGGACCTGTGATATGCTTTTAACACACGATTATTTTGAAAATTTTAATTTTAAAGTAGATGACACAGATACGCAGAACTTTGAAAAACTCTCAAGGGACAGATCACGGGTACGTAATTTTCTCATTTGTGTGCTGTTCTTATTTTAACGTTTCAGAATTCATTAAATGGCACCTCTTTGCCTCAGCTAACTGGAACGAAACCAATCAGTCCAGCAAAACAAAGTAACAGCCAGCGGTCGAAAATTGATCATTTACCTACAATTTGACAAAAACTTTCAATTTTTTCCAAGTAAATTAATATTTAATCATATGACACAATATATTTTGCCTAAATTCAAATTATAAGTGTTACTATTTTAGGTGTAGATTTAAGCATAATAGTTACTATGTAGCATCTATGTTGCTGTAAATACAATACAAAGAGGGGTTATTTATTTACATGGATTATTCATTTTAACAAATAATTTAGAAAAGTCCTTATGGCATAGTGAAAACAATAAAAACGATTTTCATTTTAATTTTATTTTATCCCAAACTACAGTTGAGCTATGAGAGCAGCGCTTTAAAAAACCCCTTTAACAGTCTCATATTCAAAAATACAACAAATTTATTTCTATTTACTATGTACAAAGTTATGATTCGTGTTTTATCATTTCATGGTTGTTTAGGTTCTGCATCAGTTAGTTCGTGATATTTGTGTTCAATTAACTCTCCTAACTTTCGCGTCCCCTTAAATGAATTTCATTGTAATAGTTTCCTGAGCAATTTCAATTAAGGCAACTTACAACGATAAGAGGCAAATCTTTCTTTTCTTCAGGCCGAACCAAAGCTGGTACATCCTGCAATTTCGACCAACCCCAATGCACACCTACAATTATTGATAACCCTGATATCATTACGACATTATCATTACAAAACTTTATAAACTTTTTCATGAACGTCATCTTGTTTCTATATTTAATTTTTTGTTAAATAAAATTTGCAGTCGGAAGAGGTTAGTTGTCAAATGTAAATGTCACATTTCTTAATACGTCAAAATTAACATAATGAACAAAAAGTAACTACAACCTGTTATTTACTGCTATATTTTATTTTAAAATAATTAGTTCATCGTACTAGCTTACAATACCTATTAAAGAGGTAATTCATAAAGTAACGCATTTTAAACATAAATATAATCATTCATTCAAACTAATAATAAATCTAATAATCCATGACGTAGTTTTGTTAGGAATGTTACGGGTTAAGTTGGCTGTCATGATATATTTCAAAGTTTTCAAACTGAACGCTGCTATTGTGAAGGTTATGTTCACTTGTTTTAAATCTCCGTTTGCAGAGCAAGAGCCATTATGTACTTTATTAAAACGTAAACAATATTATGTTTACTTATTATTCTTATATTTTAAAAATAACTACATTTGTACACAAAACAGTTCATCCAGTACGCAACATTTTGGCCTCTTTCTTCTCTTGTAGCTCTTTTTTCTGTTGTTCTACTATCGCTTTCCTCTCAATAATAAACTCTCCATACTCTTTAGGATCAAGATCTCGCACAACTTCAATTCCACATGACTTTGCAATACCACAGATCATTAAACACATTTCTTCTAAAGACTTCGTTTCTAGAGTTGGATCTTCTCTTTTAATTTGCGCAATTTCATAAACATGCTTTAATGTGACTTTCCCGGAAATTTCTTTACCTTCAAATAAAAAAAAATGAGATACTGGAAATCAAAACTTACAAACACACCTGGTTCCATTGCCGCTCTCTGAATCCCTGCCGCCTGCTTCAAAAAGTACACTACTGGGGGCTTGTGTATAACAAGCTCATAGCTCCGATCAGGATTTACAATAACTCGAGTAGGTAAAGGAATTCCTTGTTTAATGTCCTTGGTTCTCTCATTAAAATCTTTACAAAATGCTGCGATATTGATACCTCTCTACAAAATGTGCCAGTTAATTCACAAAAAAAGCTATTTTTAAAGTTCTTACTTGACCAAGCATGGGACCTAGCGGGGGCCCTGCGGCCGCTAATCCCGCTGGTATATTTGTTTTTAACTTGCCATGTTTTACTTTTTCGACTACCTTTTTCAAGGATTTCATTCGAGCAACGGCTTTGGACATTGTTTTTAATTAAATTTAATTGTTTATGAAAGTGAACACAACATAACCTTTAAAAGTCACATGTCACAATTGTCAAACAAACGTCAACGACCAAGATGATATGGCTAAAATGGGGTCATCGGTAACGCAAAAATACGTCAAACCAAAATTTGTATTTTATTTGTCTTTATTAGCAAAAATTCTTTTTGAGGCCAAAATAATTTTCAATATTTGTCTGCAACAATCAAATTCATAAACTTCGTGTATTGTTAATTAAAACGTTACAACTCAAAAGTGGTGTTACCTAATAAAGCAAATACAAAGTTGGTCAACATAAAAGAACCTAGGAACTAGTAGTAAATACTACACTAAAATCGTGAACATGGTAGCCAAAACGAAAACAACACTTATTTTCCTCAAAAGTGTGGGTGTAGCTTTGTTACAAAATTTCTTGTCACATAAGCACAGTACAAGATCTTTTGTGGTCATGCAGCCAACTTTCATCAAATTACCGTTCTTGTCAGTGGGTCCGCTGCAGCCTCTTGTCGTTTCAGTTTGTTTACCACGTTTGCTAACTTTAGTAAAGCAATAACTCCCTATGAATATACAATAGATATATTGTAAGCAATAATTCACTAAATTTAACAAACCCTGGTAATGTGGGCACTGCAAAGACATGTTATATTTCTCTTCTGGTGTTGCTAGTTTAAATATAGTCTTATCACATAAGGGTTGCAGTTCATTGCTCACAGATTTACACTGATAGCATATCAATCCCTTAACGGCATCAAAATTAGGTTTAATACTTTGTATCAGTCCAGGATCTTGAGGAGCCTGTGCCCTAGTTTGAAGCAACGCAACACAAAGAATAAAAACTGCTGACAGCCAGTATGACATTTCAATTATTTTTATCAACTAACAAATTAAAACTCCAATGATAAAATATTTCTTTATTAACATTAAAAATAAGACGAAAATAAAACTACCAGATCTGTTTAATATTGTACTCAGGCATGCTCATAAATTTTCCAATGAAATAATCTCGAATAGATGTTGTTGGACTTAGTTTGAACAACCAGTGGTAAAAAGCGTATCTCACAGGTTCGACTTTATAAGCTGCATCTGGCGTTTTCAGCAACAAAGCGTCTTCAAATTTTTTGTATAATATCGGGTTTTGGATAGGACTTGGGATTTTTGGAGGATTTATACCCAATAAATATGAATGGTATCGTTGAAAATAGTCATCATAAAATAATCTCTGTTCTCTGGTGAAAGCTTTGTGCATTTCGTGTACATGTTCTGCGTGTTTTGCCATAATATTACACTGAGTAAAAAAAGAACCTGGCGTGAACATGATTACTTTGACATTATATTTGCTCAGCTCAGTTCTCAGACCATCAGTGAAGGCTTTTATAGCCGCTTTTGTGGCTCCATATACTGCAAGGCCTGGCAAACAAGCGAACGAACAGTGACTAGTAATGTTGATTAATCTTCCTATAACAAAAAAAAAAGTAGTTTAGTAATACAATAGTACGTGAATACCATGGTATTTTCTCAGAAGCGGAAGGAAGGCTTTTGACAAGCTCATGGTACCAATTAGATTGACGTGAACTTGTTGATGTATTTGTTTTTCCGTTTGCCACTCAAACTCCCCAAAAACCATTACACCTGCGTTATTGACAAGCGCATAAAACTCTAGAAACATAAAAATTAACGTCAATAAGTTAAGTTTATTAACATTACCATAGGCAGGGTTAGTATTCAGGTACCGATTTATTGTTTCAACAGCCACAAATATGCTATCACTGTTGGTAATATCAAGTTCTATCTGAGTAATATTTTTGTGGAACGCTTTAATTTCCTTTGCTCCTGAAGATTCGAGACTTAGAAACCCAGCCACCACGGTGAACCCGATTTTCGCTGCGTGAATAGCCAAAGAAAACCCCAATCCAGAGTCACATCCAGAAATAAATATAATTTTCTTCAGTGAGGGGTGTCCCATTTCTTTTGATGATTGAAACACATAGATTAGGCTACCCAAGGAAATTGTTGCAAGGCTGAGGGTCCTTAATAATTGATTGGTTTTGTAACCATGTTGGATTAACACAACCATGCCTACAAACCCTGCTCCAACTCCGATGTACAGTTCATTCAGAATTTCAAAAACGGTCAAACAGAATTTTGAAAAGAGGCTCATCTTGTAGGTTCGTGTCGATGGAAACTAGCAAAAATCACATTTCTGGAGTATTCCAAGCAGAATATTTATGGGGAATGGTATATTTTAAAACCACTGAAAAATGTCGAGCTTGTCAAACCGTGCAAGCATTTTAAGGTTATGTCGGTGCTGAAAATATTAATTGGTTGAGAATTTGTCGTGAAACACCTCACCGCGGTGAAACACGTTTCGCGAATTGAAAAAAACTACTTTGAAGAAGCAAAAACTTTTGAACTGCAGAAAAAATATTGTGGTTATAATTCGTATGTGGCTATTATTACGTTGTTCGAATTAACACTATTATTTATTACTGCATTAATTAGTCTATTTAAAACTTGGATGATAACTGACATTCATGAGATCGCTCCATTGTTACGTAACAATGATAATAAAGTAATAAATTAATTTTAGGTTTTCAAAAAATCTACCGCCAGTGGACATGACATCCCAATCTAGGAACTTTTCGTTTAGCACTAGCAAATGTCACCAGGTCACTAGTGGCATTGACAGCTGTTACTTAACTGCGGCATTTTACAAACCATCAGAAAAAAATCCAAAAATGCCTGATCTCTTCTCATACTTTTAATAATCAGTAATCACAGTTTCGTCGCGTGTGTGTGTTGCTTAAAAATGTGCTTATTTCGATATTCTGGAGTGTGAGGGCGAACCAAGGTAACCCTGCTATGTCTCGAGTATTTCGCTTGTACGGTGAATTTTGCGCAACACACCCATGGGAAGTAATAGTGGCTGTGATAACACTAACCACTTGTTTGCTAACCGTAGACCAAAAACAGACTGACACCGACTCTCACGCAAAACGATCTCAACCTTGTCCAGGATGTTTCGAAGAGCAGTTCAAAGCGGTGGACGTCATCGTGATGACGGTAATCCGCTGCTTAGCCATCCTATACAGTTCCCACCAATTCCGCAACTTACAAAAACTCGGATCGAAATACATCTTGGGTATCGCTGGCCTATTCATAGTGTTCTCTAGTTTCGTTTTCACATCGACTGTCTTGAACTTCCTTCAGATTGACTTGGTGGATTTGAAAGATGCTTTGTTCTTTTTCTTGCTTTTGATTGACTTGTCTAAAGCTGCGACTTTAGCTCAGTTTGCTTTGACTGCTTCGAGTCAGGAAGAAATCACTAGTAAGATTGCTAGGGGCATGTCGGTGTTAGGACCTACTATAACTTTAGACACGGTTGTTGAAACTCTAGTCATAGGTGTAGGAACATTGTCGGGAGTTCATCGCCTAGAGATGCTCTCATATTTTGCTTGTCTTTCTGTTCTCGTAAACTATGTGATATTCATGACATTCTACCCTGCTTGCTTGTCTCTCATGCTAGAGTTGTCGCGCATTTCCAATTTTTACGGCGAAAAACAGCCGGTAGTTTCAAAGATGTTGTTAGAGGAAAACGAAAAAGCAAATCCTGCTGTACAGAGAGTTAAACTCATCATGTCAATTGGTCTAACTGCTGTACATATACACAGTCGGTGGTTCATTAAGGATGACACCACCACCGATGTCTCCAATAACACAAACACCGACAACACAAATTGTGCTGACGATTCGTCTTTGTATGGCTTCCTCATGAAACAATTTGCTTTAAGCGCTGACCATATCGTCATTCTCATCCTTGTTGTTACGCTTATTATCAAATTCGTCTTTTTCGAAAACGATGACCATTTGAAACAACAAATAGAAACGGTAGTACAAACTCACGACGAAACAACTCACGTCCTCAGAAGGCAGCAGCGATTCGCCAAAAGCGATTCCGTAAACGAAGAGAAAGAAGTGCAAACGATAAACGACGAAGAAATAGAAGATTTAGAGGAACCTCTTCTTTCTAGGAGCTTGGAAGAGTGTTTACAAATCTATAGATCGGACGGAGCTTCCAAATTGACTGATAGAGAAGTAGTTCTTTTAGTAGACACTAAACATATACCGTCGTACAACTTGGAGAAGGCAGTGAACAATCAAGAACGTGGTGTCAAAATTAGAAGACAGATCATCCAGATTAGCGCTAAATGTGAAGACGCTTTCCTAAATCTTCCATATAAGCACTATGATTATAGCAAAGTCATGGGTACGTGTTGCGAGAATGTGATTGGCTACATTCCTGTACCGTTGGGTGTTGCTGGTCCTCTCCTTTTAGACGGCAAACAGTATTATATACCGATGTCGACAACAGAAGGTTGTTTGATTGCTAGCACAAATCGAGGTTGTCGTGCTGTAGAACACTGCGGAATCAAGAGTCGAATTGTGGCAGATGGCATGACCAGAGGGCCAGTAGTACGTTTTACTTCCATCACTAAAGCGACAGAAGTCGTTGCTTGGTTAGAAGTAACCGATAACTTTTCGCTGGTTAAAGAAAACTTTGATTCGACCAGTAGGTTTGCAAAATTGACGAGAATCACGACCCGACTGGCTGGCAGATACTTATTCTTAAGGTTCGTAGCAGAAACTGGAGACGCAATGGGAATGAACATGCTATCCAAAGGCACAGAAAAGGCTCTACTAGCCGTCCAGAAACGTTTCCCAGATATGGAAATACTAAGCTTGAGCGGAAACTTCTGCACTGATAAAAAACCAGCAGCAGTTAACTGGATCGAAGGTCGAGGAAAGTCGGTAGTTTGCGAAGCGATTGTTTCAGGGGACGTTGTTTCTTCGGTTCTAAAATCATCAACACACGTTCTTGTAGATCTCAATACATCTAAAAACATGATCGGTTCGGCTGTTGCTGGAAGCATAGGTAAGAAACTCGTCGGGTGTTTTCTTGTTTTTTAATGTCAATCCTGATGTTTATAGGTGGATTCAATGCACATGCTGCTAACATAGTAACTGCAATTTTTATTGCTACGGGTCAAGATCCGGCCCAGAATATAGCTAGCAGCAATTGCATTACTATAATGGAGCCATGGGGCGAAAACGGGCAAGATTTGTACATATCTTGCACTATGCCTTCTATTGAGATTGGCACAGTAGGAGGTGGAACCATTCTTCCTGCGCAGTCGGCTTGTTTGGATATGTTGGGTGTCAGAGGACCAAATGAAGATTCTCCAGGAGCAAATTCCAAACAGTTGGCTAGAATTGTTTGTGCAACTGTTCTTGTAGGTGAATTGTCGTTAATGGCCGCTTTAGCTACCGGGCACTTAGTGAAAAGCCATCTGAAATATAATCGTTCCTATTCTGAGAAAGATAGTTGCGAAAAAACTGATTCTCAGGAATGTTGTAAAACTTAGATGCTTTTGTAAAGTGTTTAATAAAAGTAGGTAGTATAAATTTAATGGTGTTTTATTTATGTATTTCCCTGTGGTGTTTGAATTCGTCGGTTACACAGTGAAGATCACCACCTCGTTTGATTAAGCACGAAGCTACACATTTTTCTGCCTTTGTAGAGTGGGGTACCTTTTTTTCGAATTTTAAGTGGAGTATTTCCGCAAGTAGTTAAAGCCGGAACCAAAGTCGTAAGGAAGTTGTTTAACAAAACTGGGTGAAATGAAAACGCCACTAGACACAGAAATGCTGTAGTAGAGATCCCATTTCCCTGGATGAAACCAAAAATAAAGCATTAAATTAATTAGATACAACATGTTGCATTAAGACTTCAACACTACATTACAACATCCACAAATCTAAGACACATCAAGCAGTGTAGAGCTTCTTTTCCCTGCTTTCTCTTCATTTGTCATTTTTCCTTCGTCAGCGTTAAAAGGGAATTCTGTATCAGTAAGTGGTGGTGACGTCGTTTCCAGTAAATGGCCATTGTGTGAATTCTGCAGCAAAGAATCCAAAGTATTGCCAAAATTATCATCATCTTCTCTGAAACACTCGCCCGTCGAGCCAGTTATATATTCGATAGTGTTCAACAGTTGTTCAATCCTTTCTAGTCTCGAAGGAGTTTCGTTTATATCTTTAGAAGACGTGTCCTCTCTATTATGAAGCGACGATTCCACTTTGTTGTCAACGTCTTCGGTATTCTTAAAGAAGTTAATTTTATTTTCGTCCTTTTTTGCTTTGCTTGCTTTAGATTTTATCTCCAACAAGCTTTTCTTGAGGGTTTTAACGTCATAACCTTCTAATTTTAGTAAGTCGATGCTTCTTTTTAAATTCTCGACCTTTTTGGGAAACCGCGGAGCCGTTAGAACCCTGCTTTTGGTTCTTATTAGTTTCGTCAAAGACCTTTTTGTCTGCACCATTTCAGATTTCTTTGACGAATTATTACCGGCCTGGACACCCATTTCTCTGTGGATGTTGACGTCGTTGCCACTTCTCGTTACGGTTGGAAAATTCAGTTCGCTTAAAATTTTTTGCAAGAAACCTCGACTAGAAAATATGTTGAAGGAGTTTTGAGAATCTTTTCTATCGCAGCGTTTCTGGACGTACTTTGGGTGGTGAGGCGAAGAATCGTACCTTTCGTTGTCGAATTTATGGCTCGACAGTATAGCATCACATACTGCTGTTAACAGTTTGCAGTGTTCAGTGTCGGAGTTTTTTTTTATGTTGTCAGAAGATACACACGCTATGGTGTGGTTAGAAGGGTAACAACTATCTGAATTGCCTTCACGTCGTAGCTCTTTCTTGTCATCAAACAGACTCATGATATTGATGTTATTTTTAAGTAAAATGTCGAAGCTCTTGTGTAAAGTGGAGAAATTGTTGGATGTTAGGTTCAAGAAGTCGATAGCAGTGGGTTTTCGTGGGTGACGATTCAAGCAGTAGTTAATTAAAGGCTCATTATCGAACTGGTATTTTTGGTTTGATTTATCGCTGTCTTCTTCGGTCAACGCTTTGCTACCTCCTGCCGGAGAGTTAATGGACTGTTTACTTCCAGATGTAGTTATCTGTTTATTTTTGGTTTGGTCACGCTTGCAACTACAACACATCGGCTGAACGCAAGGGCAAGTATTCCGTACACAGTTACAACAGACCGGTCTTCGACACCTACACTTTCTTCTTTTATTACAACTGCAAACTTTCGGCTGAGGTTTCGGTATGCGCATCTCGCTAATTTTGGTAGACTGTTCTTTCACTTCCTTTACAGTCTGCGTACACGCACACCTCGATTCTGTCTTCTTCTGGCCCGAGTGGCAACAGCAGCAAATTTGCTCCTGCATACAAGGACAACACACCTGACCGCAAGAACAACAACACGGTTCGTAGTCCATGCAGCAACAGCAGCAGCAGCAACAACCGTCAAACTGATCTTCAGGCTCCCTCATATTGGTTTCCGACTTTTTTGGTGGTACTTCTGCCACACTCTTCGCCGAAGAAACCTTTCGTGGCGAGGGGGGTGGTGGTTTCTTTTTCTTAAAACAGCGAAAGCAGCCGCCGCCGCCGCCCTTTTTTTTTTCTTCCGCCTTCAGCTGCCTGTAAATGATATGTTATCGATTGAAGATGCGAATTGCGGCTATTTTATACTCGGTGCTTTTGGCAGGTCGTGGCGTCGTTTGCACTTGTCGATTATTTGGTGTGACGGGTTGATGAGTTGCGTCCTTATCGGATTTTTTTACCCATGTCCACCCAGACCACTGACAATATTGGAGATCCCACTCTCCGTCTTGTCCACCTGGAAGCGCAGGAACACCACCTGGTGCAGAAAACTGTACCGGAGCGTCTCTGACTGGTGTCTCCTGTAAATTTCTGTATCTTCTGCAAGTGTTTCTATTGCAAAACTCTCCTCCACAATCTTGTGTCATGGGACAGGACATTATAATATTAACTTGGTCACATTTTTTCTCATCTACAGGGGTCTACTGTTGAATTTTTGCACAGACTATCAAAAAATAAGTTTCAAAATGACGTTTGTTTGACAGTATTGGCAGCAGAGATGCACATGGGTGCGAAAAATGCTTCCAAGAAGACCTCAAACGCCAGGTTGAGGACATTATTTACAGCGCGTAACTTTTCGAATTAGTACTGAACAGTTTGCGTATTAAACTTGGTGTGGACTTCACTTGTAGATTAATAATCCATTTTTATCTTTATTTTAACTTATAGGGTTAATCATAACTACAAAATAAAATTCCTTGACTCAGCTTTTATAGCTTATCTAATGAACTGGATTTATTTAATTGATTACATCAGGGTCTGTTTAAACACCTTTAGGTCAATTTTTTTCGTACAAAATTCAGCCTCTACCGTTAGTGTGTTGTCCGCGCCAAAACATCTGAGTGACATCAACGTGAGTCTAGAATCGACCTTAACCGACAAAAAAAAAATCGTTAAAAACAGAAGAATAGAAAATTCCCGCAAACTACGAGTATTAAGTCCTTGATACGATATCTTTTCAAAAAAATGGAGAAAAGTAACATTTTTTTTTAAATTGTACTGGCATAGTGAAAATTTTCCAAAGACTACAAAGATGCAGTTGTTATAATAACGATAAAACGAAATAAACATTTCCATCTAATTATTAAAGATTCGGTAAAATCCTCCGACTTTCCACTTGTCGAGTATTAGATCTTTTTTTCGTAGAAGCATGATTTTCCAACATACGCGGCCACAACACATGACGTCACATACTTGTGACGTCAACCGATATCATCAATGAAGGTTCCCGCCGTTTTTCGAGTTCGGAAAGCTGGTGAATAGCGAGCTAATCCATTTGATCTTTCCTACATTAAACATTCGTGAAGATCGCAATTTCGTTAAAGTGCAGTGGCGGCTGGTGGGTCAAAATTTCGGGTCGGCCAAATATTTTGAGTCTACACCTTGGTGTTATATATTTTCGTAATGTATGGCCGCTACTCGTAACCACTGACATTTTACATGCCAGGATGTACAAAACATCTCAAATGTTTCGACCTCGACTTGTTAACATAATTTTTTTATAGGAAATTGACAATGTCAGTTTGATTCCAAATACTATTAATCCTTAATTCTACTTGTTCTGCTTTATCATTAATTGAGAACCACCGAAAAAATTATTTTTACTGGGTTCCGCGTCGACCGGCGCCGGCGGCTATACGGCTTGCCGACCCCAGACATCCATAATTAAATAATAATAATTAAATAATGGCATGCAGTTAAAAGATATAAAAAAAAGTAATAATAAAAGTATCAACAGTTAACTATCTTCATTTACATTTATTTTTTTTAAATGTATATGGCAAATTGTCAAATAAATTAATTGAATAATTATTGAAATATAATTAAAATGACTTAAAACTTTAAATTCAGTTCTGAAATATCTGAAAACTCTTAGATGCTAAAAATACAGAAAAAACGCATTTATGTTGTGGCAAAGTTATGTACGAACAATGAAATTTTAGATAATTTAATGTAATTTTTTTCGTTTATTATTCATACACAGGAAAATGTATTAAATCAACAATTATTATTAAAAAAAAATAGTATGCACTGAAGAACATCGAAACCGTTATTGTTTTGTAATTTTGTTAGCTATCTTAAATATTAAGCGTTTTAAAAACTAAATTCGCATTGCTGGGTACGGCGAAGGAGGATCTCGCCGGACCTGGCGCAACATACGTTCCGCCAGGTCTTTGTCTACTACAATGTAGTAGACAAAGAGAACGATGGAACCGTAAGCTGCTACGAAGTCGAAACATCGTGCATTATGCTTTCCCGGATACGGCGTGCCGAAATCTCGCCGGCAAAGCGTGTTTATCAGCATTTAAAATTAGCAACAAATGCTTTATTTTGTACCTACAATATAATAAAATGTATTTTTTAATATACAGGGTTAGTCACGAGAGAATTACTTCTGAAAATTATTTTTACGCAACCCAAAATACTAATACCCTGTACCACTTGATATTATTTAAATTTAAAATGAAATGCCTAATCCATGATTGCTTTGACTTTGGCAGTGTCACTTTGACGTTAATTAATTTTTAACATTTTTTTTCATCGTTGACTCGCCTCTAGAGCCCCATTCGATCGACGACATACAGTCAGATCAATCTGGGCTATATTGAAGCCGTAAGTGCTCTACCAATGTTGTTCGCCGCTAATGTGCATGTGTTAATTCACCATCTCTGCGTCACCTAGAGCCTCTTCGAAGTGCAAATCTGCAACCTCTGGACTTCTTCGGCCATCCATTTACAAAAAAGCCGTAGCATCCCCCCAAAATGCCCAACATTTTCAACAGATTAGTAGTTAAATTATTTACTTACTTGTTTGAGTTTGTGTTGTAACCTTTGAATAAAATTCCGTAAAAGGAATTTTTAGAAATAATTTTCTCGTGATTAATCGGTTGCAAAAGATCAAGAGGCACACTGACAAATTTATTAGCGGCGCCGGAGGAGATTTCCGACTGGCTGCGGTACCACCATGGACACTCGCGTAACCTCTTTTTCCACAATTGTCAAAATGAGATTGCCAAACTCAAAGCAATCATGGATTAAGCATTTTATTTTAAATTCAGTTAGTATCAAATGGTACATGGTATTCGTATTTTGGGTTGCGTAAAAATAATTTTCAGAAGTAATTCTCTCGTGACTAACCCTGTATATGTTCTATCCTAACGTACATTCAAACTTTATTTCTTTTTTTATTTTTTAATTTACTTACTAAGTATTTTAAAATGACTGGTACGGCGTGGCCGACCCTGCCGTCGCTGACCAGCCGCCCCTGTTAAAGTGTATAAATATTTTTACCATCCATTAATACGTATTTCCAGAACTGAAGTGCAGATACTAAGATTAAATTCTGTAGAGATAAACAAATTTATTTTTCGTAAAATTGTATTTAAGTGAAACTTAACAACAAACTCAAAAAAACGCAACACCTGTAAACCGAAATATTTAATTCAGCGTTCAATCTAAGTATGTACAATATCATCATATAATTGAAGTTAAAGACGACCTTTGACATAATAAAGTACTTAAATAAAAAATATACAATTTCACACATCAATCAAGAGCTTGCACATGCTGCACATGAATATTAGGATTATTTCTTATATCGAAATTAGGGTCATTCTCAGTAGTATATCTCCCTAATCTTGACATAATTAGCATTAAAACAATAACACCCAACACTAAAATTATCCCCAACATACAATACTTCTTATATATTGATCTACCGCCTCTTACTTTCGAGGGCCCCCCGAAAGTTATCCTACAACAAGAGCAATGTACTAACCCCCAAGTGCAAAACAAATACTCACCTCCACCACGTTTTCACAAGTTCCGACGCAGGCCTCCGCTTATATTTGTCATCATCATGATCAAAAACCACTGGTTTCACTTCCCGTACATCTTGGAAGATCCTTCGGTTAGAAGAAGCTTGATACCCGTCAGCCCCAGTCCGGCTGAAAGCACCTTGATCCTCCACATTCACGACGGAATGTGTGGAGTTTGGAGACTTACTCGAGGATGAGATGGTTGAGGTAGTCACGTGATTAACCACAGCCTTCACCTCTCTATCTTCAGATAACTGGAAAGTTACATCAAGTACACTTTTTTAAGTTGTTAGGTTGGCATTACCAATGGGAGCCCTAAACCCGCTCTAGCCCAATTTACGCCGGCGAGTTTCTCCTTCAGAACGTCAGCAACAGGGCTGATTAGGTTTGAAGGGGGGAACAGGGGACTTTTACAGGAAGGACAAGTGTACCCTCTGGGGGCTGTCGTTGGAGGTAACTGTCTCGAGAAATGATCCAAACAGGACCAATGGAATACATCTGTAACGCGTTTGTTTAATGACCGGTTTTGATATTATGAAAAACTTACGGTAGCAAGTGAGCCTGATACTGTCTTCAACATTTAATTCTTTGCTGCATAGTTCACAGATTGAGTTGTAGTCGCTGTCTTGTAACCATTGTAAATACGATTGCACCACGCACTAAATTTCATTTATTTTAATAATTTTAAGTGGATTAAATTCAATTACTTACTATGGGATGGTTGGTTACCATGCAGTTCTCGCAAACACAGACTCTGTGTTCGAAACAGAACTGATTTGTTACTCGGCGCTTCGGGCACTTGCAAAGCCCCATTTTTAACACTTACTCAATACAAAAACACAAATAACAGTATAGTTTTTATTATAAATACAAAAACATTTGTCCGGCCACGTAAATGACAGTTGTTTGACAAGTGGACTTGACGTAAAATTGTGACATAAATACTTAGGAACTACCAACGTTGCAAATAAATAAAAACTACGAGTCAGCCGCCGTCTGTCTTTAAAATTAGGCGGGAAGCAAACTGGCTATTACTTTCATGACGTTTTCTTTGCTGATAGGGCACTTGGAATATAAGGAGGAGCATCTTTCGGAGTCTCCTTCTTTTCCCATGTCGATGGCTTGTTTGACTGCTGTTCCATCAAGCATGTAGGAAAATAAGGTATTACTGGAACAAAAAAAAAAGGGAAAATAGTAGTTTGTTTAGCTACAGTATGTATACATTTTTTTGTACCAGTGATAAAAATTTCAATTTATAAGTACTACATATATTATTTTGATGTTTATTCTTTCTAAAGTGAATTAAAAGAAAATATCACTAAACTAAAAACTAGAACTTCATATGACACTAATATTATACTTACCAAAGCAAAGGTCAATATATTATGTGTATTTTTTATTGTATCGAGTAATTTTTTAAATTTCTAGTGTAGTTAACCATGATGCTTACGTCAGCAGTGAAATTACAACAGCTGTAAGCGTCATGGCTAACAAGAGCAGAAATTCAAAAAATTAGCCGGTATAAAGCACACAATTAATTCGAAAGTTTATATAAGTTAAAGAAGTAAGAATTAACTACATCGTTTGGTTGATATAGGTTGATTTTTTATAATTTACTTAGTTTTTAGTTCTTTAGTAATAAAATAGAAATTATTGTTTGTGCCCTTGTTTATTTTATATCAATGAATCTATGCCCACATCAGCAATATATTTTTTCTTAAATTTGAATAAAACCAGTATTGTATGGCCATTTTTAAACAACTGAAATAAGCAACGACATTTTAATATCACATACAGTTACTCAAAATGCAATCAAATGAAATGATATAAGCCGGTTAGGGAATAAAAAATTCTAACACTTCGTTGCAAAAAAAATATATAAAATTGCAAAGGCTTTGAAAAATCAATATAATTATATTTTTTAAGTAAAAATTTAGTTTTGGGCACGGTACCATGGTTTTGGGTAGGAATACTCTACATATAAATTAGTTGTAAAATTTCTCTCCGATTATTATTGACATTATTACTATTTGGAGTCATTCTGTGTAAACAATTAAAAAAAAACAAAGCACCAAAGCACAATCAGTACCGCATTTTGTGACGTATTTACCAATCAATATTTATTGAAAGACGTCATCAATCATCATCAGTTTTCGAACGAAACTGAATAAATATATTTTAGTTAACACTTTGTATCTCTAAAGAAATATCAGGTATTAGTAAAACTTTGCAAACTTTGTTAAGTAAACTCTTAAATTAACTATAAAATTAGAAGTTCTATTTTTTTTCTGAGATAACTAGTGCTCGTGTAGGTACCATATTTTATGTGATATTATTTTAAGCTGACGTCATCATCTTTTCAACGGGATAAATAAAAAAAAATATGTTTTCCTCGACTAGACAATGTACCTACCTAAAATTTTAAAATAGGTAATCACTTTCGAAGATTATACTTTCAATAAAAAAGAGAGATAGACGACGGATAGCCGGAAACAGGAAATCTGTTTTACGTAATGGAAAAATATGGGTCTATTACATCAGGTGTAATAAAAAACCGGTAGTATTATTAAATTTTGAAACAATTGTCACTTGACTTACTGTAAATGTTTAGTTTTTAGATCAATCTTATTATGTATAAATGAAGGAAATTATAGCTTCACTTGTTTTACGTAATTCGATTGTTTCGGGCTTAGCGATGTATATTATATTCCATTCCAAATCAGTACACTAAACATCTACTTATGGAATAAATTTAACAAATTAAGAACCAGTCATATGTTTTAGAAAACGCTAAAATTTTGGAACCTTTCAGTTACTTCATTTTAAACAATACATAATTTAAAAAAGTCAACATACTTGGTCAAGGCAAATATGAGCTGGTCCATTGTGTTAGCTTCTCCAGTTTGCATATTCCTTTGTGCCTCATTTACGTACGTGCAAATAACTCTCTGCATACAGCTGCTGCTGTCAATATGATGCTGTTCCAAAGTGTTGTCTATCCTTGCCAAAGTTTCAGTGATCGAAGACACGTCAGTTTCAAGACCTAAATAAAACAACCAAACATTTATCAATTACATATCACGTTCATTTAAAAAATTATTACTTCTGTATCCGTAACCTCCACTAAAAGCTGCCGCCAGTTTAGGTACAATCAAAACAGCACCTAGACCTATCAAAGCTCCCAGGGCTATCCCACCCACATCAATTTTCATGGGACTAAACACATAGCCCATGTTACTAGTTCCATACTGGACACCATTTCCTGTGTTTCCGTATGATGTAACGGGAATACCAAATCGTAGACGATCTGACGACTCCTTCGATTCTTTGGCTTCTAATCTCGTGTTGTTGGTGGGCGATGGTAGATTAGTTTCGTAGTAGCGATTCATGGAAGGTTGGAAGCTTCTACACATTTACATTTAAATACGAAAATAAAAATAACAAAAAAATAAACTTACCCTCCATCTGGAATATATTTTTTGGAAGTTCCGAAACCGATACAAAGGGCCACTACAGTAATAAAACACGACGTTTTCATTTTTGCTTTTGTGTCGTTGGTAGTAAGACTCGGTGATATTTAAAAGAATATGATTTGAGATGGTTTTTATATATGAGAGGGTGATACACTTACATGGGTAGAGACAATGGACAATGCGATTTCAACAAAATCGTCTTCACTTTCTTTGTATCACACTGGTTTCGGTTGTTGCACTTAAACGTCCCAAAATATAATGTAGCTAATTATTTACACTTGCGGCTTCGTGTTCGTCCATGTTTTAACTTATACGAGATGAATAATTAATAACAATTATATTATTTGAATTATATAAATCATTATGGTTTGCAATTAAGTGTTATATGAATGTGTAAAGTTACTATTTCCCGCTCCTTCGAAGCACAACAAAGATACCGAATGAATTTCGGGGCGTATTTTTTGAAAGTTTATTTAAGGATTTTTTAAGATGATGCCATCAACTTTTCTGACGGGGTAAATAGTAACTGTGTTGTCAAATATTGTCAATAATCAACAAATCAGGTCACAGATTTTTTCAATCAAAATGTATTTAATTTTTCTGTTAATATTTTATAATAATAAATAATAAATGTCAGTATCTTAGCGAAACTTCAACAAATTCTTTCCTACAATCATCGAGACAAACCTTAAACTTAAAGAGTTACTATTTAAAATGAATTGAGTTTAATGTTTTATTACCTTTATGTTAATTTTCAAGTGTGATTTGCCCAATAAAATTGTAAATAGGCAATTATTAAATGAAAATGAGACATCAACATTTTTGTCTTTTAAAAGCTAAAAAGTCACAACTTAGTTAAAAATTAATTGTTTTAATATTTCTTAATCGATATTTGATGTATTCGGTATTTATCATGTTCCATGAGGCTTTTATGGAAAATTTCGACAAAAAATGAAAATAATAGCAGTGAATAGAACCTATAGATTTTGTGCAACAAAAATGGACTAAACATGTGAATGTAAAGCTAAAGAAATTTTAAGTGTAAAAGAAAGAAATAATTTTAAGACTAAAAGTAGATGGTGTTTTGTGAGTTTTGCTGAAATATGATTGGTCACATGTTATTAGGCAGAACTTCCCTCGTCCGTGAAATACAATTAAACAAATTAAAAAAAAAACAATAGGTACCATTCACAGGGCAAGAGAAAAAATAATCTATGAGGGGATCGAACCCGCGTTGTTAGCATGACGCTCTAACCGACTGAGCAAACAAGCAGTTGCTTAGCGTTCTTCTTATAAGTACTATTGTAAAATGTGTTACAAAATTTTTAATTTTTTCGAAAATCTATATATTTAACTTAAAAAATTAAGACGAATTCATAAACCACAAATATAGGAATATATTATTTTATAAAATTTAAATAACATTTACTATGCGAAATTTTAAGATGAGGTCATCAGGCATCTTTTTGATCACTGAGTGCGCTATAATAACATAACGTTTATCCCCACAACGCCGAAAACACACAAATATTCACCGACGCGTTTCGCCACCCATGTTGGCATTATCTAGACAAACCTAAACTCAGCCTCAGTATATTATCAGGTCACCACATTGTTAATGAGGATAATTAGACAAATTATGATTTCCGTTTCACCATCTAAGGAGTGTTCATTTTATTAAACGGACACCTTTAAAGTAACGCCAATTTTCTAATTTTTATTCTAAATTATTCTAGTTGTTATATGTGAAAGCTTTAAATTATATCTATTAAATGCCATTTTTGTTTTCAAAATAACGTTATCAAAGTACTCGAATTAGTAGCAATTTTTCAGTGTCCGCTTTATAAAATGAACATTCCTTACATGTTACATATAAAATTTGACGAGAACCGATCCAGTAGTTTCGAAAATTATCAGCCCAATAAATATCGACACAGACGACAGACAGGTGGAAAATCTTTTCATGTTCTAGGGACCTTTCGCAGGATAGATCTTATAACAATACTTCCTTAGTATACTCTTGTTTATGGAATAAATTGAAACTGAAATTAAATACAAAGAATAAGAATATAACACAGAAGTAAATTACGAAATGAAACATGAAATCAGAATTTAAAGTAATTATAAATGAAGGTTTTAAATCTCGTGAAATACCATTCAACTAGTTTTAACTCTGACGACATTTTATGAAGGAATATGAAAGCAGAATGAAAGAAAAAAAAGATGAAAAATAAACTCAAAATATATGATATATGTGCATAGAAAAATCACTGAGTATATAATTTTTTATTCTAAAAGCAGCTTATTTAGATCACCATATTAACAAAAAAGTTATAGAAAAGCGATTCGAAAATATCAAATTTTAACATTCAAATTGGTAAGGATTTTTTTTTATTGTGACAATGAAGAGAATAAAGTTCCTTCATTCTTTAATGCTTTGACATAAAATCTATTTTACAAAGTACACATTTACAGAAAAGACATTCGTTTAAGCGACTGCACCTATCAATATTTTTTATTAATCCATTACAAATATAATAAACTGGGTGTAATTTCTCCAAAGGTACAATTGTATAATAATAATTAGATTACCTTTATCAAGATACTTTACTTTTTTATACCAAAGGCGCCATTTCAATTTAACATATGACCGTGAATAATTATACTGAACACAATGCTGAGCATAACTAGTTACCAATTCGTCGTCTCGTTTCTGAAATCAAATTTTTGAAATTAAAAAATAAAAAGCAAATTTACCCATCTAGTGGAGAATTTATTCTTAGATTAATTAAAATTGAAAAGTGGTTATGCAAATAAGGCCACCCATTCTACTTATCCAAGAAATTTACAACATCTAATTCGCATAAATTCACTTCTAATCATCTATAGACGCGCTATATCTCGTATTTTGCAAATCTTGTAACAAACGTAATATAATAAAATGGCTAGTTTTCATTTGAAAAGCAATTTCTTCTTATCATATTATATTCTATTTATTTTCTAAAAATCTCTCTTATAAAGGCGACATACATGAAACATTTTTTACTATATTATAACTATTAGTTGTCTACCAAAATACGTATATTGTTGTATTTTTTATTCACCGTCCAATTTTTGCGTGTTCCAGCTGTGAATAAATATGATACCTATAATTTCCAGCATTATACTTATTATTTAGAAAAAGCGGATCACCGTCCGCCAAAATAATTCAGCCTAGTAATAAGGATGTTTATATTTCAATTATTCGCTTTATGCTCCACGTTTTTGGGTTTAAATAAAACTATTACCGTTTAACGACGCATGTAGTTTTTTTGTGGGCAAAAGTGTGTAATATGTATTTGGAGCTTTATTTTATCACTAAAAATTGTTTTTATGCAAAACCACTGATCGTTTTTACCAAAGTCTTTTCGTAAAATTTCTTAAATAGGTGGGAATTTATCGTCTTTAATTTTTTGCTTCTTACATACACGGTGTACACATATAGGGCACTGAGTGAACATCTGTCGCAAATCTCTTAATTAATCTAGAAAAACCGACAGAATCGATAAAAAAAATACAAACAATAATATTCGCACTTTACTTTCGCTATTGTGTTCAGTCAATGCGTTTGAAGCCTTCATGGCTGGTTTCTTTTTGCATAACTTGTTCCTGATTTACTATAAACAAAGCCCAGTTTTAATCTTCACCCAAATCGTGTTTCAGTCTTAGTAGCATATTTGAGCTCGCGATTAAAAGGTGTCTTAAAATGCCGTCTATTATCTATTATACTTTTGTAATTTTGCTACTGATAGTGGAAATCTTGTGCAACAATACTACCGAGAGGTTTAGCACAATGGATTCCAAATACTTTCAATCGCGACAAAGTCGTTTGTTGAGTTTCAATACCCAGGATAATGGAGACATCAGCGTAAGTTTTTTTTATTTAGTTTTCGATGAAAAAACTGATTGTGATTTAATTTTATTTCAGATGGAACTAGCATTTAATGTTCCCTTTATAACCATTCCTGTCAAAAAGTCAATAGACATGGCACAAGGAGCTATAGCCAATGTGAATATAGGTGCAATAATTCTCGGGGGTGCTATAACTTTTGGCTTCGCTGTACTAATTCCCGGGATTTTGGTACTCATGTCGAAAAAAGTGTGGAATACTGACGTACCGAATTTGGCATATAGAAGTAAGTTTTCGGCCGATTTTTTCTTTATTATACATATAAACAACACATACAAAAAGTAATCAATATCAGAAATAACAGAAATAATTTTGTTGGAGCGAGTTACATTTTACGCGTTACATTTATTTCTTTTTACCCTTTTTCCCTTTCTTGCCTTTCCCTTTCTTTCCTTTTCCTTTTTTGTCCTTCTTTTCTTTCTTTCCTTTCTTACTCTCTTTTTCAGACTTAAGATCAGAAGCCATATATTGAGTGTCAGTATGCACGACGTTCCTTTTCTTTTTAAAACGTTCAGGATGAATGATACCAGCAGGTGGTGTAAATTCAATCTCGAGTTCACTGTCTGAAGACGACAACTCTTTGTCGCCTTCACAGAAACACGACTTATATTCCTCATTTTCTTCTTCCGCCTTTTTGTCTTTGTTTTTACTTATCTTAAATTGCAGTGGCGTGCATTCCATGTACGGGTTTTCATTTTCAACCAAGGTATGTGGGTCCTTCAAAGGGTTCATCGTGATCCAGTAGCACCCGTCATGTTTCTTTATTTGTAGTGTTGCTTTAGGTTTAACATTAACAGAAGTGGCAGATTCGGTTCGGTCGTAGTCTTTCTTCCCTGTTCGGAATCGGTTCACTTCCAACATTGGAAGGCCTTGTGCTGCTCTGTGCTTTCTGATTGTCTCGGCAATACTTCTGGCGATGGCCCCCGGGCGCCATCCTCTCCTTGGCTGATACAAAAAATTATTAAAATATAAACATTTTTAGTATCACTATTATTGTGTAAGGTGGTCAACCGGTATTACCCAATTACAGGCCAACAATTACTACCTGAATTAGTGAAAAATCACAACATACTCGATATTAGTACAGCAAAGACTATTTATATGAATAAATCTACCATGTTTTGACAGTAATTATGATTACAACACATTTCATGCAACAGAAAGTATGTTTGAATTAAGATTTACCAACAGAATCGTTAAGGCAAGTTTTAGAATGACATATGGAATTAAAGTTACAAGATATAATAATAAATAAAGATCGTGTAGTTTCGGATTGATACCACGAACATTCTGATAGTATATGCGGTATATATTGGTAAGAAAGGAGAGTAAGAAAAATGAATTGAATCACAATTATAATATTTAAAAAGAGATTCGTTAGAACGTCCAGATAACGACATCACTTAAGATAACAAAGTTGGTTGTTGTATCAAGATACCAGAAAGGTCATTGTTGATTTGTTAAATGCTAGAATTAGAATAGAAAGATAACCCCGATTTGTTTTCAAATATATTTTACCTTCAATCGATTGCATGGAGTCCAAATATTCCACAACCAACCCATCTTCGGCGGCACGTTAAAAGCCGGCATCACGCATTCCTTGTGGCCTACCTGCACTCCTGTATACTTATCACCGATGGAATACACAAACTTGCCCTTTTTTTTTGTTTTTTTTGTCTTGGTCGTTGAAATTTTGCTTTTGTTCTTTTTTTCGGTAGCTTTAGTTTTACTTATTCCTCCCTTTTCACCCTTCATGCAGGGGCATTCCTCACAGATCAAAGTTCCACCTTGTGATTGACACGTTTTCTTAGTACACGGTGCCAGGTCCACTTCAACTCTAGTTTCTGTGATATACTCGGTGCCTTCATCTACTACAGCAGTTTCGCCCACATTTACGTCCGCACCTACATCGTTCTCCGTTGGCTTGCTCCTTTGAGAAGTCACATCGGCACCTCTTCTAGCAGCATACGGACACTCCGCGTTGTCACATACCTCATCATCTTTAACACTCTGCACTTCTGTTGTACATGGTTCTGGTGTACATACTGGAGGCTTCGTAAATGGACACGTGGGACCACCATAGCAGATTTGAAATGTGTCTTTGGTAGGGAAAGGACAGATACCGTCCGGACATAGAGAAATTGGCATTCCCAAAGCGAGCAGAGCTGATACTGGGTCAATTCCAAACGGGCACGGAGGAAAAGCCATGGAACAAGGATTGAAGCAAGGAGGGTTTGGCGTACAATCATTAGCAGGGACACCTGGACAAACTGGACTCCCGCACGGAGGAATGCCTCCGGGACAAACTGGACTTGCGCACGGAGAAACACTTCCGGGACAAATTGGACTTCCGCAAGGAGGTGCATTCCCTGGGCAAACAGGACTTCCGCAAGGTGGGACACTGCCTGGACAAATGAGACTGCCACAAGGAGGTCCGCCGCAAGAAGGCTTCGGAGAAAAGGGACAGTCAGGGTTTCCACACACATCGTCATTTTCAGGTTGTTCGTAACAAGGAGGTGGTTTTATGTAGCAGGTTGCTGATGCTGGTGCAAAGGGACAATTGGGATTTTGACAGAGGTCATTTACTTTGATTTTTTCTGGGCAACATGCTTCACACGTCAAATTACTGCCCTTTTGATATTTACAAGTGCCAGGGTGACAAGGAGCCAAATCCACAGACAAACGAGTGTCTGAGGTATATTCTATGTCTCCTTCTTTTCCTTCCCCTGCACCGCCATGTTGTTTCAATACTTCAGCTTTCTTTGCGTAGGGGCAATTAGGATTGCCACATTTGCTTTCCATAGGTGGGTAGCAAGGAGATGGTGTCTTTTTTACCATCTTTCTAGCGCACGTACTATCGTCAGCACTTTTTTTAGATTTTCCCCCCCCTTGGGGGCAAGGAGGGGGCGGAGGACAGACATCTTGTTGCATATTGTAAGGGCATTCGGGACCCCCAAAGCATATTTGGAGTAAGTTTTGATCACCTGTAGCCAATGCATAGTACGCTAATAAAGGATTCCAACATGACACCGGTGGACACCGATTGTCGCCATACTGTTGGGATGCAGCGGGATGGTTTTGACTACCGACATTATCTTTCCTCTTAGATGGAAAAAGACACTCTTCATCGGTACAATAACTATCAGAATCACTTTCATAAGGACATTGTCTGGGTTGGAACGGACAATAAGGAGATTTACACGGATCTGGAGGAGCGAAAGGACAGTTGAAGTTACCACAAACCCCTTTTCCTAGTACTGCGTTCAAACATTTGATTTCTTTAGGCAAGTACGGACAGTTGGGGTTCTTGCACTTGCCTTTAGGTAAAGGATCTGGACAGTCCCAATGTATGGGTGGTAACTCCGGCTCAACGGGACACTTCGGATGCCCGCACGAACGTTTAGCAGGGGGAAGAGTCGCTATTTCAATATCCACGTCCTGGTCCATAAGACCGTGTTTGTACTTGGCGTAAGCACATTTCGCAGACCCACAGGCTCCTTTCGGTTTAAATTTGGTCGACGGAGAAGGCAGCGGACACGTCTTTTCAGTCTCAGTCTCCTGTGGAACGATGTTTGAGGCTGAGTAAACATCCATACCATGAGTGCACATCTTCTTGCAACTCTCCTTAGTAACGTTGGGCGCAAAGGGACACGTCACATGCCCACATGGACCTAACGCCTTCTTGTACTTGCGCAGGACTTCGTCAAATTGATCCATGATTTCCTTACATTCGTGGAAAGGGCTTTTAACGTCGTCATAGTCCAGCACGCCCCCACCATTCAATCGCAGCACTTGGTGGTGTTTGTTGATTTTTTGGTTGTATTCTTGCGAGAAACTCACGGATTCGCCCACTGATCCACCATTTAGACGCAGAGGTGACTTCTGCGGCTTGCAATGGCAAGCACCGTAATTGTACTTTTGACAACAACAAACGCATTCCTTGTCTTTTCTTTTTTTGGGTTTCCAGCAGGAAGACTGCCAGTTGCTTTGCTGCTTTGGTATAAACGGTTGTGAAGGTGTTTTGGGCCTCGAAAACAACCCATAGGGACCGTACTCGTCGAAAACTCCGTAAGTTTGAGTTAAGCCGTACGTTACAGGAAGCGAGGGTTCGCCGTAAACCGTACCCAAACCTTTATGGATCGCGAAGGGTCCGATTCCCATTTCTTTAAATTTCCGTACAGCTGGACAATCTTTATTTTTGCACAACATCTTGTTAATTTTTTCTACGGTAAGTTCTTCTTCCTGTAGTGAACTGAAGTCTGTTTTTTGGCTACCGTCCTGTTTTGGCATATCGAACTCGAATATGAACCCATGCGAACCACCCTTGATTCGCAGATCTACGTATTTGTTTTCTTCCGGTCTGTCCATTATGGAAATAATGTCGAAAGTTATATTCGACGCAGTTTTCCTGTCGAACAGAGTCGAAATGGCTACATTGAACTCCTCAGGGGTTACGCTAACTCTCGGGTCCATCGCGGATTTGAACAGGGCCATCCAAGAGACACGGTCGTCTTCGACGGGACAAATACTTGCAGGAGGACTTTCAACGTCCGTAAACAGAGTTGTTAGAGGAAGAAGTTCCGCAGAGTTCCCAGCATTTAGCCTATAAATTATACATTTTAAAAAGTCATAGCGAACGCACCCAACCCTTACTTCTGGCATTCGAATGTCGTCTCTCCTCGTGCTCCCTTAACCAGGAACTTCTTATGCACGCCTTGCTCAGTCTTGATCAACTGGAAGCTAGTTTTAATGCAAGCGCCAAAGGACGATAGTCGTACTGCTGCTTTGATATCGCCTATAATTCGTTCGCCGCCAGCCTCTTGCAACAAAAATTGATCTTGGATCGAAACAGGACCTATCACACCTTGAGTTTCATGACACTGTTTAACCAGAGTGTAAAAGTCCTTCGGTAAACCAATCGGAGCGCTCGACACTAATTTCTGCTTGACGAAAACGTTAATAGTAAAAGTATCTTTGTTCATATTCTGCAACAGCTCCTCCTGCGTGCCTGCAAATAGACTTGACATCCCCGAATTGAAAGTTACGTCTTTCTGAGGTTCATTCACTGAAAAACGCATTTAACAAATACTTGTGTTAACGCTTCTCGAAACTTACTTCCTGAAGGTGTTTGTAATGAAACTATTTCTATATTAACATAGTCTCCCATGCTGGCCGTAACTTTAACATCCTGAAGTAAAGGGTATTCTGGAAGGTTGGACGAGAACGATATGGTTTCCACGAAGAGCTCCAACAAAAATAAATGATTTTCCATACTGATTTACTCTCAATTTACACGAACATAAAATTTGATCTACAACAAATTTTACATGGAGTCTGACATTGAATGTCAAAGTTTTTGTTTGTTTTGAACCGACGTCTTGTTTTTTTTTTAGGAGAAGAGTCGCAGCACTGGTTGGAATACTTGAATGTTATTGATCAACTCTTGACCGAAAATGACATAGATACAACGTCTTGTATGCAAAGAATGGTTTGCTGGGCTGTGAGGAATTCAGCACAAAATGTAGTCATGGGTAGAAGTTCGAGTAGCGATAAGATTATAGATGGGTTGGCTACAAACAAATGGGTACAACAACTTATAGAAGGTACTACTGTCCATTCGGCGCTTCAGAATGGTCTTAGTAGAACGGACTGTTCGAGGGAATATCATCAGTGTAGGATAAGCGAGACATCAATTCAGATGTTGACGAGGAAATTTACCGAGAATATTAGCGCTCTGAGAAACTAAACCGCTATCATTTTATTAAGAACTTGCGGAGTAGGGTTGACTTTTAGAAAGACTTATTTACTTATTTGCTCAAATTTTTGTTGTTATGTTATTTTTCTTTGTTATTCTTGATTTATTATTATTATTAAATGTTATCCTTGAAAAATACCTAGTTTCTATTTTGCAGTATTTTATTAACCTAACAATACATGGTTACATAGAAAACGAACAATGTTTATGGGAAATAAATAGGTACTTAATAATTTTAGTGAAGGGAATGAACTTAGTAAATATTATTATTATTATTGGTCAATTCTCCCCTGATGTTTTCTTTCATTAGCTAGAAATAAATTGATGTAAAATTACATTTAAAAAGGATAATAGAGGTATACTATACCAGAACTCGTTCGTCGTAAGACAGTGCGGGAATACCAAGCACGTAACAGAGTTTTGTTAGAGCGGCCTCAGCTGTCATATCGTGTCCACAAATGACTCCGATGTTTTCAAGCGCCTAAAAATATAACGTGAACTAAGTGCTATGAAATTAATTTTTTGAGCTTTAAATTAATGCATATGCGAACGTTTTGATAGGATAAAAATTAGAACAACAATTTTTACCATAAACTAACAATACGCAGACATTTCAGGATATTGTTGAAAACCTGATATTAATTCTGAGAAGAAAACCCTGAAATTGTTCAACTGTTAAATGAATTCTTAATTCACACTAAAAGTTTTTAACAATTTGAATTTAATCAAAACAGAAATGGAAGACCAGACATTTGACGAAAATAAAATACAGATACATGAAAAAAGTGTCTCATGGTTTTATCAAATGAAAAAGATGAAAAAACAAGGAAAACGTGTACAACGAAGGACTAATTGTAACCGAGACTGAATAGTGAAAAAAAGCGAAATACCGCAGGAAAAAAGAATGAAGAAAAGGTTAAAAAACGTGTTGAATTTGCCCTGGGAATGAAGACAATTTCGAGATGAAGGATTTAGGTAGGTATATTCAAGCCAAAAAACATTAACGGTCGACAGAAGTCGTAGATTCCTAAATTCCTAGATTCAACATGAACATCTGTCAATAACCAGAACACTAAAGATGTTTGCATAAACCGAATGAAAAGAATTCAAGAAACGTATAAAGAAAGAAAGAACAAGGTAAAAATGTATTAGGAGAAAACTGAATGCTTCGGGCTTAAACTTTATGGGTATGTTTGATTTAAACTAAGGGATATTAATTGTTGAAACAAAAATGTAAACAAAAGAAGAATGATAAAATTCAAATAAAAATTGAAAACAACTACAGGCAGAAGAAAACAGGAAATGTATTATGAACGAACACGAATTGAAGTTCAGAGAAAGAGAGAGAAGTGTGAACTGCTACATCATGAAACAATAATGAAAGATAAAAATAATTTCCAACAACAGAAAAAACAAATAATTACCTTTCCGGTTTCATATGACGCAGAGACAGTTCCTTGTGCACACTGTGTAATGTTAACAATGACAATCTCATTTCTCACAGCCTCTTTAATAACTTGGAGCAGTTCTTTTTGGTTTGAGGGAATATTGCCCACTCCGTAGCTTTGTATGACCAATCCTTCGACAGAAGGACACTGTAGAAGAGCTCTAAACTGTAAATCAACATTCAGACCTTACAAAATTATCAAGACATAAGTATTACAAATTTTAATACAGTGAGAAAATTTCAAAAAGTTACTTTGGCCAAATGAATAAAAAATACATTCCAAAGAATTTCTATATGTTCCTGTTTTGGATAGATTCCGAAAATCTGATTTTGAAATTTTTGTAAACAAAAATTTGGAAAGGTTAATGTATGGTTTAAAAATAAATACTTGCCATGCAGGGAGTCATGGTAGAAAAAAAATTCAGCAGTCCCACATTCGGATTTAGTTTAGTGTGAACCCTGAATGGCACACCACTGGGTCTCATTATAAAATGCCTGTTTACTGCAAATTACAGTAACTTGATACGACAGCCCTCATCAATTATGTCTAAATTCTTACGTGTGATGTCGATCCCAACTTCTGCCAGAGCAGTATAATTAGGTGAATCAAACGCATTCAAGTGAGTCGAACTGATTTTGGCAGTCCTATTCCCACGTAAAAGCTTATTGGCGAAAAAAATACAAACTTCCGGTATTCGATAACAGCCTGCCAAAATCAATGATGATAGAACGTTGTCCTTGGCGTCACTTCGTGTCTCAAAAATTGGAATCTGAAATGAGATGAGTAACTTATTGATGTTGCAGCTTTATTTTGGTTTAACGAGAGAATTAATAATTTTGGATGACCTTACATATTGTTTTGTGTATGATATAGTTGACTCACTTGCGATCCTGTTAATATAACGGGCTTTTGGATTCCTTCCAACATGAACGACAGCGCAGACGATGTGTAAGCCAGAGTGTCTGTTCCATGTAAAATTACAAACCCGTCAAAATGGGTGTAGTTTTTCTAAAAATTTGTACGGTGATTCAGAGGTAGGAATTTTTATTTGTCACTCACTTCGATGTCTTTGGCTATACGGATCCAGTCTTTTGAGGACATGTTGCTGGAATCTAAAAGAGGACTGTATTCTTCGAGCTGGTAGAGAACTATATCGCTCCCAATTTCACTAGAATATTTTGTATTTGTTGTTGTATTTAATAAATAATTTTATGTTTCTCTTACGGCAAAACTAGCTGATTGGGGGCTAAGTGTTTTATATATTTTTCGGCCAGAAGTGGGTCGTGCATTTGGGCACTGTGTTCCAGTTTTTTCAAAAATTTATTGGGGGAAGGAGAGTACACTGGAAAAAAGATTTTTTCAATGTTAGTTCTTTCTATGAGTAACAACTATGAAGCCTCTAAAATTTTCACATCTGGTTATAATGCGACAGAGACTAAAGTTTTTTTTTGTTTTAACTTATGATTGTTAATTTGAGACCAATGACATGAATTTACGTTTCAAAATAATTTGTGATCAAGTCATCTTTTATCAAAAACTTGTATGTCGGTGCTAAAACCAGGTGAAGTCAGAAACTCAGTTTAATAATTATTCACTAAACTTAAAATATTCATACACCGAGTTACTTCCTAGGATGGTCACAGATTCACAGATTCTCATTCATGACCACTCGCTGAAGCGATTCACACATTTTTTAGACATTCTGTATAAACCATCTTAAAGAAAATACAAGAAGATTAAAAACACAAGCAAATAATAAATCTTGCATAATTGAATATTTTTTCGCGATGACGGCATCAACTTTTCTCAGGAGATGTTTGAATAAGTTTCTATTAAAGTTCTTCACTCGTTAAAACAAATAAAGAACCTATTAAAAATATTTAACAAATTGTAAAACTGGATGGTCGAATTTTATTTTCTAGCAATATGTATCTATGCTTAAACTAATGAATCTAATGATAATACTAATCTACTCGCTTATAGCAAAAAAACTGAATGGCTTTTTTGCAATTTCTGGACTTTGTATAAAAAAGCCGTTATTATGAATAATTAAAATTTATTTTTATTTTTGTTTAATGTGTATACACAATTTGACCAACACATTTCGTAATTATTTAAATTTCCCTGCCATTAAAACCGGATAAATCTCGTTACAGAAACAGTTTTTGATAAGACGTTTCTTCATTACTTATCAAAATACAAAGCGTTGCATGAATATTGACAAATTTCTGATTAATTAATGAAATTTCAAACAGTGTTATCAGTTTTTAAACACGATGGTGTGTCTAGCAAACGCATCATTGGTAAACAAAGTGTTCAAAAAATTAAATTTCGTGATGCAAATTCCACAAGTCAAGAACTTTGCAAAATTACGTTGTTGTTTCGAAGCCAAAGTATGAAGTTGCACTCATAATTTGGCCCACACCCTTGGTTCTTTTTGGACGGAGTATTGTAGCGAGCAGGTAAAAATAATGCTGGACACTTACCGTGGTTTTCGTTTCTTTCCATGCCAATTGTACCGCCCACGTAAAGAACCATCACTTTTTTGATGTTGACGGGAGTGTCGTGTATTTGAGGGGTCATTTCGCTAGCACTGAAACTGTAATATATTTCTTAATCGGGAGCCAAGTGTCAGAATTTGTAATAGTTATCACGGCGAACTAAATACAAATAAGCAATGGTGAAGAAAATTAATTTTATATCGAGAACACTGAGAGCACTTTGTACCATGCCACCACCAATGTCAAAATTTTGTTTGAACAAGAAGATGCAGACGTTTATCTGCAAATATTTTGGCGAATATTTAAATTTATGACAGTTGTAAAACGAGCGCCATAAAAATGAAAAACTTCCTATTTGAAGTAGTTAGAAAGCTGTTTCCGTTGACATGAAAAATCGATAAGGATTGAGTATACCTGAAATTTCTATTCAAAAATTCATTTTTTTTTTTAGAATAGGTACTTTATTATATGAATAAATGGCAAAAATGTTGTTCCAACAATTCCAAACTGAGATTAAATGCTATTTTAGTAAAACAATGCAACCAAAAGTTGTTTGATTCATCATTAATTCATTCATTCATTCATTTTTGTAAACATGTGGTACAAACAATTCTAAAAAATTCAAATATGTATATTACTAAAATATAAACAATGTTGCAGGATGAGGCACCATTTCAAAGAATCATGAATCCTGTCAAAATTTCCGATTCATTTCGTCATCAAGTCTTCGAAAGGGATGAACAGGTCAACCTATTTCTTAAGTTAAACTGAAAATTTCATTTCACAGTTTCCAGTGGATTAATAAACAGGAACAAGAAACGTATTATTTTGCACATTTTAAATAGAATTTACTTGGTAACATTTTGAGATCACGCCATTATATCAAAAATTTCATCAATAATTTCGGAACAAACACATCGAATGGGGGGACTACTGTTTCTATACGTATTCTATGGGAGCTAAAAACGTAGAAAAAAAATGAAATTAGCCATTCGTCAAATGGACCCTATTATAGATTACACTCTGGGATGAAAAGTAGTTATTTATGTGTACTAAGTAGTTTGAATTATCATCTACTCACTATTTGTTTTTCATATCTTCTACAATACCACATTTAATTGACTATTAGTATACAAATTACTAACAAATGATAGTGATGATAATATTGATAATATTGAATATTTGTAGATGAAGACTAATAATTTTAATTACATTATATTCAACATTTTTGCATATGACTAATAAAGCTAATGCAACATTATTTGCAATCCATTTTTTTTCATTTGTACATATTAGAGGAAATTTACCTGCAGTTTGTAGCGAGAAAACTGTAATTTATATGTGAAAAACAGTCAAAGAAATGTTTATAAACAAAATTGCAACAAAGACAGCGTAAGATAAAATAGATGTGAACGAACTAATTGGCATGCCGGAGACGTTCATGGCAGACACTGAAGAAATAAAAAAAAATATATATTGAACAGAAATTATATAATTATAACTAAAAATAGATAAGAAGAAAATAAGAGACGAAATATTTATAATATATAGAAAACAAGTAGATAGAAGAAACTTTATGGAAAAAAAGGATAATGATAGGAGAACCTACAATCTCCAATTTTATTTTATTTTATACTGGATAGAGGGATAATAGAAAGTGGTTTAAGTGCCGTAGCGAGACAACAAATTTTTAGAAACAGTAGAGATATTGATAAAAGAGACACATATTAGGATCAAAACAGAGTTGATATTATAGGATTTGGGACGATCAAAATTTTATACCAACTGGTTTAAAGGTAATAAGAACAAAGACAATATTTGAAGAAGATGACAATTTCTGCTATGTGAGTACTCTCTTTGCTAAACTACTCGTAACAGACGAAGAAGTCACAGCTAGATTAAATCACAAACTTAACTTAGGCTTATAATAAATAGAAACCAAAAAAGTTAATGCTTAATTTTTTTTTTTTTTTGTATTAACCCAGGCACTTGGCTATGTTCACGAAAAAAGTTTCAACTAAATTGCTATTTTTCAACTTTTACTTTACGCACTGCAGTTGCAAAACGTGACCAACATAATTTTTTCCTTTTTTTTTCATTGTGCGTCGACCATAAAAACAAACACTATAATTAATTACTTGGAATTATCTTAATAAAAACAACGTCCTTCAAGGATTCAGTACTAATGGAAATCCTACGAGAATGTCGGTAAAATTTGCTATAAAGCACGATATTATATAAGTAAGTTCAAAGTACTTGGTTTTTACAACCGGAGATAAGTAAATTTCCAAAAATTAAAAAAAATTCCGTTGGTGGTACTTTCCATGATATTTATTTTGATACCACGCAAGCAAAATTATTTTTTTCCAAAGAGAGTGACGACTGTATTAAATAAAAAGTAGAACATTTCAAACATCCAAATTAACTTTTTACAAAAATTTAACTCAATATTTTTTCAAAGCTCCCTCCTAAGCCATTTTTAGCCTCTAAGAACGAATTGGGGTATTAAATCTATAAAAATATTAGTATCCATAACAATAATTTTATTTTATACAAAAAAAAACCGTTTAATAAAATTTTGACGAAGCAATAAGAAATCTGGCTTACTTTTCTTTTGTAACAAAACCGTCGTTGAAGCGAAGGGTGACGCAAGAACGAAAACAATTCGTCTTGTATTAATAATAAAATTTAGTAGTAAGACACTCACCCAAACCTTAACGTTATCACTTCCCACTCACAAAAAATATCACACTGTGGCAACTTATGCAATGATTTGGACGTTATTCATAATCAGAAGTGCGTAACAAAACAATGAATAATGAGCACATGAAAGTAGTAATAGGTACTTACTACGTAACGAAAATTAACACGCTCACTTCAATTTTAGATAGGCCCCACTTTGCATGTGCTATGTTCTAGGCAAATATAAATTATTCTAATCGAATGAATTAACGCTGAGTGGCACTGATTGTTATGGACTTTAATATATCGTCATTTAATAAATCTGACATTTAGAAGGATATTAAAGTTTCTGAAGCAAATTTTATTGACGTTTGCCAAGTAATGCGTAACCTTTTGTAGAATGTTATGTTACATTAAACCGCGAACAATTTATCTTTACGTAGGTGTTGGAAACATTAAAACTAATTAGTGTTTAGAGATGACCTGATTGACGACAAAGTAAATTACGGTAATTAGAGTTATTTTCAGTTCTCAGATTTATGAGCGTTATTAGTAAACAATCGTTATACCGGGTGTCCCACCTAACACTTTCAGGCGCAGTAACTCAGGTATTTTTGAAGGGATTTTTATGAAATTTAAAGCAGTTGTAATATAATAGGTAAAGATTAGGCTGATAACAAAAAAAACTATTTTATCGTACAAAAAGCGAATTTTAACACAGGTTCCTGTTGTTAAAAATTATGCAAAATTGCGTTATAATTTTAAGCAACCAAAATAACGCCTGTGTGCGAAAAATTAATTAAATCACTGTTTTTGTTTAAAAGAATTACGTTAATGAAAACGCAAAAATTAATTAACTTGTTTTTACTTCCCGAGCGTAAGCAAAGGAAGTATTGTAATCGAGTCCGTCGGCCGACTCTCTACTTTTACGTTTTCTCGATCTTTCATGACCCCTAGAAGACGAAGAAATAGGTCTCCCATTTCCGTCTGTCTGTCCGTCTGTCCGTCCGTCTGTCCGTCCGTCTGTCCGTCTGTTGTCCCGGATTTTTATTAGACAGATAATCTCCGAAAGTATTTTCTTAAGGATTTTCTTAAGAGGTGGTTCAAAAAAATTAATGAAGTAAATTTATTTTATTGATTAAATTAAAGGCAACACTTATTATTAGTATTACACCCCAACCAACCCAATTTGGTAGACACAAAATTTGTTAAAGGAAAAACTCGGTTGAAACATAAGGGTAGCACGCTTATTTACATCGACTTTAACATTACAGACCTGCATTTGTTTTATGCGCTCACTTGGTTCCGCGAATGTGAAATAGACATGTTTATAATCAACCAATTGTGAATTTCACCGTCAAGAATTAAAATAAAACCCAATGTTTTATATAATAAGCGGAAGTCGAAGCAATAAAACCGATGGTCGTTTTGTTTACAGTTTCTCTGTTTGACTCTCACGTATGGTGTTACGCCTGTCATCTTAAATTAAGAATGTTTATACATACACGATTTTCAGTTGCCTCTGATACGTATACGTGAGTAAATTGTTTCGTTATTTTATTGATTATTACAAATCAATATTCAAAACGACCCAATTCATTTTCCCGAAAATTTGAGAATATAATAATTTTATTCTTAGTATTACACTACATCTATTCCAACTGATATACGTGTCCTTGCAAAAATGTTGATGACGTCATCGCAATTTTTTTTTAAATTCCCACTACAAAAATGAAATGAGGAAAAAAACACAATAGGCATGCAGTCGTCAAGTTTCCGACAGCGAGGGAAGTACTGTCTAAACTCTTTAGACCATTTTTTTTTTAATTTAATACTGCCGTCGGTGTTCAATTTTGTACACTCCTGACATTTTTGTCAAAATCTGACAAGTTATTGGAAATGGTTCGCTTTTCTTTAATTATTGAAACAGAAATCATTTAACCTTCGGAGAATGCCGTACAGACCTAGATGAAACAATCAGGACTGTTATCGAACGGTATACCGATGACGAATTTACCAAATTCAAAGTGCAGAGAATAATTAAGTGTACAAGACCCAAAACAAGTGAAAAAAATAAAGTGTTAAATACACCTAGCAAAATTATTTCCGTTCAAGTTAGATTTTAATTCCTGAACCTAAAGCAATTTTGCACCTTCAAAAAGGTTGTAGCGGAGCAACTGAAAATTAGCATTTTCTTAAAATTCTTAAAATAACGCTTGGCAAACGGGTATCAAATTCCCGCAAGGGTATCCAAAACACGAGGATAGCAGTTTTTTGTTTCATAGCTACCTATCCTTTAATACTTTTTGGTATTATTTGCGCAATCATTTATCGTTTTTTGTCTAACCAGACGTATTTCGGAGATGAATTTTTGCATACAGTATTTATTTTTCATGTTTAATCAAGTGATGCAAAACTTAATTAATCCAAAATTAAATTAGAAAATGGAAAATTTACTTTTTCAAGATAATGATTATTCTCACCGGTTCATATTAATCCTCACCTATCAAAATACCTACATTTCAAATTTCATAACAATCCGTTCAAAAATACCTGAGTTATTGCGCCCGAAAGTGTTACGTGGGACACCCGGTACTTTTATTATAGCTCTTTAATTTAATATACAAAAATTTATCTACATTTAAGATTTTACATGGTAGCAAATTTGTTAGCTCTAGGTAATTTTAAATTAATGCCCATCGTCAGATGTGCTGCTCCTTAAAATACTCTTTCTGCAATTAGTTAGGTAGATACAAAAAAATACTTAAGCAGGTATTTATTTTTCTTTTTCCTGGCGTAATCTCAAAATTTTTCATATTTTTTTACTTTGGTTGTTGAATGTTGCACCATAATTGCACCACTTTGACTAATTTTGTCGTTGATGACGTTTTCGTTGAGTGAAATACACACGTTCTGGTTGGGTTTTTATCTGACCAAGTGCTAAATGCTAAGTGCTTCTAATTTTCATTTTGTTCGGTTTCGAAAGACGAGGTTTGCCTTTTACTGATTTGTAAGTTATAGACAACAATGCTATATTAGAAATTTGAAGCGAAAATTTAAGGATCTCAATATGACCAGTTCCTGAGAAACTGCTAGATATACCGCGTAATCAGAAATGACTGAGTCTATTGGCAGTCCTTTTTAAAAAAAAACATGTAAACTTTTCTTGCTTTTATGTTGGCAAACGGAAGTAATTGTGTGACAGATACGTCAATTGTGACATGCGATAAATTTAGTTCAAGCATGGCCGACTAGTATAAAGATTATGGCCTGTCCAAGAGGTACGATACGTGCTGCCATCTATTAATAATTACACTTAATAATTTAGCAAAATTTTAATTTGACTTGACATTATGGGACTTCAAAACGTGTAATGGTGGTTTGTTTCGGTATGAATGCCTTTGTGCCTTTCAAAAAGTGTTAATAATGCTTTTGTCGTTTTTGAATTATTAATAGATGGCAGCACGTATGGTACCTTTGGCATTCCTTTGGACAGGCCATAATCTTTATACTAGTCGGCCATGGTTCAAGTTTTGGATACATTTTGCAAATTAAAAATGTCAACAATCTGTCAATCTTGACAGGTGACAACCAGAAATTACAGAAAATATCATGATGCGAACACATGGTAATAAACGGTAACAAAATCTAATGTGAACAAAACTTGTTGCAGCTAAATTACTTTTTTAAGAAATTTTCTTTAAATTCTAAATTCTAGTGAAGACCTCGATAAACCATGGGTTTACCAAAAAAAGTTAAGTATTTAATTTCTCGTTGTTCACACAATTCAAACGTGAAAAGTAATCCCAGCAAAATTACAAAGGAAGGTTCAAGATTTACAATTTTGCATGCGGGTTGTCATTTGCGCTTTTTAGAACGATGTATCTTTTTATTAAATTCGAAAAATAACGACATATTATTACCACAGAACGATGGACAGGACACTTTTTCAAAATTGGATGGATAAACAGCTTATTCCTGCTTTTGTTGTAATGGACAATCCACCACACTGTTCGGTGCACGTAATACATTTCAAAACACGTCCAATTCTAATTAAAAAAAAAAAACAAGTAACCATACCCATTTAATCTTCATAAACTAAAAAAATATTCAAAATTTTTCGCAAATAGAACGATAATTGTTTCCCCTGTAAGACAATGTCCCTTCAACTTGAGATAATTTGTCAAAAAATTTCTTTATTTTTTATCGATTGTTACAATTGTACTCAAGTTGGTTAGATACAGCAGTATAAAATTTTAGTTCCGTAATCCTACACTCAGAAGTGAAGTGGTCATAATAATGACTGGAAATTTTAACCCTCCTTGTGAATATTTTCTCCCTTTGTAAGTTCCCCTCGAATATTCTCTTTCATGAGCTAAAACAGACAACAACTTGATAAAAAGAACAACCTAACTACGGCCACAAACGTTAACTCTCTTTTGATAGCTTAACTCCGGGAAGCCTAACACGTAACACAGTTTCGTAAATGCAGCTTCTACAGTCATGTCATATCCCGGAGTAACTCCAATTGTGTACAGAATCTGAAAAAACAAAATTATAGCTTCTGCAGAATTTATTTGTTTGTTAACCTCTCCAGTTTCATAACCAGCGCTTATCCCACCATGAAGACACTGAGTAATATTAACTATTAAAACTTCTCTAGATACAGCACATTCCAGAACATTAATCACTTCTTTGCAAGTAGAACACATGTTTCCGGAACCATAAGTCCGCATAACCACGCCAGCAACAGACTTATTAAGAAAACCATTCAACTTCAAAAATTTAATCAGTGTATGTTTTCAATCAAGTTTGTGTTTTATTTCACCACAGCTGCAGTGATGGTAGGATACAACACGAGAAGAATCACGTTAGGATTCAAAGAGTGTTGTACTTGAAGAGATTTTTTAGTAGATTCCCATAGCGATGACTGATTAACTGTAATTCGTTACTAGAAGATTCAGATAAATTGGTATAACAAGATTATTACCTACGAGTTTTGCCCCAGTTTCTGCCAAGAGTGGATAGTTAGGAGAGTGGAAAGCGTCAAACTGACTTGAACTTATTTTAGTTGTTCTGTTAGCTCTCATTAATTTGTTTGCGAAAAAAATACAAACTTCTGGAATATTATTGCAACCAGCTAAGATTACTGAAGAAATGAAGTTGCTCAGTGCGTCACTGCGTGTTTCAAATATTGATATCTAGAAATAGGAAGATTCAGAATATTCTAATAAAAGGATAAAATTAGAAATAGATTTTTTGGCATTTTTATTATATGAACTTAGATCTGTTACCTGTGATCCTGTTAGTATTACTGGCTTTTGAAGACCTTCTAACAGGAATGATAATGCAGAGCCTGTGTAAGCTAATGTATCCGTACCATGCAAAAAAACTGTTCCATTATACATATGATAATATTTCTAAAAAAAATTGTTCTAAATTTAATTATGTTCACTTTATTTTTTATAAAATTGTTAACAACGGCAACAGACTAATTACTCAGTAATATTAGGAGTTACTAGGTGCTGTGTCACAACACAACTATAGATTATAAACATCGTTATCTAAACAGCACTTACTCCTGATTAAATGAAATACTGACATGAAAATACATTTCACAAGAGTTGAATTAATTTAAATGCGCGGAAATACTAACAATTATAATATAAAAAACATAGAACAAGCAATCGTAGAAAAACTCTGATATATATACAACTCGGACAAGTTGCAACATACTTGTGAAAAATTAATAGATAAATAGCATCATATTGTTGAAAATAGTGTGCAATTGAAAACATTTTTTTCCAAAACCACCTTAAGTTCACATTTCGTAATTTTGACTAGGGAATAATATTAGACATTCAAAATAAGTTCCGAAACAAATAGTTTTTCTCAAATTGTATTAATTCCTTAATAAAAAAAAATGATGGAAGGTTATTTTGACAAAACTTCCCTCGCCCTTGAAGTATATTTCAACAAATCTCTCTTCTATGAAAAGTTATAAAATTTGATTTTAAGATTTTTGTCTCGTGATAAGCTCAGTAAAGTAAAAACCAGTGGGGTAATTAAGCCCAGCAGCCCCCGTGTCGCAGGGCTGTAAATTCCAAGGGGGCGCGATCCGTACAAGTGCGAACAGTATGAAATATGCGTAGATATTCTCAATTCCTCAATGCATGTTTAACTTCAACTGTTTATTATGTTTACATTTAGAGAAAGAATTCGACTATTAGCACGTCTAAAAAAATTAACATGAATAGTGGAGAAATGTTATTATACTGTTAATTTTTTGCAAAAATTTGGCCGTTTAAGAAAAAACCTCAAAGCGTCTTCGTACACCGTGAGTACAGGCATATCGTCGTTTCCAAAAAATTTCGGGCAAATGACATTAAGATGAAAGTTATATTCCCATCTTGCCCGAAATTTTTTGGAAACGACTGTATATTATTGTATAACATTTGAATGACTTTAATTGAGAATCCTTTCGAAATAAAGTCTTCAAATTGTTGGTGGGGATAACTAGCCAAATTCTAGTTAACGTTTTACCATCTAATCGGTCCAGTAGTTTCGGAGATTATCCGTCTAATAAAATCGACACAGAGGGACGGACGGACGGAGGGACGGACGGATGGAAACGGGAGGTCACTTTTTTCGTACTCTAAGAGTCATGAAATATTGAGAAAACATGAAACTGTGAATTCCGGCGATGAATTCGATTACTATACTTCCTTAGCTCACGCTCGGGAAGTAAAAATCCAAAATTTCTGTTTCATTCTAATCATGTATTAAGGCCAATTAAATTTTAATCCAAATTTAATCATTTAAGTCCACTCCAAAGGAGAAAATAAACTTTCAGTGGATGTGTTTAATTTTTTATAGTTTATTGAAGACATTCAACTAGGTATGTGTCAACATAATTTGACAGAATGCAGGAAATTTTTATGATGCAGCCCTGGGTAATATTGACTATAGCACCCCCAATGAGGTCCCAGAGGAAGGAATTACTGAAAATTATTAATGATTTAATATTATATGTTTTATCTAATAAAAAAAATATTATTTATATCTGTCTTACTTTGGATATATGGACTTACTTATTTTTGGAATATAATTATTGTATACTGATCGGCAAAAAACCGGCCACCCTGAAATTTCACTATGTTTCTGTTGCTTTCTTCAATTAAATTTAATTTTGTATTTATTTCTGTTGTTTTTTTTTAGCTAATTTGTACATTCTATGTCAATAATGTGTGGTTCTTTAATAAAATAACAATCACCAATTAAACTAATAATTTTTAAAGTGGTTTTGCGAAATATTTTAGGGTGGGCAATGCATATAAAAACGCGAATGTTACTTTTTTTTTAATTATAGTAAGCCCAATAAGCTCATTTTGATCTAAACTGACCCGACCATTGATTGTGATACCGATTTTTTTTGCACATGCGATAACTGTCCTAAAAAGGAATTATCTCAATTTCGATATTTTGGACTTGGTTATTTTTGGAAAAATTCAAGACATAACTTTGCTTATCATAGTTTTAGAATACATACATTAATTATATGTGATTAAATGAATAAAGTTTAATTATCAAGTCTTATAAAATTTAATTTACAAGTTATGCATCCATTACATAAATAAGTATTTTTCCAAAATCCGTCCATTTATATTTTACTGGTAGTCACAGTTTTAGTACTGGATATAGATTTTTTTTTCACTAGTAGCGAAGAAATAATTTTCTGTGAGTAGTGAATTCGTTTTTCTCTACCAAAGTGATGATAATTAAATTTGACCAAAGTTAATAATGGAAGTGAAGTTATTATTGACCAAGGTCTATAATGAAGATTGAGGTTACGTAATGCTTAACAGACGAAAATTGGCCGTTGTTACCAGATTTTTGAAATTATTTTCATGAGGAATGTAAAAGTGTTAAGCATCTCGGGATGGGTACATAGTTCATTGTCTGACATATTTCCCCAAAAAATAACATTAATTAATTGATAATTTGAAATTACAAAACTTATTATAGACCAACTGTGTTTTTTGTAGTGCGCTACTACTAAAAAAAATAGTATATATCTACTATTTTCAGTCTTATGTATTATCGTATGCCTTATTGTATGTGACTTTAAAACTAAAATCGAATATACCTTTACATCACAGGCCATTTTTATCCAGTTGTCAGAAGACATATTACAGGAATCCAAAAGTGGATCGTATTGTAAAAGCTCATACATGATGACACAATTATTTTTCGTTTTTCTAAAAGAAAACACATAAATGTATTTTTGTTCTTTTGTTAAATAAATAACCATCACAAATAAGAATAATTTGGCGTCATAATATAGGACGGTCATGCATGATCCGCTTGCTCTAGCGGACTTTTCTTTAAGATTTGGATTTGGATTCATATTTTGCTGACCTAAACGAGATAAGTGAATCAAAATCCAAATCTGACGCTAATTTCGAGGTACTAAATAACCATCAGCCGTTAGTGTTCTAGATAACTATTATCTTAAAAAAATCCTATTTATTTTTGTTTTGTCTAAAACTTACGGTAAGAAAAATTGTTCCTCATTAACAAATCCATAAACTGCAGCTAGATGAGTAGAATGAGTTTGCGGATTGTCTTTTAATAGCTGTAGAAACTTGTTTGAAGCTGGTGTAAGGACTATTAGAACAACGAACAACAAAGCAACACTTACATACATACACAGGACGTTCACTAAAAACTCACCACAACTTTAACTAATTAAGTGAAAATAAATCTTTCTCCAATTAAAAATGAGCTTTGTGTACGTTATAGGTTGGGTAGATATAAGAATGTACATATCATAAGTTGTAGTAAATTCTGAGCGAACACTATAAAATTATTCATTAATACAAACCTCCATAATCATTTTTTGTCATACCAATTGTACCCCCGGTATAAATTACCAAAACTTTTTTTATTTCCTCAATATTTTTATTCTAAAAAATCAAATTTAGTAAAGTGAACTGAAGCTAGTGTTAAACAATTAGTACAAGTTCCAAATATGCAAACGTACTTACATCACTGACATATGGACAACATCCGGTAGATTTTTTTAGGAAAAACATATCTGGGACAATTACATATGGTCTGTTAAAATTTCTGATCGCATCAAAATTTATAATCGACCCACGTTTATTCCACAAACGTATAAGGTTCATTATTTAAGACAAATGCAATTTTATTTACGAAATTAATAATATTAACCGATGACATTTTCAAGACACTGTTGACAATTAAGAGCCTTTCAAAAAATGACAAGTGTGAAAAGTTTTTCTCTTTGAGCAAATTACCGACACATTAAAAGTGTGGAAATAGCAAATAAAAAATAATAATCTTTTTAAGAAGAATAGCCTTTGTTTAACACAAGGGAATTATAAAATTTGAGTCACAAGTGTTGGATCATTTTCAAAAAAATCATCACGAGAAACTTTAATTTTGGCATTTTGTCCAAGCGACGATTTTCTAGATACAAAGCATTATCGTACCGAACAGACAAAAATACACCAAAAGATTTCATGCTTAAAATTGTTGAAGATAAGAAAAATACATGTACTATCTTTCCTGTGTAGGACATAAAAAACCGTTGAACTAAAATTTAACAGTTCCTGAAATCTGCTTGGTTTGCTTCTTGTACTTTTTATTTTAATACTCCTGACCCACCTGTATTTATTTTAAGAAAGTTAAATAGGATTCTTCAGATTTTTTGAAGCAAACACTTTCTGATAAATTGAAAATCGCATTCGCAGAATCACTTTTCTGTCTACAGTACGGCGTACTCCGATATTTCACTTCGCAGCGACATGAAATAAATATTTCTGCTTTTTAACTTTGAAATAATTGTTATTTATAAAGTGCTCAAACAGAGAAGAAATATTCGACAAAAATATATTTATTTTACAAGTAAATGTGTGTAGACATAGTTACAAAATAGAGGTACACTAATTTATCACAATCACTAATTATAGCCGACATTAGTTGTTTTTTAACGAATGACCAATTAGTTAGAATGACATACGAATCCAAACATTGATTTTTCATCTTTCGTCAGGTTTAATCAAAATTTCTGCAACATCGAATATGAACGTGAAACGTGTTATTGAAAGGCGAAAACATCGAATGATACAAAAAGACTAAAATTAAATGGAATTGCATCGAAAAAACTCATCCATTACTAAAACACCTATTGAGTTCGTCTAGTAAAGACTTCGACGAGACCTCCTGAGGCACCTGTGTGGGCAGTTTCCAGTGTTCGCACTTAATCTTCGCACTGCAGTTCGCATTACTTAAGCTATCGTGGAATGTACTTTTCAAATTTTTGTCCAGTGTGGTGATTTTCTTGGAAATTTCCGAAATTTCCATTTTTAGCTTTTGCAAAGTCTTGTCTGTAGCAAAGCGGCCAAGGAAAAATCCTGAAAATACGTCAGTTAAAATTAATTTAATGGCTTCGAAGACAGAAACAAACATTAACATTAGCCGCGTTAAATAAACAATAAGTTATTCAATATAGCTAATGGTTTGTTTGGACTGTGAACATAAATTTCTGCTCCAATAAACCATGCGATGCCAAATTGACTGCAGGGTTATCCACAAATATTTTTCAATTACCTTAAGTAAAATGTGGAGCTGTACTGGCCACAAGGAGGTCAGTAGAGCTTTAATTTGTCTAATGGGCTCTATGTCTCATTAATAAAGCTCATTATTTTGTTATTATTATTGGCAAGGGATTCGGGTTTTCACGCACGGTGGTGAGTATGACCCTCGTTGTGACACAAAATCGAATTGTTCTTGATTAATGAGAGCTTCGTGGAGCAGATAACCATAAATCGTGGCTGACTTAAAGGTTATTTTCTACAAATGCTTAAAACGTTTACTTAATTTTGTGTACTAAAGAGCTTTTAATATTTTTAAGACAGATCAGGTAAGTTCTAAGATGGTCTGTTAGACAGAATGAAACCTAAAAAATTATAAAATACGAAACTATGAAAATGTCACAACGGAGGTGATCGAGCAAATACTGTAAGTACAAAGAAATGCAGGGGGTTATGATAAAGTAATGTACAAAATTCATAAAAAGAGGAGCATTTGTTAAAAAAAAAATGTAAAAACATGTCAAGCCTTTCATTTTGCTCTCCATCTTTTGACATGCGTAAAAAAAATTACGTCAAATTTGTAAAAGTGATGACATCACCAATGATTTTTTTAAATAGGAAGGTTTAATTTTGATTGTATTATTTGATAAAGCTTATTTTTCTACATATGAAAATGTAGCTTGATGTAGGGGTTACATAACAAAAAAATTGAGAAAATTAATAAAAACAAAATAAACATGATATGAACATGAAACAAAATGAAATTCAAATAACTAAAAATGAAAACAAAAATCTAACAAAGAGAATCGCTTTTGTCAGTTTCTTAAGTTGGTTTAATAAAATAAAGAGTACTGTTTGTCTGTATGTAGTCCGGTAGTTTGTGATTTGTAAACAAATATGTTTTTTGTTTGTCTATACTTCTGTCAAAGTCGCATAATAATGCTCCTTTAACCGAAAAAGAACATATAGAAATCCTAATGATGGTAGGTTAAGGCGATAGGCTTCAAAGCCACGAAGAAGTATGCTTTGTCCAAGGAAGTATATTTTGAATGACCTCGAATCGCTAGACGCACAGTTAGTAGAATTGTTGCAAAATTTAATCAAACGGGAAACGCGAGAGATGTTCCAATATGTGGAAGACCACAAATAAACGATAATACCAAGTTGAATATCTTGTTATCTTTGAAAGACAACAATGTAACAACGACGGAAATGGCTTTACAAGAAAATGTTAGCCAGTCGTTTGTGGTAAAGTTTTTAAAAAAAGAGAAACTGCATCCATGAACTATCAGAAGATGATCCTGACAGACGATTGGAATTTTGTGGAAGCGTCATGACATTGTTACGACAATCCCAATGTTTTAAATAGTGTCGCATTTTCGAATGAGGAAACATTTTACTTAAATGATACCCTAAATCGACACAACTGTCGTCACTGGGCTCGAGAACAACCTCATTGGGTTCAAACGGCACATACTCAACGTCTTCCAATTTTTCATAGGCATGTTGAATCAATCTAATCACCATCGTGCAATGAAAATTTGGTTAAATTTAACAAAAAAATGTTGGTTCCTTTTGAGCCTAACGTCCAAACTTTCGAAAATTGAAATATGGAAAAGGTCTTTCTGCTATTAAATCTGGCCGTGAAAGCTTTCGATTCCATTATTGGTTTAATATTAGTCAAAGGCATCAGTAAAATATTTAAATATATTTTGATATATTTTGGAGGAAAGAGGCTACTGGCAGTTTGCCAAAATTTTTACGAGAAGTTAAAAATTAAAAACTTATTTTAAGCAAAAATCTAGAGAGATTATAGATAGACTATCATTTCTAATTTTGCGAGTATGTCTGTTACAAGCCTGCTGTTAAATCATATCGTAAAATTCAATCAATATTCCATTTATTACTTTAACTGCAGTGAAACTAAATATATTTTAAGACGCTTGTTTCAGGCATAGCACATTAAACTAAATCTTAATAGAAGTACCTACTATTTTTACACTTGTGTCGTAAAATGACGTACCAACCCACAAAAAGCACTCTAGAATCGCAAGATACTCTCTATGCACTCAAAATTTTGCTATTAAATTAATTGAAAATACATAGTACATCTTACTCCGAAATTTATGATTATACTTATTTCATCCTTACTTACTCAGCTTATCAGTGTTTCACAAACTTGAAACATTTTGAAAATAATAGGGTCTAAGAGTGTTCCAGATTAACTCCGATGGAAATATTTTTATAAGAGTTCAGTTTTTTGGATTAAAATTATTATTAGAATTGAAAATAATGTGCCAAAAAAAACTCTACACTGAATATAGAAGACAAAAGTTTGTATGAAATAGAACATTTTTCACGTAAACGGGTAATTTTTCCAGCAGCGTGAAATAACAACCATTGTCTCTTTTTGTTTAGATCCCGATCTGAAAAAAATTGCAAGGAAGGAAAACCTTCAGTATAATATCTATATTTTAAAGGTACCTATCAATATTTTCCTCATTTGTGAGAGAAGACAGTGGAATTATTATTAAAAAAATTGTCAAATTCTGACATTCACCATGATTAAAGATGTGATCAGGTGCAATAGGACATCTTTAAAAATTTGTAAATATGTATATAAGAACAGAGAATGTAGTGTTTAATGCAGATGTTGGTTGTATTCCATACTCTTTCTTTTTCAGGGGAAGTATGAGGGCAAATACAAGTTTAATCGTTTTAAATTAATTAAAGACAATATTTAAAATATGTTTATCGATAACCAATAATAACAGTAATCAAACAACTAAAAATCTTACAATGATGATAACGTTTAGAAAAAAATAAAAAACAATTTAAAAACGAAACATTAATAAACTATAGAATTAAATGGTTAAATCGAATAAAACGAAAAACACAATAAAGAAATTCTTAATTTTTTATTTCAGTATCCACTTAAATGTAACTCAAGAATGTAACCTATATTCTATCTGTGAATACACCTGTCATACCTACAGCACATTTATTATTCATGATGTCGTGATACACTGATATCACATAACTACAAACCTTCCCCAAATTTTATTAAAAAAACATAGGTAGGTCAAAAGTCGATATTTTTCACAAGGTGTTAAGTGTTCGTTCACCTTTTAAGAATCAATATATATGACATGATACAATGCCACTTTCTCCTGTTTTACCTAACAGGTGTAATAATGTTTCCCTGACATGCGATAGTACGCACAATTGATGTTATATTTAATCTTAACGTATTAAAGTTAAAAATAGACATTACCATCAAATTTCGAAAAGTGTCTAGTAAATTTCGTTTGAAGGTAATAAAAAGCATGAGATGGAGTAAAAACTTGAAGAAATACCGAATTAACAAAATTTAAAAAATATAAGTAGCAGAAATAACAAGAAGAGAATAAGACAAAAAGAACAAAAAATTGATAAAAACAAAATAAAACATAATTCCATGTATTCAGAATTATTAAAAAAAGTATATATATTAAGTAGTCTACAACGTTTAGAAGAATATGCTTACCAACCTAACAATAAAAAAATATAATTGTACTAATTAACCGACACTGAAGAAGAGAATCGTTGAAAATATTATATAATAATATTAATAATAATAATTATAACATATTCAGACGAGATGCAGTCGATTATGTTAGAAAATTTCACAGCATAAAAGTAAGATTGAGCATAAAATTTCTCAGCTTTTTAGTGTTTTATAAACCAAACAGTGATTCCAAATTTAAACGCCAACAAAAGCCAACTTTCAATCAATGGTTTCAATCCAGCGCAGTAAATTAAAACACTTTCTCAATACTGAAACTAGTGAATGAAACTAGTTTTGACTGGGAATTTTATTATTCAAATAACTCATAACTGTGTTCCGAACCAAAACTGCAATCAAGAACAATATACACGTGAATTAATTAGATGCGATCATATACATCGGTTCACCAATCTAGAAACAACTTAAAAACAACAGTTAAAATTTAATTTTATCTCATTCCGTTTTTGTTACAACTCGTGTTCACCTCCTCTGCGAAAATATAATTTTAAGTACGTAGTTATAAGTTTAATAGACAATATGGTTTATTTAACTTACTGTTCGTTTATCCATTGCAAATCTTTAAATGTCTTTACTACATAAAACTAGAAATACCCGCACTTTCTTTAACGAACACAAAACCAAATCAAACTTAAATATATTTATTGGATTACGAAAATCCAATTACTTCCCGTGTTTGTTGCACAGCGTAGGTGTAATATATTAACGGTCACCTCTGCCATAATGTACTTTCCGAATACTTGGATGGTAATCCCTATGTTGACGTATTAGTAAAGTAGAACAACCAGACTGTATTTTAAACAACGTTCAGTTTTTCAACCATCATCTTCAAAAGAACGTACCGTAGACGAAAATACTCACACATTTTTCGCCGTTTATTTAGAAAATTTAATGCACAGTTGTTGAAAAAACTCTGTGCTTGCCATATTCCTCCTTCAACACTGACATTACAAGCTCTTTTCTTTTTTTCAAATATTTAGAAAATTTATAAACCGTAGAGCTGCAAGTCGGTAAACTTGGTTTCACAAAACAAAATACGTCAAAAAATTTGTACAAGTTCCGGAAAAAAAAAAAACTAATTTGTAGTCATTTACACAAAACTTCATGTGCTTCTGAAACACCACAAATGCCGTATGATCAGGGATTATGTTTCAGCCATTTTTTAGAATGAAATCATCCATTTACTTAACGTACTGTTAATACGAAAGTAGTCGTGTGGCTCACGAAATAAAATAGTAATAAAGAAATAGATAATACAACACCTGAGGTATTAAGTATGTAATAAATAATTTATCTACTTGTAAGATTCAATCCCGAACTTCGTTCACTTTGGTCGCTCCTGTAATAAAGATGCACAAACAACCATAACGTCAATCAATCTTTATTATCTCATTGTGCAATCTGTATATATTGTACTTGTGCTTATAATTTCTCCACCGATTGTGCTCTCCATTAACAGCAAAATTAAAATTATTTTCAGCTGCACAGAGTGTTCTGTTTTTGAGAGAAAACATACAACTTAGTTTTTTTTTAATGAAACTCCTTATATTTTTACATGCTATGCTAATTAGACTAGACTATAATTAGTCCCTTCCTAGGCAGGGTTTACAAACATATTTTATTTTTGAAATTTTGTTATTTTTATTTGTTATTCCAATTTTCTTGAAATCTGTAATATAACAATACAAAAATTCACAAAAAAAGATTGCAGCAATTGTAAAATCGAAAATTACTGAGGTACAAATTAATTACTCCTATAATTTTCCAACATCCATTCATCCATTCTTAGTTTTTCAAATAGAACATCCTGTATTTTGTTATTGCATTTTTTTTTTATTTTATATTCTTTTTCTTTTTTTGTTGAAGTTCAGAGTTTTTATGCTTTTCAATTTAAAATATCAAGAATTCTATTGTTGCATTACATAATCACGTCATATCAACTCAAGACAATTTAGAGCATCCATTTTTTTTGTAGTGTACATTCATTTGTAATTTTCTTAAAAAAACTTTAAAAGTCGCCAACCGAAAAATGTTACTTAACATTTACATAAACACACATTATAAAATGACGTTATAAATATTTGGAGTGTCAAAATGAAATTTACTCAGGAAGATTTAGTTGACATATGGATGAAAGTGAAGAATATCACTTACTTAAAATTAAGATACATATAAAACAGTTAAAAAAATTAAGTTACCTTAAAAGCAGAACACGTTGGACAGTCAAAAATAATTTTGGTTTCTGCTCTTCAAAAAACCATATAAGTCTCTGATTTTTTTTTATTTAATATAATTAACGAGATATTGTACACACAACTAAAACTGTAGAGGTTACGTAAAAACCAAAAATCTAAATCGCTACAAGTACCTAATGTTAATAGCTATGGAAGGATTAAAATATTCAAACTACAAATCAAATTTAACATCCTTGAATTTTATTTGACCTGTCAGTATAAGAATTTTAAGGTTATTATTATTATTGCTATTATTTTGAAAATGGAAAAATATATAACAATTTAATTTAATGCTTCCATTTCTGACTAAATTAAGGACAAAAGCAATCTGACTGTCTTTTAGAAGAAGAACGTAAAAGTCTTAATGCACTGTTTGAGTGTCAAATCTTTGATTTCTACAAAGAATATATATATTATTTACTGTATTAATAAATCAGTATTAATAGGTGCTTATAGTTGATTATTAAAAATCATTTTTAATATTCAACTATAGTTCTTTGACTGACACATATTTTTTAAAAAGTTTAAAAATATTGTCTACTAGATTTTAGAATCTAATGTTTTCTTATCTGAAACTTTAATTTTTTTACAAGTAGATAACAAATTTATTTCCATGTACATCTGTGGAGAAAAAATGGGAATACTGGATGTCGTTTTATTTTAATCACTTACCATAAAAACAAACTTATAATGTATTTTCACATTCAGGAACACATAGTTACAAAATTGGCTGACTTCTTTGTGAAAGCAGAAATGGCTCACAGTATACATACGAAAAAAAGCGAGCAAAAAAATAAATACCAAAACTTAAGCAAAATCATAATCTCTTTATTTCTATTTTCAGCTTAATTCTGAAATAATATTAGTTTTCAAAAATGTGTTTATTTCTGCTTTGAATGCACAGAGAAAAAACATAGGAGTACATTTTTTCAAAAATCACACTGTACCTATGTGTCCCGATTAATTTCTACAATTTTGTTACAAAATTTTGTCCTAGAATCATTCAAATTCAAAAATGTTTCTATTAATTTAATTGTTTTAATTTTGGTTAAAAGACAATTTTAAATTAATTAAAAAAATATTGTTACATCACCCGTAAAGTTCTTCCACGGTTCTTTCTGGAATACCGCTAATTATTAATTTATTTTGCAGATTCTCTACTGTCTAATGTATTTCCTATTCTGTATGTAGACGTTGAAGTTTAAAACTAATTTTGGCTCTTCACAATTAATGTAACAAAAATGAAGAGAAAAAAAATGCAGACACGTTTGCACCAGATAAAACTGAATTATACAGGCTACTTCTGATTTACAGTTTAGCTACTTTCTTTAAATGTTTATAAAATGTATAAACTCTAACAGGAAATTTGTGAACGTAAATTCGGCAAAATAATATGAAAGAAAATAAAGACTATGCATTTAACAGTTCCCTCCTGTACTTTATCACATCCAACTCCCGTTAATCTGGTATTGCTGATGATATGAACAGAGAAAAGACTCTCTGTCTTTTTATGATAGTTGTTTTATTGAAGGTTGTTGTCACAGAAAATATAAAATTTTTATTTAAACCAAATTTTCCCCTAGATACGAACTAAAAATATTTTTCTCAAAAATGAAATTAAAGTTGTTTTTAAAACCACCTATAATTTATTTTTGCTTATTTTCCTTTGCGAAAACAATAGTGCGTTTAACCGATTGTAATAAACTACTCACTTTTCCAAATTACTTCATTTTACTTACACCAGAAGTGAATATTTAAACACTATGTTTATAAAAAGTATTTTTGTTTACAAAACTTCAAATCAGTAACCGGAAAGTTTCATGTAAATACTTTCGTATTTCGTGTTTGTTTATTTACCCAACACGCTCATATTAATTCACATCTACAACGTCCGACAAGTAGCTGGTACGTACATTTAACAGTCGAAATAGCAACTTTTTCAACTCGCCGAGAATAAATAAAAATAAATACGCTTTCAAGATTATGCGTTATTAATGAGACACTCCTGCCACAATTGACAATAAATTGCTCCCAACGTATTTTCGCGGGAATTAAGCCGAAAAAACATGAATTCTTACCTCCGATAACGGCGAAAAAAGCCACCGTGAGAATGAAACTGCAGCACAGCCTTTTTGTCACAAACTCCGACGTCAAATTGGAACTCCTGCTGGTCTCGAGACTCAAGATGCGCTGCATTTCCACGAGGAACGAGGGAAAAACCGCCGCCTGCCGCGTAAATATTATTCCACCAAACACACAAATAGTAAGGACGTTAAATATTTTTGGCAATTTGGCGTAAATCCAGTTGCTTTAATGGGATGACACACAATTAAGATGAACACGTTATAAATTCAAATTAACATCCATTACTTGTAAAAAATTGCACTTTTCTCGGATATTGATTTTTACCATGTGATTGCCGGGGTGGTAATGAAACGTTTAGGCGCGAACACAAAGTTAATATCGGCGGCTATTTTCGCTGGGACAGTTGGGTTATTTTTATTTTTACGCTTACACTTGATAATTTTATTAACTAGTTGAGAATTTTAGGCACGTGAGCGATTGCGGTCGCTGGGCGGGCAGTGCTCGTGGAAAATGTGGGTGAATGGTTCCGAGAAAATTTTGCCGATTTTCAAACTTGTAGAACGTAATATTGTAAAATTAAAGCATGCGTATAGAATGCGACAAGCAATCACGAGTGATTCACTTTGTAAAAAAAGGTATTATACAGAATATTTCGTATATTGTTGTACTAAAAGACTTCAACCGTTGTAAACATGAAGAAATTGTGGCGATGTAGAAGAATATTTTACCTAAATTTTTATCTTGGAGTAAATCTGTTGCTGCATTTATTAATTCTTGCAAGTGGTAAACTTGGCATGGCTTACAGAAAAATATTTACTGTAGCGAATACGAAAAACTACTGTAGATCTACTTCGAACTAGCAGTAGTTTGTTCTTCACTTCACCCACAGTTTAAAGATAGATTTAAAAATTGCATAACTGGAATAGCTATTTATAGTATAAGTGAAAAAAAGTGAATTTTATCCAACGAAAAAACAGTTTAGCACACGAGGCGAAGCTGAGTGTGACAATGTTTTTGAGTGGATAAAATTCGTTTATTCACGTGTATCATACAAGATTTTTTCCAATTTCGCAAAATTTCTCAAAAAATGTATTGTATAGGTAATCCGTATACATAAATATTAAATATTAATAATTGTACTATTATTAATATGATGAACATTTGAAGAAGGTAAATTGCCTAAGCTGCCTGTACTTTCGTCATGGTCAAATTCAAACGATGCTCCTGGACTTTCATTAGGATTGTTTTACAGGAGGTGGACTATCAAGCGTTGCAAATTTTAGTGTGAATTTTTAGTTTTTTTACTTTATTCGTGTGGTCAATGACAGTGTGAATAAAGTGTTGCTATAAACATTTTATTCATCCTTTCGATTAAACTATGAGCATTTTATTAGTAGAAATTGGAAAAAGAAATTTATTAAAGCCAAACTTTTAAAAATCGTTCACAAATTTCGAAGATTTTTGAATGGAATTTGACAAAGCGGTCGAACACATAGGTACACTAAGTGCTAGTTTCATAATCAAAACTTAAAGGACCTTTAACTAATGGGAGCTTTAAACCATTGTCTCAACAATGTGTTTCCCTGGTAAAAATCCAACTTTAATTTTAAAGCTCCTTTAACTTGATTATTAAATCGGCCCTAATAATAATTAATTATATTACATTGTTGCAGATAATCTGAAATTTTGCATATGATTTATATTTTTTGTCCCAAACTTTGTTTCAAAAAAAAGATAAAACCAAACAAAACACACCAGTTTTCAAATTCTTAGTTACATATATGTATTTATAAGGCATATGAAAAAATTTGTAAAATGATTGACGTAAAACTGTTCTGCCATCACTTTTCAAAATTGCATTTTCGATGAAAATCTAAATTTTTTACATAAAGACAAGTCTGCAGCCGGCTACCGGAAGTCTCGATTGCGGGGTCTAGAAAAAACCTAGAAGCGGCGTTCGGGATCCATCGGGATCCATCGAGATATGCAGGGATTTAAATACAGGCCACCGTCGGGAACCATTAGTCAGTCGAACCACGAGTCCAGCGAATGTTAAGAGGAGTCAGATAAGTTGCGCCGGAAATAGTTTGTAGTGTTTCTACAGGGTTTCTATAAATGAGTATTATAGGGTCGCAGTAGGTCATGTAAACGTGCCGCCTCTCAGATTTAACTTTACGGAGATCCGTACAAAGTGCCCAAGGACGCATGACAAAGATCACGCATGTGTATAACTGGTTGCCTAAATGCTTCATATGTTTTAAAAAAAATAAAACGAATTCATTACGATAAAAAGATACAAACTTATTGCGGTTAATCATCACACGATGTTTCTTCAATTATTAAATCATGGTATTTGCCCAGAAATTCTTGCTTACAAGCGGTTACAGAATACACAACTCTTCGTTTACGAATTCCCATTGCGATAACAAGACATAACGATGAAAGTGTCTTGTTCAACAGAATAAACCATTTTCACAGCATAAAAACAAAATTTTCGAATACAATCATCAATAGTTCTGAAAATGACTGTTTTGTTGTTTTGAGCTTGGATCAACGATAATTACTGTAATTCGCACTTGAAAAACGTTAAAACAATAAAAACGACGACTTTAAATGACAGGTAACAAATGTCATTAATGACAAGTGAGAACTGTCATAGTGATGCATAGGGCATAATTTCAAGGAAGCGGGATTTTTGAAATCCATGGCCAACTATGCCCTTAGAATCATTTATAAAAGCCCTGTACATAGTCGCTGTAATAGTTAACTGTGTATATTCGAGTTATTAAGAAATAAATTGTTGAGTTTTACTAACGCCAATTTTTATGCGTCCGCTCATCGTAATAATATTGTAAAATCTTATTCACCAAATTTTATTGTTTTTGCAATATATTGTTACGTTGATCGGTGAATAAAAACGGGGGGAGTTAAACTCAACAATTTATTTCTCAATGACTCCGATTTACACGACTAACTACAGGGTCATTATAAAATATTGTAGCCGAAGAAGGCCATGATTTTGGTGACATTTTGTGCCGCCTTTTTCAGTTTTGTGGAAAGGATTACACTAATATTGGAATTTTTATTTTTAGCGCCACATTAGTTGACATTAGCGGCTGCACTGTTTCAACGCTTCATCAAATTCTGTCAGATGTCAATAATTTTTTCGTTTGTACTGGTACGTTTTCCCTCACTTTGTGCGTTAATTGACTTGTCTTGTTTTCATTTTTGCTGTCTTCCCCTTTGTTAGAACTTTAATAAGTGTCTCAAAAAACAGTTTTTATCAAAACTACAGATCATTGTGGAATAATCTCAGGTAATGAACAGAGAGGAATAACTATGGTCAGTGTTACAAATGATTTTTTTAGTTCTTTGGCGCAATCATCATGCCTATTACCGTAATGGGGTGTTAAATGAGGATGGGGATGGAGTGTACTACTCTGTGGAGGCGTCTAAAAACGAGTATCTAGTGAAATGTTCTGTTGTCATTGATGAAGAATCTTTGAAGACGCTATATGGCGAATTATGGCCAGATTTAACGACACTGGTAGCATTTCTAAGTGAAAACCGACGGGGAGACCTCAAGTTAGTGAAGACGTTGTTGAAGATTTAAGGATGAGAATGGAACAAAGTCCGAATAAAGCTTTGTCAAAAATCTTTACTGTCCGGAGTACCATACAGCCCATGTCAGAAAATCGTAAAAGAGAAGTTACATATGCATCCATACAAGATTTTGTTGGTTCAGGAGCTGCAACCAGCTGATTTTCCTTGCCGCGTTGGGTATTGTAGTTGGTTTCAAGCTGATATGGACGATAACGGGATTCTCGATTTGTCGTTCTTTTCTGATGAAGCCTGGTTTCATCTGTTAGGCTATTATGTCAACTGACAGAACTTCAGAATTTGGTGTATAGAAAATACTCACGCTTTTGAAGAAACACCATCACACGCAATGAAGGTTGGTGTGTGGTTAGCTGTTTCCAGACGACGATTCATAGGCCTGATACTTTTTCAAGTAAATGAATGTGATCTATTGATAAACAAAATTAGATGTAGAAAGTGTATGTAGGTACTGCAATAAAGTTTTTTATTTTCAGTAACTTTCATTTTTCTTTCGGTGTTAGTTGCATTCTCTTAATTTAAAACTTACTTCAACTTACTGTTTAGTAATAATTGTAATTTTACTATTAGGAAAGTTAAAAATCTTTATTAAACATTCTGTTGTTTCAAGAGATCTCATAATCATCTACAGAACTCTTAACACTATGCTCCTGAAATTTTATTGGTTTTTTCATCTTTTTTGTTATAGAAATTTTGAAAAATCTTGATATTAGGATGGCCATGTGGGCGTGTTTTGGGTAGAACCTCTTTGACATTCCTGTTATGCAGATCTGGCATGTTTCAGATATCTAGAAACTGCAAAGCTGAAGGTAATGTTTGGACATAGCAGTTTTCACCTATTGTAGGGATGAAGATCAAGGCTTTCAGTTGTGTTTTTTCAAGAGAAAAGCACCGGTCACAAACCATGTCTGCACCAATATTTTGACGATTCCTTACAATTTACAAACAGAACTTTCGCGGGATCACAACTTTGGCAAAATTATTTACTGCAAAAACTCATTAGGTACTCATAGTGTTCGTTAACTGTGATAAGACTTGCTCTGCCATTGTCCATTACGTGATTTTTCACAATTTTTACCTTCAGGGTACCTATAAAAATGTAATTTTTTAAATAATTACCGTGTTCATTGGTTTCGACAAACTTAACCTCACTTTTTGGATTTCATTATTTGAAAAATTATTGCTTCTTTGCAAAACAGACCAGATGATTTATTCTGTTCAACTCCAATCGACTTTCCAAGGTGTAATTCATGACAAAGCCCTTAAACGTTTTTCTGACAATTTACAATTTTTGAAACTGAAATGTATTGCAGTGGCGTTCAGAAATGCTCGATAACACTGCAACCCTTAATGCTCTGGCCTGGCGTCTTTTCGTGTCTATTTAAAATGAAATTAAATCGCAAACCTGGCATGTCAATTTTTGACACATTTGATAGATTTGTTTCGACGTTCGTGACATTTCAAAAGAGTTGAAATCATTTTGGTGATTAGCGGCACGAGAAAAATTTCAATTGTTTTTCATAGGTGAGTTGACTACAGTATTTTATAATGACCCTGTATATGTATAGCGATTATGTACAGAATAATTCCGACTCGACTGGAATGGATTTGACTAAACTTCTCCCATTGTCTGGACTACAGTAACTGCTCCCGACGATTGTTCCCATTTAAACAGCCGCGCGGTCTTTGTCGAAGCTCTCCGTCGCCGCTTCTAGACTTGTTCTCGAACACCCGTCGCGACATCCGCTTCCAGGCTCTTTTCCGGCCGCGGTCACCGATAATCAGTCACCATCGCCGTACATACTAGAACTCATAGGCGTCGTACCCGGGCGGCGTATGAGTTTATTTCGTAACAATATAATACGAAATGTTTAAATATAGGTATATTATTATTATTAAAACATAGATGTGCAAGTAAATCACGCTATAAATTTCAAGTGTCATTTACTTTGAAAAATTTTTGGAACTATAAGGAATTCACGTTCGGTAGATGTAACTAGATTTGGTAACTTTTTTTTTTAAGCTGTGTAACTGCGGACATAATTGTTCTAGTGTATAATGTATAATTAGAATGTCAGAAAGTAGGTATCAAAAATGTGACATGTAAGTAAGTAAATATCAAATATCGAAAATGTGATGGTTTTGTGGTGATCTGCTGAATCTATTTTTGAATCCAGTTGAAAATTGTATCCCTCTAAAAGCCCAAAGAGCAACCCGCATGTAAAATTGTGAATCTTTTCCCTTCACTAGTTATTTTAGGAGGACAAGCTTCGATGTCATCATCATGGATCCACAATTTTACCATGGATTCGTTTTGGTATATCCATGTCTCATCCAAGAAAATGAAAAGTAAATCTTCACCACTATCACGCAATTAGAGATACCGCTTTAGAAATTTGATTCTGGTAGTTATTTAATGTGAAAAACTTCGCCTTCGGAAATCTAAATTTATACGTGTATTACGTACAATTATTCTCCAAGCCGAGTATTTTCCCGTTTACAAAACAATAACGATTATATAAAATTAAAAACCAATTGTAGGGCGGACCCAACAAAGCATGTAGGTATATAAATCTGGGCAGTCGTCTTTCTGATTCTGAGTATAATATTAACGGCACCGACGCCGTTGTATCGGTATTATTTTAAAATTCGAAAAACACTCGAGAACACCAGCGAACTTTACGGAAAATATTTCTGCCACCAGTTTAACTGTTTGCGTTTTACCCAAAGATTGTCTATTTTTCTCTGTAATTTTTTGAAAACCACGAAATATTTCTTGTTTCTTTTCCTTTAAAATGGGCTTTCTCGTGACCACTTTTGTGGAAATTCTTTCCACGCTGTATTTAAGGATTTTCTTCAAACGAAGCGTGTTGAAATTAGAAAAACTTCGTTTTTTTTCCAGACAATTCAGATTTGACATTTGAATTACAAAATTAGACAGTTGATACCAATCTTTAATTTCTAGTGATCTTAAGATTGCAACTTAACCACAGAAAACTTTCTGTTAGCTACTTCTACCGAACGTGAATGCTTATTACATCATAAATTTTGCGGAGGTCATGGAATGGACAGACAAATTATGATTCTATTATCTATTAGGTGGTAATCTTAAAGTACATCTAGCATTTTGCAGTAGTAAGTGCCTTATTTTCGAAATTTACTTATTTGTCCAACGCAACAGACAGACAAACAGAAATCAACATTTTCGTATTCTACAACTTGTGAAACGTCGAGAAAATATGAAACTAGGTAATGGTAAAAATAGGCATTTCAATTTACGTGCGGGTATTAAAAATTAAAAATTGAAAATTATGTTATCATTTGAAATAGTTAGCGTTTCAAGCATGTCTTACTTACGCCATAAATTTCAAATGAAATTTACTTAAAAAAATTTTGGATTACGTTATCAGTTTTACGGAGAAAATGGATAGACAACTTTGGTTGAAATTCTGGTGTCCTATCACAAGTTAATCTTGAAGTATATGTATGAGTATATCTATCATTTCAAAGTAATTAGTTTCCCAGTTTTAAAGTTATCTACATATCTATAAAATCTGAATAGACACACTAGACAACAGATAAACAAAGAAATCAATATTCATGTATTACACAGACTGTGAAACGTTGCGAAAATACCACATTAGACTTTAGTCAAAATTTGGAAATGATCAATTATTTTATAATTTGAACCAGTTATATATCTTGTTTGAGCTATTGTATTTCAGAAATTTTCGTTTCAAAGATGTGTTTGTTTAAAATTTAAATTTTTAATTTAATTTTAGAATGAACTTGAAAATTCGCAAAAATGGAAAAACTTTTACTATATCTTAATTCCATTAATTTTTATTACGTTGGAAATATTTACTTACATTTAACTTCCTAAAAAATCAGATTGTCGTCGGTAAGATAAGTAAATGTCCAGGTAAAAATTGTATGATAAATCGCTTCATCCTAATAGTTTTGGAGAAACTTGCGAGTGTGAATATTCTAATAAAAAGAAAATCTTTCTGTTCTAAAAATTGTGCCAATTTTGAACATTTTTCTTTTTACTCCCAGAGACTAAGCTAAAAAATTGGTCGACAGTTGTTTCGACAGAACTTCTCTCGCTTCTCAAATATAATGAAACATACCCAGCATTTTCGAAAAGGCGCATCCTCAGAAGCGTCCGTCATCATTTCTCTGTCATAGTGAATTTTTCTACGTGCGATGGGTACCTGTACCTGTTTAGATTAGTGCCTAAATAGATTCATCCGCATTCGTGCTAGCGTGTTGACCAGTTCACTTAAGTTTATGTTTCCGCGTATTATTGTTTGCGATTTAAAAAAATAAATTTAAAAACCATCCCCTTCTGAAGTGTGCATGTTACGCTACTGACTGACAGTACGTTATCAGATTCGGATGACTCACCATGTTAAACTTAAAATAATCCACCTCTAACAACCCTTGACCTTCAACACCTCGTAATAGCAATCTGACGCTCAAGTGTTTATTTATATTTATACACCGAAAGAATGTCACCTAGAAATTAGTTTGATTTGAATTAGTTTGTCTTCTCAAAACACAGGATTAAAATTATTAATTAAACCACAATCGACCAAAATATTCTGAATATTATAATTCTTATTAATATATAAAGACGTGCGTATTCTTCACATTTTCGAGAAAATGGGGTGACTCGTTCTTAATTTGACCAATAAACAATTTGTGACGACGTCATCAACATGGATAATTCCATTGGCGGCTGGTGGGTCAAAATTTCGGGTTGGCCAAATATTTTGATTCTACACCTTTGTGTTATATATTTTCGTAATATATGGCCGCTACTCGTTAACCACTGACATTTTACGTGCCAGGATGTACGAAAACATCTAAAGGTTCTTTAGATTTTAGTAGTTGGGGTTTTTATATCTGATCTAATATCGGTTTGCCGCCCGTTTTTGAAATTTTTCTGTAGGGCGCTACATTAATAATGATAATAATAATAATAAGAAGAAGAATTCGATTTGTTAAAATAATTTTTTTATAGGAAATTGACAATGTCAGTTTGATTCCAAACACTATTAATTCTTAGTTCTGTTCTACCTGTTCTGCCATTATCATTAATTGACAACCACCGAAAAAATTATTTTTACTCACCAATATGTCTCCAACCACTTCGTAAAAAGATCTGAATGGACTGAATTTAAATTAACGAATTCATCAATTTCTTTCCGACTGCACACAATGTTGTCGCAGTCGGAAAACAGTAGGTACTCGAGAAGCACGCTGATTACAGCCGTTAATATGTAGTAATTTCAGTCAAAAGAATTATAACGATATTAAATACTAGTTCAAAACATGCTGTTTACGGAGCATCAAATTTCATTTGACATTATTACTTATTGCGTTTGCGACATAAGGAAGAATTTGAGCAATAGAGGAATCTGTAAGAAAGTCCTGCGTGAACGAAGTTGTTGGAAGAAACTGCTAGAAATTATTGTGATGCGGTTCCATTGACCCACCTGTTTAAGCAAAACTAAAAAATATGAATTCAACGATAAATAAAAAAAAATCATCATATTTTGCACATTTTAGGTAGGATTTATTCGGTAAAATTTTCAGATGACGTCATCAGTTTTTTGGAGTTGGAGAATAACTCGTATAACAAGATTTAAAAGTAGGATTCAGTTTTGCCTCAATAAAATAAATTCACTCAGTCATTAATTTTTTTGAGGCACCCCGTAAAGCAAATCTAAAAAATATTAATGCAGCGATAAATGACAAGTATTGACTCATCATATTTTGCCCATTTAAGATAGGATTTATTCAGCAAAATTTTGAGATGACGTCAGCAATTTTTAGAGGGGATGAGCAAATATATTTTGATCAATAATTTACTATGCTTATGATAATTTTGAAACATCTCCAAGATTTCAAAGTATTCGGTTTTGCAGTTCTTGATTAAATCAATAAAATAAATTCACGCATTGATTAATTTTTTTGGATCACCTGTATAAGCAAATCCAAAAAATGTGAATAGAATGATAAATCACTAGTATAGACTCATTATATTATGGACATTTTAGAATTTGGCAAAATTTTGAGCTGACGTCACTAAATTTTTGGAGGGGATAAGTAAATACAGGGTTACGGGCCAATTTCAAGTTGGTTTGCAATTAATTGCAAGCGCCGTTGCTATGGTGATCTCGTAGAACTCTTAATACAAACCATTATATTTTTGCGAGGTTACCATAGAAACGCAGCTTGCAATTAATTGCAAACCAACTTGAAATTGGCCCGTTAGTCACGAGAGAATTACTTCTGAAAATTATTTTTACGCAACCCAAAATACTAATACCCTGTACCACTTGATATTAACTAAATTTAAAATGAAATGCCTAATCCATGATTGCTTTAACTTTGGCAGTGTCACTTTGACGTTAATTAATTTTTAACATTTTTTTTTCATCGTTGACTCGCCTCTAGAGCCCCATTCGATCGACGACGTACAGTCAGATCAATCTGGGCTATACCGAAGCCGTAAGTGCTCTACCAGTGTTGTTCGCCGCTAATGTGCATGTGTTAATTCGCCATTTCTGCGTCACCTAGAGCCTCTTCGAAGTGCAAATCTGCAACCTCTGGACTTCTTCGGCCATCCATTTACAAAAAAGCCGTAGCATCCCCCCAAAATGCCCAACATTTTCAACAGATTAGTAGTTAAATTATTTACTTACTTGTTTGAGTTTGTGTTGTAACCTTTGAATAAAATGCCGTAAAAGGAATTTTTAGAAATAATTTTCTCGTGATTAATCGGTTGCAAAAGATCAAGAGGCACACTGACAAATTTATTAGCGGCGCCGGAGGAGATTTCCGACTGGCTGCGGTACCACCATGGACACTCGCGTAACCTCTTTTTCCACAATTGTCAAAATGAGATTGCCAAACTCAAAGCAATCATGGATTAAGCATTTTATTTTAAATTCAGTTAGTATCAAATGGTACATGGCATTCGTATTTTGGGTTGCGTAAAAATAATTTTCAGAAGTAATTCTCTCGTGACTAACCATGTATATTTTGATTAAAAATGTATCATGATTATATTGATTATCATAACTTCAAAATATCTGCAAGATTTCAAAGCATTGGGTTTTGCAGATTCAAAATTAAATTGCAAAATGTTGTTTTATGATTTTGATTGTTTTTTCCAAAAATTTGGACGTTTCCGGTAAAAAGTCATAAACTACATGTGTAGGATTAAGTTATTTTATACAATTAAAAACCCATTTACTACATATGTAGAATTTTGAAGTGACGTCATCACATTATTGGTGGGGATGATTAGACAAATTTTGGTTAGCGTTTTACCATCTACATGATATTCCTAATATAAATACAAAATCTAAGAACAATCGGCCCAGTACTTTAAGATTTTCTGTCTAATAAAATTCCGGGACGGCAGACAGACAGGCGGAAACGGGAGACCTCTTTCTTCGTCCTGTAGGAGTGAATCGGTCGACGGACGCGACTACAATACTTTGCCTACGTTCAGGAAGTAAAAATATGAATGCAATGGTAAAAACTCATCATATTTTGCACATTTTGGGTAGAAAATATTCGGCAAAATTTTGAGATGACGCATTTACTAACTATGATCAAGGATCACTAATTTAAAAAGATTAATAGATTGATCAAAGCTGCTTATGATGTGTATAATGTGTTGCCTACACGAAAATATTTAGGCGTAAACAGTTTATAGATAAAATAATCACCTGTATGCATATATGTACTATTGGTCAAATTTTACAAAGAGCACTTCTCGATTTCGCACAAACTGTTTGCACAGAACTCTTCTACAGGACCCCCTGATTACGTTCCTTACCTTCAAAAGTTGTGGAAATGCTTCCTTGTGTCAGAAAAAAATATTTAGTGTTCACCCTATGGTTTGCACCCTATTAGTTGCGCCGCATGTAGGCAACCAACGACACACACACTTGAACTCGCACGAATTCCAATAACTAAATGATCCACGGAGCAAGAAGTGCCACGTTTAGGGGTATGTTTGTAATGGGGTGCAGGGCGCGAAGCGCCCTGCCTCCACTAAAAACCCGATGTTACACCTACCCATATTGTTGACTATAAAAGTTAGGTTATGTTCGAAACGACTCTCCATTGAAGAGTGTGCAAATGGGAAATTTAATAATTTTTTTGTGGCAAAAGTAAACATTTCCACAACATTTGAAGGTGAGGAACGTGATCAGGGGGTCCTGTAGAAGAGTTCTGTGCAAACAGTTTGTACGAAATCGAGAAGTGCTCTTTGTAAAATTTTACCGTACTATTTTGTTTGTAATAAAAATAAGTAATACGCAACCAACAATACATCACAGCTACTAATCGACTAATTTCGCCATCAAAAGAGTTCACGAACCCTCCCGATCCCCTGCTTATGTTATCAGCTGACTATCACTTGACATCTGTCAACTAATCACAAGTATCAAAATATCTAAATGAACCTCTCCCAACAACTTCCGTGTCTCAATGATAGTAATTGGTTTGCAAGTGTGAGAAAAAGACAAAAATCATGGAGTTCGAAGCCTTCACGGCACGTTCGCGGATGTGCAGATGCCACTGCAGACGACGGGTATTTTTTATAGCTTAGGTGAAATAACGCTAATAAAACAGATCAATAAGTTCCCTTTGCAGCGCGAAACCAACCCCCTTTTTCGTGCCGTCTTGTCAAACGATTTAAACGAATTAAAAGCCTTAGTGGAATCCGGCAATTCTGTCAACATACAGAACACGAAAGGAAGCGCTTTGCTGAATTTTGTCATGAGAAGGAAAAGGTAAGGTTTCGTGTTGTTCATTCCCGCTCTAAAATTGTTATTTGCAGAGTTGAAATTTTTGACTATTTAATGAGCTTGGACGAAGTAGATGTAAACTTTCTTGATCGATCGGAGCAGAGTCCGTTGATATACTTGGGTGGGATTTGTTTTGATGAATACTTCGCGCTAGAGCTGATTAAAAAAGGTGCTGATATACATTCCACGGATAGTTGTGGGTTCACATTCTTGCACTTAGCTGCAAAGTGTGAAAGCGACGACAATCTCAATGTTGGTCAGTTAATCATCGAAAAGGGGGGCGATTTAGATTACCAGGCGCAATATGGGGTGACTGCTTTGTATTGTGCGTGCGAATCTGGGAATTTTGACTGGGTTTGCATGCTCTTGTACTATGGTGCAGACGTAACCATTGCCACAGATCGAGGAGTGTTACCTGTAGCTGTAATCTCACAAGATATCTCAGACAAACAGCAGCTCCAGCTGCAGGAAATTCTTTTCAATTACACGTTTGATGAAAACAAAATTATAATCAAACTTCCCACTTTAGTTGCAGCTATGATGTTAAACTCTGACTTGTTCCCAAAAATTCTAAACCACATTTCTGACGTCGATTATGACGTACAAGATCTGCAATACTTAGTTAGCTCTTTAATACACGTAAAATCCCAACATTTGAAATTGTTTATTGAGCGGTTTGGATACATCGTGAAAGACATGATTGACAATTACCCGCCCATTTTTGATGTACTCATTAAAATAGCTCTCAATTGTGGTATTAAAGGAGTAAAAGAAATTGTAGATATTTTTTCAAATAGCGCATACATAACAGAATTTATCCAATCTTCGAACATTTCGACTTCCACAATCGCACTTCTTCTGGAGGTGCTTGGTAATGAAGATGAATTAAACGAAGAAGACTTCACGAAAACAATTTGTCTTCTGCTTTCTCACGGCCTGACTGTTACATCGTGCGATTTGGACGCGGTCTACCAGCATTTTGGCTACTGTGAGTTGTTTAAAATTTTACTCCACATGGATGTATTTATGACGAGTAGCAATATTGATGAACATTCGATGGCTGTGTTATTTTATGATCCTTTGTCAAATATCGACGATCTTGTTGTTGATGTTTCGCTGTGTACAATTCTGTTGGATTATTTTAATCATCCTAAACTTAAAGACTTTATATTAAAAAATTCAGACGACGGTGAGCAGCTGGAAAAGGTGAAAAAACTGCCACAAGTACCGCTTCTGGTTGAACTGAGTAGAAACGCTGCGAGGGAGTTTATTGTAAATAGGTTTCGTGTTAGGAATTCCATGCAGTTTTATACAATTTTACAGTGGCTTCCAATTGGTGACATGAACAAAAGCATTATTGCCTTAGAAAAGAAATTGTATTAGTGGGTGTAGACCTTGGTACGAGGATACAGTTCATTATTGTGCCTTTGGAGACGGTGTATTTTGGTGTCTGCTTTAAAAGTAGACGTTATTTTTAAACGATCTTCAAAACTATTGTACTTATTTAGGCTATTTAATACAGACTGTGATTACTTGTTCAATCATTTTTATTGTTGAATAAGCAGCTATTGTAATACACAAGTTACGACGGTATGTTGTTAAAATACTCTACACAAAAATTAACGCAAGGTGGATATTTATTATATTGATGTCGTTTTTTAAGGTAAGATACGGCACAAATCAAGATTTTCTTGTACCTGCGTCTTCAATAAACATTTATAAAGTTTTATTGTGATTTATTATGTGCCGGTGAGTTCATCTAGCAAAAAATACCACCTTTTTGCCATTATCATTAAAAGTTAATTTTTGTGTACGTGAAGCGTAAACCCACCTGATTTTTGTTGGGAGTATATACACTGACCGGCAAGAAAAACCGGCCACCCTGAAAAATTTCGCTAAACCACTTTAAAAATTACTAATTTAAGTAGGGATCGTTATTTTATTAAAGAACCATTCACTATTGACACATGTTGTACAAATTAGGAAAAAAAGAAGACATATAAACGCAGAATTAAATTTAATTTAATAAAATAACAGAAACAGACCGAGTACGATATTTTCTTAATTAAAACAATAAAGGGGGCTGTTGTTGTAAACAGTGTTTTTCATCATTTGAGTATAAGTTTGGCAGTTAATAAATGTTTTCACGTGAAACTCTTACAGACGTCTCTCAAATTGTCGCTCTGATTGAAGATGGTCGTAGTCAGCGCTATGCATATTTTTCAGGCTGGCCGGTTTTTTTGCCGGTCAGTGTGTACAAATTTGCAACTTGGTTTTTATAAGGTTAAGCCTGTTTAGATACAACACTAAATTTATTTTACTAAATAATTTTAATTAAAATATATATTTAACTTAAATTAAGTACGAACGCGGCTTACTTCATGAAAACGAGGCAAGTCGGTATTAATCTATTGATTTTTTAATTTCCATTCCTATTCGCAATAAATTTAGTGCTACGTCAAAACAGTGTTAGCTTTGGAATGGATTGAAAATTCATGCAGCAAACAATATGTAAAATACAATTAACGCTTAACTGTTTTGTGTTCAATTTATCACGTGTTCTTTTATTATGCATACGTGTATTAAAATACAGTGCTGCAGTTTAATGTTGTTTTATTTATGCAGACTTCTTACCTAATAAATCTTTACCAACAAAATATAGACTAGTTTTTTACATTTCGCTATGGAAATCCACGAAGAATTTAAAATTTATTATTATTTAAAGACCCACCACTAAACCGGTAATGGCCGGCATTCAGGCAAGACTTCTATCATCCACGTAATGATATGCATTGACTAACAAGCGTAATGCCCAATTACAAGTCAATGTTACCACCGGAAATAAGACTTGCAGTTAACAGAAAAATTTGGTCGAAAGTTGTTTCGACAGAACTTCCTTCGCACCTAAAGTACAATGAAACGTCATCAACATTTTTGCAAGGACACGCATATCAACTTAGATTGAGACAGTCTAATACTAAAAATAACAGTATTGTACTCCCAAAATATGAATGGAACGATAAATCATAAGTACAGACTCATCATATTTTGTACATTTTGGATAGGATTTATTCGGCAAAATTTTGAGCTGACATCATCAATTTTTTGGAAGGGATAAGTAAATATATTTCGATTAAAAATTTATCATGTTTATCATAACTTTAAAACATCTGCAAGATTTCAACAAGATTTTATAGATTCAAAATTAAATTACAAATATTTATGTTGTTTTATAATTTTGATTTTTTTTCGAAAAATCTTAGACGTTTCGGGTAAAAACTCAACCGGAGTCATAAACTACATGTATAGGACATCTATGGTCTATGTATAGCATCTATTTTATACAAATTAAATCCCATTCACTATGGAGGTACAATTTTGAAGTGACGTCATCGCATTAGTGGTGTGGATGATTAGACAAATTTTGGTTAGCGTTTTACCATCTGTGGAAATGACTAACACCAGGTAGGGTTTCTCTATAGTTTATTTACAAACGGATATCTTACACGTGGAACAGGAGACGGTACCCATCTTCTTCGTTTCGATGTCGGCGGCAGAAGAGAGTACTTGCCGTACTCGCGCCTCCTTGTGTCCCCAGTTGGTCTCTGCGTCGGCGCCAGGCTAACCAATCATGAGTGGTGTTCGGTGAGCATATTGAGTTGCCTACTCGTAGGCGAGAGGAAGTAGTACGTGTGCGTTGTGTTGCCTACATTAACATCACAGCAACGCCACATACCCCCCCCCAAGTAACGGGTGACAGCTGTCAAAACGGCTGTCAGTTGTCATTCTCTGAAACGTGCGGGGAGCGTTGACCTGCGGCCTGACCTGGTGGTTTGAGTAACTTCCTGTGTTCGTACTGGGGATGGAGCCGGTGGTGGTTCTGGTTCTTGGAGAATAAAAGCGGGTTTTACTCTGTCGATATTCACTGTTGTTTCCCTACCGCCTACATTGACCTTTATTGTCTTAGCAGTACGAGACAGAACAAGGTGTGGACCGGTGTAGGGCTGTTGGAGCGGTCTTCGCACGGTGTCGTCTCTTAGGAAAACATGGCTACATTTACTGAGCTCTGTGTGGACGAAGGTGCTTTGCCTAATGTGGTGCGACGCTGGAGTTGGGCGAAGTTTCCTCATGTGGTCCCGTAGTTTTTCTACAAAGGTAGTGGGTTCTACGGATCTGTCGATATTGCTGAAAAAGAATTCGCCTGGGACTTTCAGTTGCGTTCCGTAGGTCAGCTCTGCTGGTGAGTGACCGATGTCTTCTTTGATGGCTGTACGTAACCCTAATAATACTGTAGGTAGAACGTCTAGCCAACTTTCTGCTTCATGGCACATGATGGCTGCCTTCATGGTTCGATGCCATCTCTCGATAAGGCCGTTGCTCTGGGGCCTATATGGCGTCGTCCGAGAGCGCTGAATGCCCAAAATTTTCGCCAAGGCATTCATGGTGGATGCTTCAAATTGTCGCCCTTGGTCGGTTGTAATTTGTCTTGGGCAACCGAATCTTGAAATCCATGTTTCGTAGAATGTCTTGGCGACTGTCTCTGCGGTCATGTCGGTCATGGGTGCGATCTCTGGCCACCTGGTGAAACGGTCAGACATAGTGAGGCAATACCTGTAGCTTTGAGAGGGAGGTAGCGGACCTACTATATCGATGTGCACATGTTGGAACCGTTCTGTGACGTCATCGAAATGCTGTAATGGGGCTTTGGTGTGTCGGCCAACTTTGGATCGCTGGCAAGGGATGCAGCTTCGTGCCCACTTCATTATGTGACTCTCCATAAATGGCCACACAAATCGCTTCTTGATGAGCTTACTGGTCGCTCGGCCGCTGGGGTGTGAGAGGTTGTGAAATCCTTCAAAAATTACTTTTCTCGAATCTTGTGGAACGTATGGTCTAACCACCCCCGTTGACGTGTCACACCAGATAGCTTTCTGGCCGGCCTGTGGGGTGAGTTTTTCTAACCGCAGGCTTGTTGTATCAGAGTTTAAAAGTGCTGTTAGTTCGGCGTCTTTTTCTTGTTCCTTGGCTAAGTCGTCGGTGTCAATGAACGTAGGAGTTGTGATTTCATTGACCCTTGAAAGTGTGTCTGCAACTGTGTTTTGTTCTCCTGAAATGTGGATAATGTTGGTGGAAAACTGGCCGATGAAATCTAGCTGCCTGACTTGTCTTGGGGATGCTTTGCCTGCTTTCTGCTGAAACGCGTAGATGAGGGGTTTGTGGTCGGTGAGTATGCAAAAGTCTCTGCCTTCCACCATGTGCCTGAAGAATTTTATGGTTTCGTAAACTGCAAGCAGCTCACGATCGTATGCGCTGTAGTTGCGCTGCTCCTTGCTAAGTTTTCTGGAGAAGAAACCTAAAGGTTGCCAGGTCCCATTGGAGTGCTGCTCTAGTACGCCCCCGATTGCGTAATCAGAAGCATCGGTGATAATTCTGAGCGGCAGATTTTCGGCGGGATGTGCCAGAAGCGCGGCGTTGGCTAACTCTGTCTTGCACGTTTCAAAAGCGGCTTCAGCTTCTTCTGTCCACTCGACTATTGTTTTGTCATTCTTCCGCGCGTTGTTCAGATATTGGTGAAGTGGTGTTTGGGTCTGGGCTGCGTGGGGAATGAAACGTCGGTAGAAGTTGATCATGCCAAGGAACCGTCGCAGATCTTGAACTGTCTTTGGTTTGGGGAATTCGCGGATTGCACTGACCGACGTCTCAAGTGGTTTGGTTCCACTCCCGGAAATCGTATGTCCTAAATATTTCACTTCGGCTTCACCAAACACGCACTTGGTCGGGTTAATCACTATGTGATGCTCCCGTAACCTAGAAAATAACATTTTTAGATGTTCGACGTGCTCTGCTTCATCTCGGGAGAACACTAAGATGTCGTCTATATACACGTAGCAGAAATCAAGGTCACTTATTAGAGAGTTCAGGTGTCTTTGGAAAGTCTGTGCGGCATTACGTAGTCCGAACGTCATAACTGTAAACTCGAAGAGCCCGAACGGAGTGCACACGGCTGTTTTAGGAACGTCTTCTTCAGCCACGGGAATTTGATGGTATGCGCGCACTAGGTCTATGGTGGAGAACACACTTTTACCTTCGAGTCTGTAGGTGAAGTCCTGTATATGAGGGATGGGGTAGCTGTCAGGCACTGTCACGTTGTTTAGGCGCCTATAGTCGCCACATGGACGCCATTCACCAGGGAGTTTCTTTGGGACAAGGTGAAGCGGACTAGCCCAAGGGCTCTTGGATGGTCGGCACCAGCCCTGTTCCATCATATATTGGAATTCGGCTTTCGCCACTCTCAACTTCTCGGGTGCAAGCCTGCGAGGAGCTTCTGCGACCGGGGGACCTCTGGTGATGATGTGGTGGAACACGTTGCCCCTGTGCTTCGTTCCAGGTGGCGGTGGGCGTGTAATTTCTGCGAAATCCGCTAGCAGTGCGTGATATGGCGTCGTCTTGGCCACTGTCGTGATCTGAGGCGACTTGCATATAGCCAGGGTTCCGCGAGTTGATAAGAGGGTGGCTGCGTCTACGAGGCGTCGGTTGCGGAGATCAGGTAGGAGGTTGTGATGCCTCAGGAAGTCTGCTCCGATGATGGGTTTGCCTACGTCTGCCACTATAAATACCCACTTGAACGGACGTTTCAGCTTGAGATCAAGGAACATTAGCTTTTGGCCGTATGTTCTGATCGCGCTGTCGTTGGCCGCGAAGAGCGTTGTCTCAGCTGGGCTGAGATGTTGTCTGCCTGAGAACAATCTCTTGGGTAACACGGAAACTTCTGCCCCCGTGTCGATTAAATATCGGGTACCTGATTTTGGGTCGGTGATGAAGAGGCGTTGTGTTTGCGCTGCGTCGTGGACCACCTCAATCGTCGACGGCGCCTCTAGTTTAACGGCCTTTTGTAGTCACAGGGTTTGGCGCATCTTCTGGCGTTTGCTCCGAACCGATTGTGATAATAGCAGATATTATCGTCCTGCGGATTCGACCTTGACCTAAATTTGGCGCGATTCCAGTTTTCGCCTTGCCCATGGCGCCTTCTGTCGTCTGCGAGTTGGTTTACTGTGGTCGATAAAGTTACGAACTGCTTCTGCAGTGCCGTAATGGCGGCAGCCATTCCATCTTCTTGCGCCGATGTAACGGTTTGAGAGGCGTGCGCGGAGGTACCGCGATTTAGGGCACCAATATTTGCTGTGATGGCGCTGGTATGGTGGATTTCGGTCAATTTGTCCGCTATGGTCGCCATTTTGTCCAGCGTTTCTTTATCATTTGCGGCGAGGATCATCTGTAGTTGTGGGGGTAAACGCTGCAACCACAGAGTCTTGAGGACGTCACCGCTGATCCCCTTACCCGCTAGGGCTTCCATTTCTCTTAGTAGTTGTGACGGCTGCTTGTCCTCTAACTCTATTTCGTACATGAGCTTCCGTAGTCGTTTTTCGGGGGTGTCTGCATAGGCGGCGATCAATCTGGATTTTATGCTTTCGTACTTTGTCTCTTCTGTTGGGGGGTTGGCGACCAAATCGGCAACCGGCTGGAGCGTCGCGCAGTCTAAGGCGGTTACCACGGTCCAGTACTTGGTCTGGTCGGACCTGATTCTCGCGCAATTAAATTGGGCTTCGACTTGTGCAAACCAAAGCACCGGGTCTCGCTGCCAGAATGTCGGTAGCTTCAGATTTGAACCACTTCTTACCTCATCAAGGGCTTGTTTGTTGGAGATGGTAGCCAGTTGTGTCTGGAACTGGCAAATTATTTCTTGTTGTTCCTGCAGTTTCTTTTGCATTTCTTCCATGGTGCTAGCTCTTCCTATTTTCTTTCCGGGGTCACCAATGTGGAAATGACTAACACCAGGTAGGGTTTCTCTATAGTTTATTTACAAACGGATATCTTACACGTGGAACAGGAGACGGTACCCATCTTCTTCGTTTCGATGTCGGCGGCAGAAGAGAGTACTTGCCGTACTCGCGCCTCCTTGTGTCCCCAGTTGGTCTCTGCGTCGGCGCCAGGCTAACCAATCATGAGTGGTGTTCGGTGAGCATATTGAGTTGCCTACTCGTAGGCGAGAGGAAGTAGTACGTGTGCGTTGTGTTGCCTACATTAACATCACAGCAACGCCACACATCTACATGATATTCCTAATATAAGTACAAAATTTTACAACAATCGGTCCAATACTTTCGGAGATTATCTGTTTAATAAAAATCCGGGACGGCAGACGGAAATGGGAGACCTATTTCTTCGTCCTCGAGGGATCATGAAAGATCGAGAAAACGTAAAAGTAGAGAGTCGGCCGACGGACTCAATTACAATGCTTCCTTTGCTTACGCTCGGAAAGTAAAAAACTACTTCTATATTGCTTCAAATAATAATACTCCGTGCTCTTATTAATTTTTCGACCACAGGACCACAGATTTGTGATCTTGAAATGTTATGTTATGTTGATATAGTCTAAAAGAAAAACATATTTGTAATCAATGTATCGACGCGGCAACACTGGATCGAACGTCTGAGATATGATTCCGCCCGTTGCTCATAATGCTAGCAACGAACGTAGTGTTACTCAAAATGTTTAAATGTGCCCAAAAAATGTTTAGGATTAGTCTTAAGATCTTGGTTTAGATTAGTCACATAAATTTTTTACCTATACTGTTTTTATTTTACTCTTAAGCATAGAGAGCAGCTTTTTAAAAGCTGGATAATCTACGGAAGTACCAGACTTTTTAAATTTTAACCAAGTTTTACATTTTTCTTTAATAAGCATTATGATATTCTTATTGAACCGTCTGGGATCTGAGCCAAGAGATGGAAGTTACGTAAGAACATGTTTATCAAATATTTCATAGATTTTTGTGTAAAAACCAGTAACAGAAGCATCGACATTATAGAAATTGTATAAGACCAATCTATACTGATACGTCACTATATAAACCTGGAAAATTAGCTTTCCTGAAATTATAACCAAGCAAATTGGACACAGGGAAGGTACTCCTCCGCTAACACAAATTTGTAACTACTTGAAGAGCAGGATGATACTTATCTTCACAGAGGAGATCACTAGCTTTGCTCACAACTTAGACCAAGATCTAATTCTACGTATAAAATTAGTCACTGAATTAAATTGAGACAGGCAAAAAAAAAGTTCATGAAAGATTCATAGGAGGTGAAAATAGATGAACTCCCCCTTAAACAATGCCATTTAACCCATTCAGCAATATTAAAGCCATTTAGAATAAGAAGATCAGAACCATTCAGGAAACTCAAAGACATAATAAGAGTTTAAAATAGTTATATACATAAAAGTCAAGAAAAGCTCACATTACTGAAGAGGAGCTAAATTGAAATACGAGGCACTTTGTGCAGAGTATTTTAAAGCTCCGAGTCATGTAAGAGATTTTACTGACGTGTTTTGTATTAAATTTTTCCGGAAATCATTAACAAAAGACGAAATTTACAAATTTAAAAAATTTTTTTTACAAATTGCACAGAAATCAAGTTTGTGAATTATGTTGACAACTATTTTTACAAAGTATACAACATCGAAAAAATGTCATCAATTTTGTGCGTGTGTTGTGAAAACAGTGTTAATTCATAAAATAATGATGAAAGAAGAGCTTTCAATGCATTTTAAGTTACAAAAATATGTTGAAATGGGAGATCTGTACATGATTTTTAATTTTTTACACGTTCTGGGGACATTTTTCGTTGAATACTGTACGATTTATGCCCCTAATTCTTTAACTGAAGCGGCCAGAGCGTCGGTTCACTTAAACCAACGAAGCCCAATCACAGACACGGATTTCCATGACTCAGCTGCTATACTCCAATACATGAATTCGCTCGGAACTGAGGCGATATCTTCGATGCTTCTCGGCCAATTTCGGCGTACTAATTCAACCATTTTCCTATTTATTTTACAGAATGGTAGGGGTGCAGGGTGCGTGGATAATTAGCATAAATGTGAATAAAAGCCCACGTGTTGGTGTTTCGTGTTTTTGTCTCTTTCATAGGTACAGGGTACAGGTGAGTGAAAAATGAATCCGGAGTACGATATTATCACGTTGCTTCTTGAAACGCCGTTTTCACGGCGAACCGAGTTAGAACGTCGGTAAATTTTGCTAAATATCGAGCAGTCAAAACCGTTAATTAATTTAACTTCCATTGATAAGCGACAAAATCGTCAGTACTCCAGGTCTTTTAAATCAACCTGGTACGAAACATATAAACGGCTCTGCCGTAGCCGTAATATTTTATGCTGAAAATGTATATTGTTGGCCGTATCTACTCTTAGGCAATGAAAAAAACACATGGACGATGTCTCCGGGATATAACGATTTAAAGAATTTCATCCGAAGTGCAAAGTTACATGAAAGTTCCAAAGACATTAAAAATTTCATGGGCTTAAATTAATATTTAGAAAGGAACACTATTGGCGAATCCCTCCAAGAAAGTGCTAGTTTAAACAAAATTTTGACTTGTAAAAACATTGTTGATTAAATGTGTTATGGGTGTTATTATTATTATTATTATTAGTAATAATAATATTATTAGGACTCACTAATGATTCGGAAATGACCGGTATTCAGGTAACACTTCTATCATTACTAGTTAGTAATGATAGCAGTTACTAAGACTAGTAATATGCATTAATGACATTAATTTAATTAATTTTATTATTGATATTATTATTGTCAAACTTCTATCATCGCCTCACCACATCAGACAGTCACGAGCCGCCACTGATCATTGCAAAGGCATTCCATTTGATGTGAGTGAAGCTGCGGCTGCTGCTACTAGAGTGACAATCAAAACGAAAAGGCCCATCACGTGGGTTGCGCAGTAAAGCAAGTTACGTTGGTCGAGTCTATTCATAGCTCTCGGGGGATGGAAATATAGGGCAGTAGCGCCGTTAATTTGTCTTACTTTTGTACTGTGTTCGTATGTCTAGTGCCAACGTTTTGTGTCTCCTATTTTTTTAAGTTATTATTATTTATTTTGTCACTTTGTATTTATTAGCAAGAAGAATTTTGTTTAATAGGGTCCTCAGAGCATTTATTACTTTAATTACATTTTATGATAAATCAGTTACGCCACTGGTAAGAGATAGACGCGCATCTGAAGCTCCGCCCATGTCACCTTTCGTTCTGCTTGGCACTCTAACGATCTATGACCGTGTAAATCAAAAGATCGGTATGAAAGAGCATTGCAAATTTTCGAAGATTGGCGTCGAGAAAAAAGTTGCTTCACTTACCGAAGAAGTATTTCTTACGTATTTTGCGGAAAAAGCAAGTTTGCAGAAACCCTCCAGTCTTTGGAACATGTTAAACCAGTGGCGGCTCGTGAAGTCATGTCCACGAAAAGAACACTCTTGCGTTGACAGATAAATTATATTCCATCGATTAGTCTTTTCAAAATTGCCCAATTTTCACCAACTTTCTCGTAATAGTTCTCCCTTTTATGAGCCGAATCTAAATGATTGGCAATGTTTTGTTTACCAAGTATTTTTAATTTAATGGAAGAAAATATGTGGTCCTATGATATTGCTAATATTTGAAGATGAGGAAAACATCAAATTAACATTTCCTACTGTGACCCAAAAACAAGAATTTGCGGCGGAGCTAAAAAATTTGTTAGGATTGAGGTAATAAAACACTTATATCTATTTTATCCTTATTGTTATGTTTGTAGCAATCGTTCCACACCAGACCCAGGACTGCCCCTACCAATTGCTTAATTTAATAAGAATAATAAGTTAAATTATAAATTTAATAATAATTAATAAATTGCATTCCCCAACTCTATTCATTTTTGTACTGAAGTGGCCCACCCCTAATAATAAGACAAAATCTTTAAAATCCAAGTGTTTTTAAATGGTAACTTTTCTTGGCCGAAAACGCATTCACGTTTGATAAAACAGGCTATTTTCCTTGAAATGTTGACTTTTAAAAAAAAGAGTACGTTTGGAAAAACCGGTCAAATTCTTTAAAAACTTTAACTTTTCAAAAGTTATTTTGAAAACCAGGCTGAAATCATTAAAAATGTGTTGTGTTCTGAAGAGAATGTGGCTCAATACATTTTTGTTCTGAAGTAGCCCAACAGAAAAACAGGGTAAAAGACGAATTTTAAGTGTTTTTAAATGGTAACTTTTCTTGGCCGAAACCATATTCACGTTTGATAAACAGGATATATTTCTTAAAATTTTGACTTTTTAAAAAAGGGTGAGTTCGAAAACTCGGACAAATTCTTTAAAAATTTTAACTTTTCACAAGTTACTTTGAAATCCAGACTAAAAGCATTAAAATGTATTGTGTTCTGTGGGGGCCTTGTTAGTAGTAATTTTGGCAAAAACTGTACATACATTTTGGGGAGCATTTAATCAGTCTATGACAATATTAAAAAAATGGGTCTAAATTTATTTAGCAATACAGATTTTTCGAAAAATTATAAAATCTAGTTCCGCAAATTTTACTTTTCTATGCTAATTTGTATAAATTAAAGTAACGATAAATGTTAGTGTTCAGGTAAGGAAGCATGCTATGCATGTTTCAAGTCAGTTTTTCCAAACCAAAATTTTGTGGGAACGTTATCAATTTTTTGGGAGGGGACACACGGATAAATTTTGATAACAATTTACCACGCTCATGAGAACCTTAAAGCGTTTGTAAGATTCCAGATCATTCGGTTTTGGAGTTTCAAAGTTAAATTGTAAAATGTTGCTCCAAAATTTGTTTGCACCCAAAATCTGGATGTGAAGAGTGAAAAATCAAGACGGATTATAATCTACCAATGTAGGGGTGTATTATGATATAAAATTTAAATAACACTTATTATACAATTTTTTGAGGTGAGGGATAATAATTAGGCAAATTTTGTTTAGCGTTTTACCATCTACACGATACTCCTAAAATACGTGTAAAAACAGATGACATACAGACGGAAACGGGATGACTATTTTTTCGTCCTCTAGGGGCCGTGGAAAACATAAAAGTAACCATTCGCCGAAGAAACTATTATAGTAGCCTGCATAGATATTGTAGCCGTCCATAGAGTCGAAATTTGCGAATAAAAATAAAATAAAACCGGTTCAAACGGAGCCGACGGTGGCTTGCAAAGTCTGATGTCACTCTGGCACACGTTGCACAGAGACGTATTTAATATTAAATGTCATTTTTTCCGTTATGATATAATCTGTTTAATTTCTGAGCTGAATCTCGTCAATAAAATCGAAGCTCTGTTCACTGTACACAAGTTGTGGTATGGTATATTCATCGTTGCGGAGGCGCAGGTGGAGCGAAAAACCTAGTCATCTTAGCAGCAAACACGCCTATAAACTAGTCCACGTGGACTGTTTGTTTCCTGTCATATTTTAGTTTGCTTGAACCAATTGTGTTGCACCAAACGGTTATTACACTTGTTGAAATAAATTTTCAAACTTCCATCTTTCTCTAGATCATCGGTTTCGTAGCTGTGTGACAAATCGTTTGTCGTAGATAAAAAATTGGTCTAAAGAGTTTAGACAGTACTTCCCTCGCTGTCGGAAACTTGACGACTGCATGCCTATTGTGTTTTTTTTCTCATTACATTTTTGTAGTGGGAATTTAAAAAAAAAATGCGATGACGTCATCAACATTTTTGCAAGGACACGTATATCAGTTTGGATAGATGTAGTGCAATACTAAGAATAAAATTATTATATTCTCAAATTTTCGGGAAAATGAATTGGGTCGTTTGAATATTGATTTGTAATAATCAATAAAATAACGAAACAATTTACTCACGTATACCTACATATCAGAGGCAACTAAAAATCGTGTATGTATAAACATTGTTAATTTAAGATGACAGGCGTAACAGCATACGTGAGAGCCAAACACAGAAACTGTAAACAAAACGACCGTCGGTTTTATTGCTTCGACTTCCGCTTATTATATAAAACATTGGGTTTTATTTTAATTCTTGACGGTGAAATTCACAATTGGTTGATTATAAACATGTCTATTTCGCATTCGCGGAACCAAGTGACCGCATAAAACAAATGCAGATCTGTAACGTTAAAGTCGATGTAAATAAGCGTGCTACCCTTATGTTTCAACCGAGTTTTTCCTTTAACAAATTTTGTGTCTACCAAATTGGGTTGGTTGGGGTGTAATACTAATAATAAGTGTTGCCTTTAATTTAATCAATAAAATAAATTGACTTCATTAATTTTTTTGAACCACCTCTTAAGAAAATCTAAAAAATATGAATGGAATGATAAATCACAAGTACAAACTCGTCATATTTTTTGCATTTTAGATAGGATTTATTCAGCAAAATTTAAGGGTGACGTCATCAATTTTTTTAGGAGGGATGAACAAATACATTTTGAACAAAAGTTTACCATGCTTATAATAACTTTAAAATATTCCCAAGATTTCAAAGCATTCGGTTTTGTAATTCCTGATTAAATCGATAAAATAAATTCACGCCTTCATTAATTTTTTTCAGTCACCCTGCATATGCAAATCCAAAAATATGAATGGAATGATAAATCACAAGTACAGACTCATCATATTTTGTACATTTTAGATGCGATTTATTCGGAAAACTTTTGAGCTGACGTCATCAGTTTTTTGTAGAAGATAACCAAATATATTTTGACTAAAAATTTATTATGCTCTTTATAACCTTAAAACATCTGCAAGATTTCAAAGCATTCGGTTTTGTAGTTCCTGATTAAATCAATAAAATAAATTTACGCATTCATTAATTTTTTTGAGTCACTCTGTATATGCAAATCCAAAAAATATGAATGGAGTGATAAATGACAAGTACAGGCTCATCATATTTTGTACATTTTAGATATGATTTATTCGGCAAACTTTCGAGCTGACGTCATCAAGTTTTTGGAGGGGATAAGCAAATATATTTTGACTAAACATTTATTATGCTCTTTATGACCTTAAAACATCTGCAAGATTTCAGAGCATTCGGTTTTGTAGTTCCTGATTAAATCAATAAAATATATTTACGCATTCATTAATTTTTTTGAGTCACCCTGTATATGCAAATCCAAAAAATATTAATGGAGTGATAGTTCACAAGTACAGACTCATCATATTTTGTACATTTTAGATATGATTTATTCCACAAACTTTTGAGCTGACGTCATCAAGTTTTTGGAGGGGATAAGCAAATATTTTTTGACTAAAGATTTATGATGCTCTTTATAGCCTTAAAACATCTGCAACATTTCAAAGCATTCTGGTTAGCAGATTAAAAATTAAATTTCAAAATGTTGTTTTATAATTTTGATTTTTTTTCCAAAAATCTGGACGTTTCGGGTGAAAAGTCGATTCAGAGTTGTAAACTACATGTGTAGGACTATGTTATTTTATACAATTGAAAACCCATTTACTATGTACAATTTTGAAGTGACGTCATCGCTTTAGTGGTGGGGATGATTCGACAAATTTTGGTTAGCGTTTTACCATCTACATGATATTCTTAATATAAGTACAAAATTTCACAACAATCGGTCGAGTACTTTCGGAGATTATCTGTCTAATAAAAATCCGTGACAACAGACGGACAGACGGACAGACGGACAGACGGACGGACAGACGGACAGACGGACAGACAGACGGAAATGGGAGACCTATTTCTTCGTCTTCTAGGGGTCATGAAAGATCGAGAAAACGTAAAAGTAGAGAGTCGGCCGACGGACTCGATTACAATACCTCCTTTGCTTACGCTCGGGAAGTAAAAATAGTAAGATTACAGTGACCCTAAGATTTTGTGCAAACAGCCTTAAATACACCCCTGTGTGATATGACGCGTGCCGCAGTGACAGAACTTGCAAGCCGTCGTCGGCTCCGTTTGAGCCGGTTTTATTTTATTTTTATTCGCAAATCTCGACTCTATGGACGGCTACAATATCTATGCAGGCTACTATACAATACTTCTTTAGTTTACGCTCGGGAAGTAAAAAGTACTTGCAATTTTCGAAAACCCCCAGAAATTAATTAAGATAATTAATTAGCCATTTATCAAAATATGGGGTGAGTTTTTAAATTTCTATTCTATTCTATTTCAGCTGTTTCAATTGCACTGCTGACGTACACGTCATGGCCAACTAGAGCAAAAATTTTAAAAATCCACGGTCTTTCGATTTTATTAGTTCCCGAGTGTATGCTAAGGAAGTATTGTAATAGGGTCCATAGCATGGTAGGCTCCTTTCATGTTTTCTTGGCGTTTTATGACCCCGAGAGTACGAAAAAATAGGTCTCCTGTTTCCGTCTGTCTGTCCACATTTTTATTAGAGAGATACTTTCTGAATCTAATGTAATTTAACCTAATAAGCCTTTCAAATAATTTTATGGCGTCAGCTCAAGATTTTGTGCATTAAAAGATATCAATCTGAATTGACAAACGAGCATAAAGTTATGTACATTAGGTACTCCATACTCCTGTACTTGAGGTTTATGAAACCACCTTGGTTTTATTTATTTATTTATTTATTTATTTATTTATTTATTTATTATTATTATTATTATTACTTTATTGTTTAATTTTCCTCTGCGTTAGATACGTAATACGAAGTGCGACTAGCGGGTAGTGTGAAGTATATAGATTCGAACCCCAGTTTTGCAAATGATAGTTCTGGATTCAATCTCTTAAGACATTTTCAATTTTTTTTTATTGATCAAATCAAGAACGGTTCACCCCATTTTTTCGAAAATGTAAGAATACAGTAATGTCAAACAAATAGATAATTCTCTCAAAATAATATTCGGACCATTTTCCTCCATTGTGCTT